CTTCTGGAATGACTAGAGGGGCTGGGAATCAGAGGCATTATGCTGCTGTGGTTCTGGTTGTGCATCTCAGGCAGGTTCCAGATGGTGGCACTTGGGGATAGCTGCTTCTCAAAATAGATGTTATGTGGTACCCCACAAGGTGCCATTATATCCCCAATGCTTTTTAATATTTACATGAAAATGTTGAGAGAGATCATCTGTAGGCATGGGGCGAGGTGTTGTCAGTATGTTGAGGGCACCCAAATATATTTCTCCATGCCTAAACAGCTTTAACTAAGGATAGTTTGGCTTCTGTGAATGAATGTCTGGAGGAAACTGAATCCAAAAAGACAGAGCTGCTTGCCATCAAGGGTCCTAATCTGGGGGTAGAGGTGTGTCAACCAGTTCTGGATGGGGTTAAACTCCCCCTGAATGACTGTGTTCACAGTTTGGGAGTACTCCTGGATCCATCTCTCCAAATGTCAGCCCAGGTAGATATGAGGGTCAGGTTGCTTACTATCCACTTTGGCTGATATGCCAGCTGCATCCCTTCCTAGATTTGGAAGACCTTAAGATAATAGTGCACATGCTGGTAACCTCAAAGTTGAACTTCTGCAGTGCACTTTGTATTGGATTATCGGAAACCCCAGTTGGTTCAAAATACAGCATCTAGATTGGTTACAGGAACATCTAGAAGTTAGCATATTACATACATACTAAAGTCATTCCACTGGCTGCCAGTTAGTTTCTGGGCAAAGTATGTTTTGAACTTTAAAGCCCTACATGGTTTGGGTCCCGGTTACCTAAAGGAGCACCTTCTTCCATACAATTAGCCCTGAAAACCGAGATCCTCTTGGGGGCGGCTACTCCAACCAGCCAGAACTCGACTGGCAACCATCACTCAGAGGAGCTTTTCATCAGCCGCCCCACAACTGTGGAACAACCTGCCATAAGAACTCTGACAGCTAAATCAGCTGTGGAAATTTTAAAAAATATCTAAAGACCCATCTTTTCCAGCAGGCCTACCTATGAGTTTTAAGCATGAGTTTTAAACTCGTGTCCTTTATTTATTCTCTGCTTTGTGTATTTTAATATGTATTTTATAAAAATATGTTTTAATATGTACCTTTTAATATGTATTTTATAGAAATACTTTTTAACATGTATCTTTTCTAGAAATACATTTTAAAATGTGTATTTGTGGTATTTTTACAATGTTTATGTGTTAGTTATTTTGTAATCCACCTCGAGCCATGAGGAGAGGCGAGTAAGAAATAAAATTATTATTATTATTATTATTATTATTATTATTACTAAAGGATTTTTAATTGAGTCAATTCTCCTTAAAAATTCAAAGAGGAAAATTTTCTTGTTTAGAATTTGTGGCATGACCTGGCTTTTCATAAGTCTCTTTGAATTTTTAAGGAGAATTGACTCTATTAAAAATCCTTTAGTAGTAGTAGTAGTAATAATAATAATAATAATAATAATAATAATAATAATTTTATTTCTTACTCGCCTCTCCTCGTGGCTCAAGGTGGGTTACAGAATAACTAAAATACATAAACATTGTAAAAATACCATCTGTTTGCATAAGCTTTTGGCTTTAGGGATCTGTGTGCATATGTGTGCATGTGCTATATTCTTGTCAAGAGCTCGATAGGGGTTAATTTGTCAGAGTAAATGTTTCGACATAATAATGAATCTTGGAATTAATATAGAGGTGGAGAGTGGAATATTTTCTGCAGATAGTATATTTTTCCAAAGTGGACTTAAATACAGTATATGAAGTTCTTGCTATTCTTGAAAAGAGGCAAACCAGAGGAATAGAATAAAATATAATGTGTACCAAGCTAGTTTCACAAAAATTCTTGTTTCTCAATGTGTCACTAGCATAAAGAATCAAGGCAAGATGTGATAAGTTGCCTGATTCCATAGATTTACAACTAGTGAAATAAGATGTTCAACTAATTATATTCCCCCCAAAGTTGAAATGGAACAGTATTACAGAGTGAAAGAATTTACTAGTCTCTTGTATTATTACAGATATTCCAGTTAAATAATTTCTACATAAATCGTGTATATCTGAAGACCATATTTAAAGCAAAATATGCTTGCTCAAGCAATGTTACTTTGGGCCCTACCACACAGCCATATAATCCAGAATGTCAAGGCAGAAAATCCCATAATATCTGCTTTGAACTGGATTATCTGAGTCCACACTGTCCACACTGTTGTTTAACATCTATATGCGACCACTTGCTCAGCTGGTTCGAGGTTTTGGGCTTGAGTGTTATCAGTATGCCGATGACACTCAGCTGGTGCTGAAGATGGAAGGCCGACCGGACTCTGTACCCGATTGTTTCCATCAGTGCCTCGAGGCCGTTACTGGATGGCTGCGTGCCAGCAGGTTGAGGGTGAATCCAGCAAAGACGGAGATCCTATGGCTGGGTGGACCGGGCAGTGGGGACATCCATCTGCCCACCCTGGATGGCGAGGCATTACGCCCGAATCATTGGTAAAGAGTCTGAGAGTCCTTTTGGACCCTCTGCTGACAATGGAGGCCCAGGTCTCCGCCGTGAGCAGAACCGCCTTCTTTCACCTATGGCAGGCTAGACGGCTGGCCACCTACCTGTCCAGGGACGACCTAGCTACGGTGATCCAGGCCACGGTCATCTCAAGACTGGACTACTGTAATGCCCTCTACATTGGCCTCCCTCTGTCAGTGATTCGGAAGCTCAAGTTGGTACAAAACGCAGCTGCTCGGCTTCTTGCGGGAATTCCGATGAGATGCCACATAACACCAATCTTACTACAGCTGCATTGGTTACCAATTGAGCACCGGATCACTTTCAAAGTGATGGTACTCACCTTTAAGGCCTTGCATGGTCTGGGGCCAATGTATCTGAGGGATCGTCTCACCCCCTACCAACCCGAGATCCCTCCGTTCTGAGGACCAAGATCTATTGGAAGTCCCCAGTGTCAAGACCTTGCGTCTAACGGCAACCAGACGCAGAGCCTTCACAGCAGTGGCACCATCACTCTGAAATACTCTGCCACCTGAAGTCCGTGCCTTGTGGGACCTATCAGCTTTCCGCGGGGCATGTAAGTCATATCTGTTTCGACAGGCCTTTGATTTCTGACATTGTTTTTTTAAATTGTTTTAAATTGCTTTTAAACTTTGTTAGATTTTAGCTATTCTTGTAAGCCGCTCCGAGCCCCAGGGGAGTGGCGGCATATAAGTTTAAATAATAAATAAATAAATAAAAATATATCCCACTTCAAAGCAGATAATGTGGCTTTTATTCAGCTGCATGGAAGAGGCCATAGAGTTCTGGAAAAAATTCCAGTTCAGATTTTTCTAAAAACTCACTGCTTTGTCTTCATATCATACATGCACCCTTCTCTCTAATTGACAGCTGGCAATGACAGCCCTTTGCCTCTTTTCCCTTTTCACTCTCCCTTCCTCCCCTTTCCTGTGTTCAGTGAGCCCTATTACACTATTACCTTGCAGACATTGTCTAGCCTGACAGTCATGAGCCCCAGATAATAGGAATTGACGGACTAATTCTAGGGCAGAGGGAGACTTCTTCTCTTCGGGGCATATTTCCCATAATAATCCTAAAATTGAAGGGGCAGCTAGGGTTGTTTCTGGAGGTCACTCAGAGGATTCTCAATGGGATATAGGTTGTTATTCCACATGAGTGATGCCTTTTATATTTTTAAATCTATTTGTCAGTTATGTTTATATCCTGTCTTTGTTCCAGTGAGCTCAGGGGGGGAACAAAGGTTTTGTCTCTCACCCGCTTTATCCCTGCAGCAGGTATTTCAGGTAAATCAAAAGAGAGATTGTCCCCAGGTGAGAGCCAGTGTGGTGTAGTATTTTGAGTGTTGAGCTGGAAAGGAGTCTGGAGAACCCCGATCAGCTATGGAAAACCCCTTTGGGCAAATCACACACTTTCAGCCTATGAGCCCCTTCTACACTTCTATATAATCCACATTATCATCTTTGAACTGGATTATCTGAGTCTATACTGCCATATAATCCTGTTCAAAGCAGATACTTTGGATTTTACATGGCAGCGTAGAAGGGGCCTGAGATAGGCAATGACAAATTCCTTCTGTCAAGAAAGTCCTCAAATAGCTTTGCACTAGGGTTGTTGTAAACTGGAAACAACTGAAACCTAGGAGCCCCCGGTGCCACAGTGGGTTAAACTCCTTTGCCGGAAGGACTGAAGACCAACAGGTTGCAGGTTCGAATCCAGGGAGAGCGAGGATGAGCTCCCTCTATCAGCTCCAGCTCCTCATGCGAGGACATGAGAGAGTCCTCGAATAGCTTTGCACTAGGGTTGTTGTAAACTGGAAACAACTGAAACCTAGGAGCTCCTGGTGCCACAGTGGGTTAAACCCCTTTGCCGGCAGGACTGAAGACGGACAGGTCGAATCCAGGGAGAGCGTGGATGAGCTCCTTCTATCAGCTCCAGCTCTTCATGCGGGGACATGAGAGAGTCCTCGAATAGCTTTGCACTAGGGTTGCTGTAAACTGGAAAGAACTGAAACCTAGGACCCCCCGGTGGCGCAGTGGGTTAAACCCCTTTGCCGGCAGGACTGAAGACAGACAGGTCGCAGGTTCGAATCCGGGGAGAGTGCGGATGAGCTCCTTGTATCAGCCCCAGCTCCTCATGTGGGGACATGAGAGAAGCTTCCCATAAGGATGATAAAACATCAAAACATCCAGGCGTCCCCTGGGCAACGTCCTTGCAGACAGCCAATTCTCTCATACCAGAAGCGACTTGCAGTTTCTCAAGTCACTAATGACACAACAACAACAAAAACTGAAACCTATAGGATGAGCCTATAGCTGATTGAGGACTGGAATCTTAATCTCTCAGGTCTCTCTTTATGCGTGATTAGTGAGTTTGAGGCTAATCTGATGTTTGAATATGTGGTGTTGACTGCGATCAAGTGCTTATACATCCAGAATCTGTAACAAGGCATGTTTGTGTTCTTGTCTTCCACAGGACCGGAGTTGGCGAGGGGCACTTGTTGCCCCTGTAATGGCTTCGGATTTGGGAAATGACCCTGTATTGGACCCTCCATCTGTGCCTCGGGTACCCCTGGTAAAGTCACTTATTATTATGATAGGAGGCAGTGATTAGTGTAAATACACAAATGTCCTGTTGCTTCAGCAAAAGTATCAATACTCAATTCGCATAGTACGCAACATAGGGAACAAATGAGATGATACTATTTACAATTGTGTAACAAACATAATATTCATGTTTTCCAAATAATTAGTTGGATCTCCCAAAGGTCGTAATTATTTGGAAAACATGAATATTATATTTGTCACACATTGTAAATAGTCCCATTGCATTTGTTCCCTATGCTGGTGTACTATACGAATTAACTGAGTATTCTCATGATTTATTGAATTGATACTTTTGTTGAAGTTTATAGTAACAGGACATTTGTATATATACATTGTACTTATAGATATCTGTGTAGTTAGAGACAGTGATTAGTCCTTTGTGTCCCACCACCCTAAGTCCCTTCAGGGAGATAGGACGTTATATAAGTAAATTATTATTGTTATTGTTATTATTGTTATTATTGTGCTTTGATTGTGTGTTTCCTGAATGGCAAAGTTTTGGACTGGATGGTTCTTGTGGTCTCTTCCAACTAGGTTGGGTGGGAGAAGCAACTGTCATAAATACTTTGTACACATTGGATATATATCAAACTGACAGTGTCTCTCATCTTGGCTTCCCTAGAAAAAAGCGAACCGAAAGGGAGGTTTGCCAGAGGCCAAGAGGAAAGGACGGGCCAAGCGGTTAAACAAAGATGCGGAGGAACTGCTTGCGAGCATGCAGCGGTTGGTAGGTTGAGCCCTGGGAAAAGCACTCTTGAGTTCTTTCTTGATTCTAAAAAAGAGGAGAAAGTAAGAAGGATGCAAGGGTTAGAAAAGCTTCCAGAATCACCCATCCAACATGGCAGTGGTCATAATGCTCGAGGGATTCCGGGGACTGTCAAAAAAGAAATATTTCCATTAGCAGTATAAGTAAATATTTCAGTGGCAATGTCAGCAACACTAGATGTGGCACTCTTAAAAGTTTCCAACTTTTTGGGCAACTTTTTTTTTCAAGAGAGGTGTTAGTTAATATGGGTTTAAAGAGGTAAGGTGGAAGCCATTATAGGAGTCCTTTTGCTCAGTGGTAATGAAAAGATATATATATATACACAGAAATACCTTTCTTTATTGTGCTCCACATCAAAATGTGCACCTGATCAGAAAGACAGCAAGCTGTGCCCTTTGCCTTTCCATTTCCTCTCATTCTGGTTTCCTGTCTCGCAAGTAAGTCAGCAGTCAGCCTTTGTGAATGATGGATGGTGCCATTTTGCTACATAAACAATGACCTTCAAAAAATAAATCGCTCTTCGACCCCATCTATGCTGTGATGATGTTTCATAATGCAGTTTAACTGCATTATATGGTAGTGTAGATGGGCCCCTACAGGTTTACTTTTAGTTTACTCAAGCCAAACCAACAGTAAACCTGTAGGGTCCCATTTACATTACCATATAATACAGTTTAGAGCAGTGGTTCTCAACTTGTGGGTCCCCAGGTGTTTTGGCCTACAACTCCCAGAAATCCCAGCCAGTTGACCATCTGTTAGGATTTCTGGGATGAGAATCACTGGTATAGAGCATGCTTCTTAAACTCTGGGTCCTGACCCACAATGGCTCAGTGACCCCTTTGCTCAATGTTGGGATTACAGAAAATTCGGCAATAGTAAAAGGTTTCTGAATGCCCCCCATTTACACAAATCTGTTAGCAACAACATGGGGTGTTTCCAGCGGACTCTGTAGAAAATGCTTCAGCTATCTATATAAATAAAAATGTAATGTTTGTTTGTGGGATTGACATAACTCAAAAACTACTGGACAAATTGACATCAAATTTGGGCACAATACACCTATCAGGCCAATGTGTGACCATCACTCATAAAAACACTGAAAAACACAGTGGAAGGGACTCAAATAGTCAAAAAAATAAAAAATACATTTCAAAGCATGCACATAACCACATTGTTCCCCTGACATTAAGTCCAGTCGTGTCCAACGCGCACGCGGGGGGGGGGGGGGGGGGGGGGGCGGTTGGAGTTAATCTCCATTTCTAAGCCCAAGTGGCGGCGTTGTCCATGGACACCTCCAAGGTCATGTGGCCACATGACTGCATGGAGCACCGTTACCTTTCCGCCGGAGCAATACCTATTGATCTATTCACATTTGCATGCTTTCAAATTGCTAGGTTGGCAGAAGCTGGGGCTAACAGTGGGAGCTCATGCCGCTCCCCGGATTCGAACCTGTGACCTTTCGGTTAGCAAGTTTAACAGCTCAGCAGTTTAAACCATTGCGGGCTCCAGCATAACCACATGTGTATTTATGCATAACCACATAAATGCACATATACACAAATATACACACACACATATATACACACACACACAAAACATATATACAGGCTGGGCCACAGCAACGCGTGGCAGGGGACGGCTAGTACTTCATAAAAATTGAAATCGGCTGGTTTAGTAAGTGCTGTCTTAGCCAATGTTGGTTTATTATCAGCATATCTGATTTTTATACCTACTTTATATACCTGTGGTCATGTAAAATTTTCTTGGGCAGAAAGGGATTGCAAGTGGAAAAGGGTTTACGAAGCCCTGCTTTTTGAGAAGGAAAGCAAGATGTGGCCACAATCGGATGAAATGTAAGAAATCATCTAGAAAACGAAGATTAGTGCTAGAAGACATTATTTTCCTATTCACAACACTGTTTAATATTGTTTTTTCGTACCAGGCTCTCACAACAGAATGCGCAGTGCCAGTGGGGACGGGCCTGGTGTTCGATGAACGGATGACAGAGTTTTGCTGCCCATGGGATGAAAGGTATTTGGGGTGAAGGAGGGGTTTGTGATCCTTGAATCTAACAGTGGGGTTGTAACTTCGATTAGCTGTTAGGCAGTTCTTTCAGGATCTCTGGGGACTATAAATAACCTGGTCTTGTGATAACCATGAGAAAGTCACATAACTAACTATAGTTCCTATGATTCCCTTGGACTGCATGGTGATTGGCACTGCTTTAAAATGTATAGGGACAATGTGCTGGATTTTGAGCAGATGAGTCCCCTTGGGGAGATAGGGCAGAATACAAATAAAGTATCAATGTATTGTCGAAGGTTTTCATGGCCGGAATCACTGGGTTGTTGTAGGTTTTTTCGGGCTATATGGCCATGGTCTAGAGGCATTCTCTCCTGACGTTTCGCCTGCATCTATGGCAAGCATCCTTAGAGGTAGTGAGGTCTGTTGGAACTAGGAAAAAGGGTTTATATATCTGTGGAATGACCAGGGTGAGACAAAGGACTCTTTTCTGCTGGAATTAGGTGTGAATATTTCAACTGACCACCTTGATTAGCAAATAATGGCCTGACAGTGCCTAGAGCCAGAGGCGGGGGGCCACCACTGAGAAGGTCCTCTCTCTTGTCCCCACGCTTGAGACGTTAGTGGGACTGAGAGGAGGGCCTCCCCAGAAGATCTTCGAGCTCGTGCCAGTTCATAGAAGGATAAAACACAAGATACAGGACCTTCTCAGTGGTGGCCCCTCATCTATGGAACTCCCTCCCCAGTGAAATTAGATCGGCCCCTTCCCTCCTGGCCTTCAGAAGAAAAGTTAAAAACATGTTTTGGGATCAGGCCTTTGGTCAGTAATGGGACCAGTACAATCAGAAGAAAATAAATTAACTGTGATGACTCGGACTGTTCTTGGATTATGACCTGGATTATGTGATTTTAAATTGTTGTTTAATGTGATGTTTTAATTGGTTGGTTTTAATATTTTTGTTTATTTATCAATGATATGTGTGCACACGTCATCGAATTGTTGCCTTTGTAAGGCCGCCCTGAGTCCCCTTTGGGGTTGAGAAGGGCGGTATATAAGTGTGGTAAATAAATAAATAAATAAAAATAAATATTCAGCACTTTGGGCTGCTAGCTTCTACTAAAAATTGGTGTAAGGTATCTTCTGCCCTTTCCTTCCCTTAATTTTGGGAGGACGATGGTGCCTGACCAAAATACTATGCATTCCTCCATTTTTAAAGCTTTCTTTATATGCATTCATGATTCACTGTTGGACCTTTTATAGTTGCTTTTACCAAAATTTAAATTCTTTAAAAGAAAGTGCGATGAGAAATTGGGAAGGAGGGAGTGAATGGATTTTTTCCAAACTGCATGCTAAACTGGATCTGAGTATTGTAACCCTCAGAACTTGTTGGACTACATTTCCCATTATGTGCTTTATTTAAGCAGTTGGGAGAGTCTAATGCAGGCATGAGCAAACTTCAGCCCTCCAAGTGTTTTGGACTTCAACTCCCATAATTCCTAACAGCCTCAGACCCTTTCCTTTTCCCCCTCAGCTTAACTGCCAGAGAGGGAAAAGAAAAGGGCCTGAGGCTGTTAAGAATTGTGGGAGTTGAAGTCCAAAACATCTGAAGGACCGAAGTTTGCTCATGCCTGATCTAATATATGTTTCCGAATTCCAAAACCATTGATTATTTTTTTCCTGGCAGGGGGGGAAAAGTACCCTTGGTTTGGATGTGGGTAAATATATAATCCTGATCTTACCCCTTTCTGTGCTGCCTGTAAATCTATGGTGGTTTGATTTCATCCCACTTTGCGCACTCTTTCAGCATAGTCCCGACACAACCCCATCATGTACTCGCCACATGGTGACCCACTATGCTGTATTTCTCTATTGTCTTGGTTCCTCTTCTATTGCCCTTAATAGCCAATCCTGATTGTGACCCTACGGCTGTTCCTTTTTAGGTCCTCATTCCTGAAACAACCATCTTCTTTTTACCTTGTGTAGCATTCCTCAAACTTTTATAAGTGCTTGCAATCTCATAATAGAGATTTCAATGCTTCAGCCAACTCTTACTTGAAAGCAACCTCTGCTGGGGAAACTTTCTTATGAGTATATCTGCATAGAATAATGCTGCTGACACGTTTTTCCTTCTCCGATCCTGGGGTCGAAATCCAATTTGAGAAGCTGGCTTGGAGGCCACTTGCTAACACTTAGTGAGGCCAAGGCAGGCATGGGCAAACTTTGGCCCACCAGGTGTTCCGGACTTCAACTCCCACCATTCCTAACAGCCAGTAGGCTGTTAGGAATGGTGGGAGTTGAAGTCCAGAACATCTGGTGGGCCGAAGTTTGCCCATGCCTGGACTAAGGGCATTGGGGGAGGGCAAAGTGAACAGGGTCAGATATAATTCTTAGGCATGGGCAATCCATGGTTCTAAATGGTTCTAAAGTATTTACATAACTAGGGGGCGTTGGTACATTGCTTCTACAATATTGCTACAGTCCTGATGGTGAAAATTTCAGAACTCTAACAAAACTTCCAAAATTTCATTAGCACTATGGGAGGATACCATAAGCTGAAAGGAATAACCAGCAAATTGTATAAGATAATAATTAATATTAAGGGGGGGGGGGATAAAAGATGCAACACTAAGAGAGATATGGGAGGAAGACCTAGGGATTAGAATAAAATAAGCGGATTGGGTACAGTTATGGGATCAAAGATATTTAAAGAGTTTATCGATACATGTTAAAGGAAATTATTATAAATTGGTTTGGAAATGATACTTAACACCAGTGAAGATTGCAAATATTAATAGGAATGCCACAAAAAATTGTTGGAGAGGTTGCCAGGAGGTGGGTACATATATTTCAGCATGTGGTCCTTGTTATCTAGTTCTCTGACAAGCAACACTTATTGAAAACCCTACTTCTGTGCAACCATTAAAGATATAGCAGGAAGTGTTCCAACAAATGCAAACATTTTTTATTCAGGGGTGTATCTGGGTTGCAACCATCAACGCCCCCTGCCAGCATTTGCCTACTGAGGCGATTGCTTCACTTGCCCTAATGGATCTTAACTATTATATTTCCCCTCTTCCCATTCTCTTCCAGTTCCCCCTGCATCCCTCTCCTGTCTTCCTGGACTATGTTTTTCCACTTATGAGCATGGCAGCTAAAGTGTCTTAAAAAGCCCAACCTGTGTCCTGATGCAACCTGCTCTCATGTCGTCCTCACCCCAACTCTGCTTGTTTTGCTGTAATCTTAATCTGTCAGATTAAAGGACTGGGATCTTAAGAAAGATTGCCAGTCTGCCTCTAATCAGACGCCTGTCGAGTTTTGCCTTGGTCTGGGAATGATCAGTTCTGTCCATATGTATTTTGTTTGGGATGGATGTTGTTCTGTCTTTTCTCCTCAGGATGGGATTTGTATCCCTTTCCCATTTACGTATATTTGTTCATCCCCAGAAAAAAAACTTAGTTAACGTGCCTGATTGATGTGTATTTGCCTTATTCCCACATGTCCTTTTGTTTCCACTTCTCCAGTTTTCCAGAGTGTCCAGAGCGGCTGGTGGCCATCCGAGACAAACTGCTGCAATGTGGACTGCTGGAGCGCTGTGTCCCAGTGCTGGTGAGAGGAATTGCCCAAGGGCAAGAAGGGATTTGGGAATGGACAGAAAGCTTATAATTAAGACAATCTAGTTGTTACAAAGAACTTGGGAACTTTCACATCCATATCTTAGCATTACGTTGGAATATTATGCTACTTTAACGGCAAACCTAAACATGTTGCGCCCATACCTTGGAAGTCTGACTTGGCCACGGTAGTCCATGCTCTGGTTACATCCCGTATAGACTACTGCAATGCGTTCTACGTGGGGTTGCCTTTGAAGACTGTCCGGAAGCTTCAAATGGTCCAATGGGTGGCAGCCAGGTTACTAACAGGAGTGGTGTTCAGGGAGCATACAACTCCTCTGTTGTGCTAGCTCTACTGACTGCCAGTTTGCTACTGGGCACAATTCAAAGTGTTGGCTCTAGCCTATAAAGCCCTAAACGGTTTTGGCCCAACTTACCTGTCCAAATGTATCTCCTCCTATGAACCAGCTAGGATGTTAAGATTGTCTGGGGAGGCCCTGCTCTCAATCTCTCCTGCGTCACAAATACGTTTGGCGGAGATGAGAGACAGGGCCTTCTCAGTGGTGGCCCCTCGACTATGGAACGCCCTTCCCAGAGATATTAGATCGGCCCCTTCTCTGTTAGCATTTCGTAGGAAGGTTAAGACCTGGTTATTTGAGCATGCATTTGAAAAGGCAGTGTAACAAATATTGGAACATGAAACGACTGGATGAGGAGATTGGATCTTGATTTTAATGAAGAGATGCCATGAGTTATGTAGTATTGACTTGTAATGTTTGTATATTGGTGCTATGGTTTTTAATTGTTTTAATATGTTTTATGATATTCAAGCATTGAATTTTGCTACTGTAAACCGCTTTGAGTTGCCCGAGGGTTGAGAAAAAGGGTATATAAATGGAGTAAATAAATAAATTAGGGAAAATTATCTGATGGTAAGAGTTGCTTGACAGTAGAATATGACATTTTTATTTATATAGTTAATTGAGTAGTGCGAAAAGGCTACTGATTCATGCTGTCAGTTACATCACAATGTTGTTAAGATTAAAGTTGAGGAAAGAAGAGAGTGGGTAAATCAGAAATCTAGCTTTCCTTTTGCAGTTATTCATGCCCCTCTCTTTCCTTACAGGCCCGAGAAAGTACTGAGGAGGAGATTCTTTTGGCTCACAGGTGAAAGCAGATCTTGAAGTTGGGTGGGATTGAGAGTTAGGGAGGCAGTGGTTAAGATATTTGAATGTCTAATCCACTGATATATATTTATATGCTTCTTAACAGTCAGGAGTACTTGGCACTGATGAAATCAACTGAAACAATGAGCGAGGCTGAGCTAAAATCCCTGTCAGACACATTTGATTCAGTTTATCTACATCCGGTGAGTATCCCAAGAGTTGTATGTGTTTTGTGTATAAAGCTAGTGAAACACAAGTCTGCTTTCTGTCTAGGAATCTCTAGATCCTCTAGCTCCAACTCAATGGCAAAAGTTGGTCACAGAGTCATATTGAAGGACAGAGTTTCCTAAAGAGAACATATTGATCAAACATGCAAATAATGACAACTGCAAAAGTGAAACCTACAAATGTGGAGGGCAAACTGTATTTCTTTTCTTATGCTGTTGCTGTGAGAGTGGATGAATTTGTGTTGCACTAGGACTAAAAACAGTTAAAACGGGGTTGTGAAACCACATCAATATGATGCTTTGAGCCTTTGATCCCCAGCAGCCTTAGGCCCCTTTTACACCGCCATATAATCCAGTTCAAAGCAGATAGTCTGGATTTTATATGGGAGTGTAGAAGTGGTCTCAGCCACCCTGAAGGGTAGTGTCAAGTTGATGTGATAGTCCTTGCATGTCATCTTTTCCTGGAAGTGCCATCATTCCCAGCCCCTATAACAAGTAACAAATTGCAGTCAACTAGTAGGAAGATTTGTTTGCACACCTTCAAAACATTTCTAAAAGGCAACTGAGCAGCAGATCCCAGAAGGGATGGTATTTCAAGATGGTTTCCCTGAGTCCCTCCTCGGAGGTCGAGAATACCGGGTTATAAAAGCTCTAAATAATAATAATAATAATAATAATAATAATAATAATAATAATAACAACAACAACTTCCATGGCCACATGCCTTCTTCAGACAAAAGTATACTTGTGTATGATATTTGGCTGCAACTTCCAGCAGCCCTATCCAGGGTGGTGGAAAAGTAACAGCTTCACTGGCTGAGCCAAATTCAAGGTGCAGGTTATGACCTATAAAGCCCTAAACGGTTCGGGCCCCTCCTATCTCCCTCTATGAACCGGCGCGAACTTTAAGATCGCTCCCTTTTGCTCCCACCACCGTCACAAGCACGGTTGGTGGGGACGAGAGAGAGGGCCTTCTCAGTGGTGGCCCCTTGCCTCTGGAACGCCCTTCCTGGGGAAATAAGACAGGCCCCATCCCTCCCCTCCTTTCATAAGAGCCTGAAGACCTGGTGGTTTACACAAACCTTTGAGAACGACTAGTTCTAGCTCTGCCCCAGATACAGTTGAAATTGGCCATATCTTCTTCTCTAGAATCATAGAATCAAAGAGTTGGAAGAGACCTCATAGGCCATCCAGTCCAACCCCCTGCCAAGAAGCAGGAATGTTGCATTTAAATCACCCCTGACAGATGGCCATCCAGCCTCTGTTTAAAAGCTTCCAAAGAAGGAGCCTCCACCACACTCCGGGGCAGAGAGTTCCACTGCTGAACGGCTCTCACAGTCAGGAAGTTCTTCCTCATGTTCAGATAGAATCTCCTTTCTTGTAGTTTGAAGCCATTGTTCCGCATCCTAGTCTCCAAGGAAGCAGAAAACAAGCTTGCTCCCTCCTCCCTGTGGCTTCCTCTCACATATTTATACATGGCTATCGTATCTCCTCTCAGCCTTCTCTTCTTCAGGCTCAACATGCCCAACTCCTTAAGCCGCTCCTCATAGGGCTTGTTCAACCAATTACCCAGGTCACTCTCTTCTGTTAGGCCCTTGAAATGTACAGCCATAGACTAATTTCCCGGGCCCTCTAAAATCGCAGTAGGCTGGCCCGGCCTTTTAAACTGCCTTGATCAGACATGATTATTTTAAATATATGTGCTATTGTGGTTTTAATGCTTATAATGTTTTGTTAATTTTATGTTTATGCCTTTTTTCTTGTGTGTATTGATTATGTTACTTGGAAACCGCTCTGAGTCCCCTTGGAGAGATAGAGTGGTATATAAATAAAGTTTTGTTGTTATTTTTGTTGTTGTTGTTGTTGTTGTAATGGGAATTGCAATCCAATAGTATTTTGAAGGCTGCCTAATTCCCACCTGTGCTAATAAAATGGCTCATAGTACACATTGCAAAGACAGAAAGAGCACTGGGTTTGACACTTGTGTAATAATTTGTGGGAGGTCACTATTGACTACAACTCTTAGGACCTGTGTAGGCAAAAAAGCTGCTGGCTGATATAAAAGTTCATCCTCTGGAGTGAGTGGCAGCTATTGCTGGAGCAGGAGTTGTGAACTTATTTTCTTCTCCATTCAAGAATTCCTACCGCTGTGCCTGCCTCGCTGCTGGATCCGTCCTGGAGGTTGTGGAGAAGGTCTGGTCTGGGGAGCTCCGTAATGGGCTTGCTGTGGTCAGGTAGGGCAAAAGTCAGGTGTTTTGGGCATGCTTTCATTAAGCAGATTTTATTTTAAATGTGGCCGTGAAGTTCCACCTCGGATATTGCATAAAGATCTCTTTCTAATAAGGCAGTGTTTCTCACCCTGTTGGTCCCTGGGTGTTTTGGCCTCCAATTCCTAGAAATCCCAGCCGGTTTACCAGCTGTTAGGATTTCTGGGAGTTGAAGGCCAAAACATCTGGGGACCCACAGGTGGAGAACTATTGTAATAGGGTTTGGAAGGTGAGCATACAGTTTTCCTATGTGTCATGCACGGAAGGGATGAATTTATATGGCACCGGGGCTAAAAGATTGGATGAATTTATGTGGCATCAGTGATTATGTGATTCTTCTGAAACATGATAGATGTCAAGAACAATGAATCAGTTTTTCATCCTGTAGCTTTATTTATTTATTTATTTAATATATTTGTATACCACTCTTCTCAGCCCTGGGGCGACTCAGAGCAGTTAACAATAGAAAAATTCAATGCTCAAAAACATCATAAAACAGTTAAAAACAAGTAAATCAGTAGCATAATAAACAGTCAATATAAATCAATAAAACATCTCATTAGCATCTCATAGTTAAAATCAAGATCCAGTCTCATCGTCCATTTGTTCCATATTCCTATGTTCGTTACACTGCTTATTCAAATGCCTGCTCGAACAATCAGGTCTTCACTTTCCTCCGAAATGTCAACAGGGAAGGGGCCAATCTAATATCTGTAGGAAGGGCTTTGGGACAATCATGAATTTCCCCCTGGAATCATAGGAGATATGCACAGTTTTTCCTTTGAGTTGTGTAGATCTTAGACAGGCCCCTATGTTGGCAGTCTTTAGAAAGAATTTGAAGAACTGGCTGTTCCGATGTGCCTTTCCAGAATAGGAGAACTCCAACAACAAGTCCCAGAAGCACTTTATTAGAAATTAAGATTGTTGGCACACTGCACTTACCCTATAATCCCTATATTACTTACTTACTTAGGTGATCCCTCGCTTTCCGAGGATGATTGTCTTCCAATATTCTTGTGGGTCTGTATGTGGCTGTGGAGCCCTATTCTTGCTCTGCATCTTCTTCCGCAGTGAGGGCATTGGTTTCCAGGTGGGAGGCGGTCTCAGCCAGGGTTGGCTTGACGCGCCTTCCTCTTGGCACGTTTCTCTTTTTCACCCTCCACTCGTGCCTCCTCAAATTCTGCAGCACTGCTGGTCACAGCTGACCTCCAGCTGGAGCGGTCAAGGGCCAGGGCTTCCCAGTTCTCACTGTCTATGCCAGAGTTTTTAAGGTTGGCTTTGAGCCCATCTTTAAATCTCTTTTCCTGTCCTCCAACATTCCGTTTTCCGTTCTTGAGTTCGGAGTAGAGCAGCTGCTTTGGGAGACGGTGGTCGGGCATCCGGACAACATGGCCGGTCCAGCGGAGTTGGTGGCGGAGGACCATCGCTTCAATGCTGGTGGTCTTTGCTTCTTCCAGCACGCTGACGTTTGTCCGCTTGTCTTCCCAAGAGATTTGCAGGATTTTCCGGAGGCAGCGCTGATGGAATCGTTCCAAGAGTTGCATGTGACGTCTGTAGACAGTCCACGTCTCACAGGCATAGAGCAGGGTTGGGAGGACAATAGCTTTATAAACAAGCACCTTGGTATCCCTACGGATGTCCCGGTCCTCAAACACTCTCTGCTTCATTCGGAAAAATGCTGCGCTTGCAGAGCTCAGGCGGTGTTGTATTTCGGTGTCGATGTTGACTTTGGTGGAGAGGTGGCTGCCAAGGTAGCGGAAATGATCAACATTTTCTAATGTTACACCATTAAGCTGTATCACTGGCATTGGAGAGGGGATGGTGTCTGCTGGAACAGCACCTTGGTTTTTTCAATGACAGGCCGAGCTTCTCGTATGCTTCTGCAGAAGGTGTTTCGAGTGGCTTGTAGATCTTCTTCTGAATGCGCACAGACGACATTGTCATCAGCATACTGGAGTTCTATAACAGATGTTGTTGTAACCTTGGTTTTGGCTTTCAGTCTGCTGAGGTTGAATAGCTTGCCATCTGTCTGATAGATGATTTCCACTCCGGTGGGAAGCTTCCCATCAATCCCTAATATCACCTGTCACATCAGCACTTTTAATCTGTACCCATTACTCTGGCCCGGCCCAGTTTTATTGTGTCCTGGTGTATTGTTTTATTGCTTGTTGTTTAATATTGCTTTAACTGTTTTTAATTTGCTTTAGGTTTTGTATTGTTATGTTGTGTTTTGAGGCCTTGGCCTTTGTAAGCCTCATCGAGTCCTTCGGGAGATGCTAGCAGGGTACAAATAAAGATAATAATAATAATAATAATAATAATAATAATAATAATAGCTGGCCTAGAACACTGCATTGTTTTTCAAAAATCATACAGCTTTTCCTGAAAATTGTGCAGCTTTGGGCATAGAAAAGAAAATGCTGCAGTAGTCAAAACTGGCAAAAGCTGAAGCTTCTGTAAACCTAAATTTCCTTTCATGCTGAAGTCACAAAGGCTGCAGCCACAACACTGAACTCTTTTCTATGCATTACGGAGCTGCACAATTTTTCAAACTCTTGTGTAGTTTTAGAAAGCTGGACAGATTGTATTATGCTGGAAACACACACACAAAGTTCCTGCAAAGTTGTCTACATACAATTTTTCTTCCTTTGAGCTGGGAGCTCCAAATTTGACCCCAGTCTGGAAATGTGTGAATTCTGATCCCAGCACACGTAAGCAAGCTCCAATTGTGCTATGCTCCCAGTGTGCTATGCCCGTCTAATACTATTCTCTTTCTACCAGCCAAAAAAGGAACAATTTTCCTGAGCCACAAAATAAGAAAACAGATTAAGTTTTAGGAAAGCAAATTTAATATGATATCTAGAGGAAGCTTCTGGGTATAGGCTGGAACTAAATGTTAAATTAATACATGATTCCCAGTGTGTTGTTGCTTGTGTACAAGGATGATACATGTGAGTACATACTGATCTAACCCTGCCACATGACACCTTATAGTCCTTTGCTTCCAGATATTTTTTTTTCCAGACAATTTTTAAAGTCTTTGATTCTGGGCTGAATAAAACTGAATAGGAAGCTGGGCAAAGTTAATAACCCATTTTAGTGCCTTAAATTTCATATCTACTGCTGAAAGCATGAGGCATTTTCAATAAATATGCCTATTTTGTCCCCCCCCCCCACCACTTTTCCTAGTTTTGACCTTTTTAAAGATCAACATGCCAGAGGAAATTTGCTTTATCATGGGACTTGGGTTGTACATATTTAACTGTGATATGGATATGTAACCTTTTTGTTCAACCCATTTCTATTTCTGTGATAGAACTGCACTGATACTGTGTGATGTTTTGCTTCTAGCCTCTGTAGATCTTCTAATGTTGCATTGAAATGGAGAAAATGTCTCTCTGATGAACTTATTTTGCATCACTTCTAATCACTGTCATAGCCTGGTGAAGGGATGATCCATTCTTACAAAACCATATAGTAAAATAAGTTTGTAAGGTGCCATAAGATTCTGTCTTAATTTGATAATTTCCTCTGGTTTTGTGTTGTGCATGCACTGAGCCTTTTGAGGGTATCTGTCTAGACATCTCAACAGACAGATAAGAGTTCATGCCAACACAGTTTTAAAGTCTGGCTGCTTCGGCATCATATATTACCTGGGCTTCCTTACATCCAACCCATGACTTTCTCTAGTTCTGTTAGGAGTCAATTTCTGACAGCATGAAGACATCAAAAATTCCCTCCGTGACATCCTGACTGAATCATCCTGGCTGCCTCAATTCTCTCTCTGTGATATTTTGAAGCCAGCAGAGGGCATTGGAAACCTTGTATTGGAACTTGTGAAGCAACAAGCTCTAATAAGAAAACTGAGAAGAGGGGGGAGTTGGGCAGGAAAGGTGTATAAAAGGAAGTGGTGATGGGAAAAAGTCAGTAGTGTCTTTCTTTGCTGCAGAGATACAAGCAATATATCCATTTCAAAGCAAAACCGGCTTGTGAGTGGTCATTTAATATTGCTGTATAGATCCTACAGTCTTACAGATTACCTCATGTTGCTTCTTTGCTCTTTCAGGCCACCTGGACACCATGCTCAGCACAACAAGATGGATGGCTACTGTATGTTCAACAATGTAGGCATTGCAGCCCAATATGCCCGGAAGAAATTGGGGGTTGACCGGTGAGTAGCAGGACCCAAGCCCGAATTGCCTACAGCTTCATGGGTTAGCTCAAAGGACGCCAACATTGTTTCACTTCATATTCATCATGGGTGCAATACTATTATCTTTGCCTACAGGACTGCTAAATAATTATTGGAGTAATCTATTCTGAACACTTGAAAGATTTTTGAAATGTCAGGATTTATATATTGAATCAGATGTTACATTCTCAAGTAATTGCCCAGTTATTTGATCTGAGATGCCTCCTTACTATAACACCAGCCAACACATAATGTGGTGCCTCAATTGTTAACCCTTTTTCTGGGTGTATTTAACCTGCTGATCCCAAAAATGGCACCAGCTTTCACCCATCAGTTCTAGTTTTGAGACACAGAACATATGACATTTACCAGTCACCATCTGATTGTCCATAGAAAATCATGATAACCATATCTAAAATGAATGAGTCAAACATCCCACACAGAATCTCCATGACCAACAGAACATACTGTGTTTTCTGATGGTCTTTGGTGACCCCTCTGAAACCCCCTTGTGACCCCCACAGGGGTCCCGACCCCCAGGTTGAGAAACGCTCATCTATCCTATACATTTTTTTAATTGATGCCCCAAATAACCCCAAGAATAGACCTAAAAACTAAGATGCCAAGACTTGTTTGACATCGGGCTGTGTAATTCACCATCCAGTTATAATCCATTTCAATTTCTGATTAAAAGATCCCTGAATTCAGTAGGCCATCTTCAAAAATTAAATTATCAAACGTAGGGGGCCTGAAAGTATACAAAATAGCTGAATTTTGATTACTCTGTCTAGAAAAGTGGTTCTCAATCTGGGGTCCCCAGATGTTTTGGGCCTTCAACTCCCAGGCATCCCAATAGCTGGTAAACTGGCTGGGATTTCTGGGAGTTGTAGGCCAAAAACATCTGGGGACCCCAGGTTGAGAACCACTGATCTAGAACTTCCTCAAAGTGAGGAATCTTTGTCTTCTCTTGATGTTGTTGTAACTCTTGGTCATCCCTCATTATTACCTCTACTAGCTGGAGCTGATGGAAGCTGCAGTCCCAGCAACACATGAAGGGCTGTCCATTTAATAATAATAATAATAATAATAATAATAATAATAATAATAATAATAATATTTATTTGTACCCCGCCACCATCTCCCCAGTGGGGACTCGGAGCAGCTTACATGGGGCCCGGCCCGAACAACAATTACAATAAAGAAAACTAAAACACAACCGAAAACGCAAACAATAAACAACATCATTGTTACATAAAAAATATGAATACATAACAATATAAGAATTACAATAGACACAGGTACAGAGACAATGGGCGGGCTACATGTAATTATTTATTTATTTATTTATTTCGGTTTCTTCTACCCCGCCCTTCTCACCCCGAAGGGGACTCAGGCCGGTTTACAAAGGCACAATTCGATGCCAGCATCAACATAACGGTAGAATAAAAACAATATAGCAGCAATTAAACAATTAACAAAACAATATAGCAGCAATTAAACAATTAACAATCAGTTTCTGCATTGCAACAATAAAACCAATTTCACCTAATTAACGTTCAGCATTCACCATCTCATAGTCCAAATTCCAATTCCACTTTGTCAGTCCTGTCAGTCCTAGTCGTCTGATTGTCCTTATCTAGTTGTCAGATTGCCCGAAGGCCTGTTCCCACAACCATGTTTTTAATTTCCTCCTGAAGGAGAGGAGGGACGTTGATGACCTAATTTCCCCCAGGAGTGAGTTCCACAGATAAGGGGCCACCACTGAGAAGGCCCTGCTCCTCGTCCCCACCAACCTCACTTGTGATAGCGGCGGGGTCGAGAGCAGGGCCTCCCCAGATGATCTCAAACTCTGGGGTGGGATGTAGAGGGAGATGTGTTCAGACAGATACGCTGGACCGGAACCGTATAGGGTTTTGTAGGTCAAAACCAGCACCTTGAATTGTGCTCGGAACTGAACCGGCATCCAGTGGAGCTGACACAACAGGGGGGTGGTGTGCTCCCTGTATGACGCTCCGGTGAGTAATCTGGCTGCCGCTCGCTGGACCAGTTGAAGTTTCCAAACAGTCTTCAAGGGCAACCCCACGTAGAGTGCGTTGCAGTAATCTATTCGGGATGTCACAAGAGCGTGGACCACTGTGGCCAGATCAGGCTTCCCAAGGTACAAGCGCAACTAATTAAAACTAATTAAAAACTCAGACAAGATAAAAGAGAGAAGCAGATAATATGCGGAGTAGTACTCATTTCCCCTTCCAGAGCTAAGAACACATGCAAACATAAACAATACCCAGGATCCTGGAAACTGTAGTTCAGTCAGTCTGCCAAAATCTGCCTGTTTAGGATCCCAGTCCTCCTGAAAGACTACAGCCAGTAGAACATCTTGGAAGGATGCTGCTGACAGTGAGGCTGATCCTAATTTGCCTCTTTCATTTATCAGATTTGTTTCCTTTTCTCTTTTCAGGGTGCTTATTGTTGATTGGGATGTGCATCATGGCCAAGGCACACAGTATTTATTTGAAGATAATCCCAGGTGTGAAATGCAAGAGTCGCTTTGGTTAAAGGGTTCTGCGGGGTGGGGTGGGAGGCTAAAAGAGGGGGCTGGAGAACATGCCATGTTAGATGGAAAATAGACGTTAGCAAAAGAAGGGATCATCAAATATGGGCTTGAACATGGATTACTGGGGCCTGGCTGTTCCATCACAGTTTCTCCTCTGGTCTCTTTTCCTAGTGTCCTTTATTTCTCCATCCATCGCTATGAAGGTGGCAACTTCTGGCCACACCTCCCCGAGTCCGACAGCCACGCCGTGGGCAGAGGTCGGGGAGAGGGATACAACATCAACGTGCCCTGGGACCAGGTAAGGAAATGGGGTGCATGGGGTGTCTGCGAACAGAGTGGGACAAATGCTAGGTAGAAGCTGCATTGGAGGAGACTAGATCGCTCTCTTTCCAGGACCATGGAGGCTTGTACCCACATTTCTACCTAAAACCTTTTGCCGGTCATGCCCTTCAAAGTTTTTGGGGGAGACAACAATGGTTAGTTTGCTCTGATTTAATGCCTCTTTCAGCCAGGAAAGAAGCTCTTTTCCTGACCATCTTTAAAATAAACATGAGGGGGACTAAAAATATCCCCCAGGGCAGCAAAATGTCCAATAGCAACCTTAGAAGAGAATGAGTCTAATCTCAGCATCAAAGGGAATCATTTTGGATTCCATTCTCACCATCGAAGGGAATTATTGATCATTTTGGATTCTAATTTCAGCATAGCCTTATTTGTGTGTGGGAGGAAGAATTTATTTGTCAGGTCCAGATCATAAAGCTGCTATTTTCATCTCTGTCCCTCTAGATAGGAATGGGGGATGCGGACTACCTTGCTGCCTTTTTGAATATCCTGATGCCTGTAGCCTTAGAGGTAAGAAATTCAACAAGACATTACTGGCAAATCCTGCATAAAATGCCCTTTGACGTTCTTTATCTCACCCTTTAATGTAATTAAACCCCATTGTTTTGTCCCACCTGAACCTCCCTCCAGATACACTACACTACTTACCTCACCTAGGGTTCTAAAATATTTTAGTCTTTGCAACTGGCCCTGCCCACCTTGATCAATTACTGTGATTTTATATTGCTTCTTGTGTTTATTTTGTATTGTTCTTTTATTATTTTTATTATATTTTATTGATGTATTATTTTATGTTGTATATTTGCTTTGTTGTAATTGTTGGGCTTGGCCTCATGTAAGCTACCCCGAGTCCCCTTGAATAAAGTGTTGTTGTTGTTGCTGTTGTTGTTGTTCTTATTTACTTACTTCAATCCTGCTGTGCTCCCATAACTGAGGGGCCTTTTTAAAGGTTTTCTTTTTAAAAACATAACCTGTCTCAGGGGTTGAGGGATGGAAGGGTCTGGCCAGTTACGTGGCCAGCGGGATTTGTGGTTTTTAATGAGCACTCCTCCACAAATAACCTGCTTCTCCTTTATCTCACCCGAGTTTTAGTCAGTTTTTAATTAGTTTTTCTTTTAATCATTACATGCAGCCTGCCCATTGTCACTGTGATTATGTTTACTGTAATTTTTATATTGTTATGCATTCATATGTTTTATGTAATTGTGATGTTATTTATTGCTTGTGTTTTCTGCTTTATTTTGCTGCAGTTTGTTGTTTGGGCTTGGCCTCATGTAAGCCGCCCAGAGTCCCCATCGGGGAGATGGTAGTGGGGTATAAGTAAATAATAATAATAATAATAATAATAATTATTATTATTATTATTATTATTATTATTATTATGGTGGCACCTTCTCTCTTGTTTTATTTCAGTTTCAGCCCCAGCTGGTACTGGTTGCTGCTGGTTTTGACTCTGTAATTGGTGACCCCAAGGTATGAAAATATATCTGCTACTCTCTGCAAGATAAGTATCAGCATGTTTCTTCCCTTCTTTCTGAAGGGAATGGAGATCTGTTATTGGGGGTTTGTGCCTCTCCCTTCTATGCACTCTAAATATGTTTTGGGAATGTGTTCTGGGGTCAGACAGCCCAAATATGGGCCTGTGAGAACAATGGAGGGGTTCTCTTCTGCCTGGTCTGCTGTCTGCACAAAGCCTCTAGGTTATTTTAAGCCTTAAAAATATTTCTGTAGTACAATCTACTCTTTCTTTCCTCTCCCATTCCCTCCAAAGAATAAGACCAGAAAGTTAAAGAGTCCTTTCTTTGCACCCATAGGGAGAAATGGCCACCACCCCTGGTTGTTTTGCTCACCTGGCACATCTGTTGATGCCCCTGTCTGGAGGCAAGCTGGTTCTGTCTCTGGAGGTAAGTGATTATGATTGCTGCCTTTGAGTGGTGAAGCTATTGGTCACTTCATGGAAGAGCAATGCTAATGAAAGGGTCTTCTTCCTTCCATTCCTCAGGGTGGGTATAATCTCCAGTCCTTGGCAGAGGGAACCTGCACAGTCCTCAAGGCTCTTCTTGGAGACCCCTGCCCTCTGCTGGACTCACCCCTTGCACCATGCAGAAGGTGAGAAAACATTTTTCCCTCCTCAAGTGTTGTCCCCATCTCCAGGCTGCATGCCTCCTGCCGATTGGCAATCTCTAAATATTTTCTCTCCCGGCAGTGCCCTACATTCAGTGTCCCAGACGCTTGTAGCTCACAGCAAATTCTGGAAAACTCTAAGAAGGCTCAGTAAGTGCTTGGGCTAAGACCTATTTTCCCCATTCCATCTATATAAATAAAAATGTAATGTTTGTTTGTGGGATTAACATAACTCAAAAACCACTGGACGAATTGACACCAAATTTGGACACAATACACATATCAGGCCAACAAGTGACCACCACCCATAAAAACACTGAAAAACACAGCAGAAGGGACTTAAGAAACCAAAACATAAAAATCACATTACAACGTATGCACAAAACCACACACACACACACACATATATATGCAAACACATATACACACACAACACATATACACAGACTGGGCCACAGCAATGCGTGGCAGGGGATGGCTAGTAAGCAATAAGAAGTCCCTTCCCAGTCACTTTGCTGCAAAATGCATGACCCCATAAAACCTCTACACACTTCTTCCTTTTCTCCTCCTAATTATGTGATATAAATTGCTATATCTGCCAATTCCATTACCATGTCTGTGGGAAAACGTTGTATGCCCTCCAGGCAATTCTGTGGCATACTTCCACCAGAAGATATAGAGTTGCATTGGAGAATCTAACAAATTCGTAGAGAGGTAACCTGTTAAGGAATGTCTGTGTCCTCCAATGCAACAGTGGTATGCTGGAAACAAAAGAAAGTTGAATGAGTGGATGGTTGGATCCATTGTTTGGTTGTATCTATGGTTTTAGGTCTTTACTAGGCATGTGCAATCCATGGTCCTTTTTTTTTAATAGTCTTTATTGGCTTTTCTATTAATACATATACATGGTTCTAAATGGTTCTAAGTACTTACAAAACTGAAGTTCTGGTGGTGAAAACTAGGAGGCGCTGGTGCTTTGCTTCTACTGTGTTGCTAAAGTTCTGGTAGTCAAAATTTCAGAACTCTAACAAAATTTTCAAAATTTATTTGTCGTGTCAGAACAACCAGTCAAATTATATTACATTTCTAACAGAACAAAGCAAACAAGCAGATAACAAAATTTGAGTATGAGAGTTGATTAAATGTCCTTTGACCAGTATCTGGCCACTTGGAGTGCCTCTGGTGTTGCTGCAAGAAGGTCCTCCATTGTGCATGTGGCAGGGCTCAGGTTGCATTGCAGCAGGTGGTCAGTGGTTTGCTCTTCTCCACACTCGCATGTCGTGGATTCCACTTTGTAGCCCCATTTATGAAGGTTGGCTCTGCATCTCGTGGTGCCAGAGCGCAGTCTGTTCAGTGCCTTCCAAGTCGCCCAGTCCTCTGTGTGCCCAGGAGGGAGTCTCTCATTTGGTATCAGCCATTGGTTGAGGTGCTGGGTTTGAGCCTGCCACTTTTGGACTCTCGCTTGCTGAGGTGTTCCAGCGAGTGTCTCTGTAGATCTTAGGAAACTATTTTGCTCCATCAATGTTTAACATTTACACAAATGACCAGTCACTGCCAGAAGGGACAGAGAGTTTCATCTATGCTGATGATCGTGCCATTACTGCTCAAGCAGGGAGCTTTGAGATGGTAGAACAGAAGCTCTCCGAAGCTCTAGGTGCTCTTACTGCCTATTACAGGAAAAACCAGCTGATCCCCAACCCATCTAAAACACAGACATGTGCCTTTCATCTCAAGAACAGACAAGCATCCCGAGCTCTGAAGATCACCTGGGAAGGAATCCCACTGGAGCATTGCAGCGCACCCAAATATCTGGGAGTCACTCTGGACCGTGCTCTTACCTACAAGAAGCACTGCCTGAACATTTTCAAAATTTCATTATAAATGGCAGTTATTAATTGGTTCTGTCATAAAAATCATCAATAATGAAATAATAATGAAATTTTGAAAGTTTTGTTAGAGTTCTGAAATTTTCACCACCAGAACTTTAGCAACACTGTAGAAGCAAAACACCAGCGCCCCCTAGTTTTCACCACCAGAGTTTTAGTTTTGTAAGTGTTTTAGAACCATTTAGAAGCATGGATTGCACATGCCTAGTCTCTACAGATATGAGGGCCTTACTGCTTTGATAGCAACGTTGCTCTGGGTTGTTGTAATGTATACCATCTTGAGTTCCACTACAATGTAACTAATGAAATACCACAGGTGCCGAAGTGCCTCAGGAGAATGGAGAAGTCAGTGTAACTTTGCAACCACTCAGCACCCCATCTGTCAATGAGATCCTGTCCAAGTCAGCAGCTGAACTGATGAGACCCCTGCCACCTTCACGCACAGGGATGGTCTATGATGAGAAGATGACAGAGCATTACAATATGTGGGACAGGTAAAGATTGATTGAATGGGCTCTTTATTACCCATCCCTTATGTCCTCTGTATCTGTATTTGTGCTGTTAATATAAGAATACTGTAAAAAAGGGACATAGGAACGTGTCCAGAAGACATGTTCCCATGTTCTGGAAAGCATACACTATGGGAAACAGCTTAAAGAGTTTTTTTATGTTTATCCTGCACAAGAGAAGGGTGAGAGGAGACATTATAGCCATGTTTAAATATTTGAAGAGGGAGAAGGAGCAGGATTGTTTTCTGCTGCCCTGGAGACTAGGACTGGGAGCAATGGATTCAGATTACAGGAAAGGAGATTCTAACTGAACCTTAGGAAGAACTTGCTGATCTTAAGAGCTCTTCAGCAGTGGAACTCTCTGCCTCAGAGCATGGTGGAAGCTCCTTCCTTGGAGGCCTTTAAACAGACTGGATGGCCGCCTTTCAGGGATGCTTTGATTGTGCTTTTCCTGCATGACGGGGTTGGACTAGATGGCCCATGTTGTCTCTTCCAACTCTTATTATTGTATGATTGTGTCATCCATGAAATTAGTATGTGGATTCCCCTTTCCACAGATGTTCCTTGGGGGATGGAAATAGTAGCTCACTTTAGATGGCTGCTGACAGATTTCCTTTCCAGTACCTTGTGGGGCTGATGGTAATTGTAGCCCAAGCATATGGAGGCCAAAAATTCTCATATCTACTGTAGATGTTACTAGGACAGGTGGGACATAATTCTAATTATTTGATGAAGGTGCAAAGAAGACAGCTCATCTCTATTTTAGCATGTGTGTCACATGGAAAGTTAACTTGTTTGGAGTTAACTGAGGTAAACACTTGCCCAGAGTTATTGGATGAAATTCAGTGTGTTCCACTGGATAATGGGAACACGGTGCTTGGGAGTGATCCTGGACTCATCGCTGAGCCTGGAACCCCAGGTCTCGGCGGTGGCCAGGAGAGCTTTTGCACAGTTAAAGCTTGTGCGCCAGCTGCACCCGTACCTTGGGAAGTTGGACTTGGCCACAGTGATACACACTCTGGTTACATCCCGTTTAGACTACTGCAACACTCTCTATGTGGGGTTGCCTTCGAAGACTGTTCAGAAGCTGCAATTAGTCCAACACTCCGCAGCCAGACTACTAATGGGAGCGGGGTACAGGGAGCGCACAACTCCCTTGTTGCGCCAGCTCCACTGGCTGCCAATTAGCTTCCGAGGACAATTCAAAGTGCTGGTTTTAACCTACAAAACCCTATACGGTTCCAGCCCAGTTTACCTTTCTGAACGTATTCTCCCCTATGAATCATCAAGAGCGTTAAGATCGTCTGGAGAGGCCACCTTTACAGTCGCGTCTGGTGGGGATGAGAGACAGGGCCTTTTCTGTGGTGGCCCCCCGGCTATGGAATTTCCTCCCGAAGGAAATTAGATCTGTCCTCTCCCTCCTGACCTTTAGGAAACCTAGATATGGAACGAGGCCTTTGCAGAATAAGGGGTGAGACCAATAATCGACCAAAGTATTGACCACAATACATGGACTGAATATACGGACTGAGTTGGACATGTTTTTATCTTGGCGAACGGCTTTTGTGTATTTATTTTATATGTATTGTTAATTTACTTTTATTATATGTTGTTTTAGATTTTTACTATTTAGCATTGAATTCTTGCTGTTAGCCGGTCTGAGTCCCTCTACGGAGGTAGAGAAGATCGGGATATAAACGTTTTAAATAAATAAATAGTAAGGCCAACAACTTGTTTGTTAGACCTCTATCCAGATAAATGTGGACCTGGTGGCAGATGTGAAGGTTTTTTTTGACAAGAGGGGTGTGTTTCAACGACTTTAGAACAGAGGTAAGCAAAGTATGATCCCTGTGATAAATACAAATCTCTGGGGATGTTTCTGTAACCCTTCATCTTCCCACATAAAAGAGTGAAGAATCAACACTCTGAGATGTTGTGTGACCGTGTTCTAGCAGCATTTTCTCCTGGCGTTTTACCTACATCTGTGGTTGGCATCTTCAGAGGATCAACACTAACTCTTGAATTTCAGAGATGTTTCCCTTGGCTCATTGTCTCTCTTAGCATGTCCTCTCTTTCCCCGCAGTCAACACCCTGAGTTGCCTCAGAGAGTCTCCCGAATCTTCCAGCGCCACGGGGAGCTACGTCTCACAGAGCGGTGCTGCCGTCTCTCAACTCGGCTTGCCTCTGAAGAAGAGCTTCGGATGTGCCATAGGTAGGGACAAGTCCCTGTTTACATGCAGGTTTGAGCCCTCTGGACAAGCATGGGGAGTTTGTATCAGAGGTCTGTGCGCAGCGGAGTTGAGGTTACTAGATCACACAGACACAAAACAGGACACTGCAGTCTGCCAGTTTCAGAAAATAACAAAGTTTACTTAGCACATCTTAATACACGTCTACTTCCAAGCGAGCTTAATCAGGAACTACAACAGGAACTACAAAGCACAACTATAGTACGGTTACAGAACATTTGCTTATCAGTTTCACTTTGGCTGTAAGCTGGCTATTCCCTAATTCTTTCCAGACAGAGAGAACTTGTTGTCTTATTTCTGCCAAGGTCTCTTCTCTCTCTACCTCTCTGTCTCACACAACAATTCCAACATACTATTGAAGATAACTGAATCCATCTTGAATACATATGAACACCATTGTTAAACATATTGAAACACATTGAAAAAACATACATGCATACTTTCAATAATCCTGACAGTTTGGTAGGTGAAAGACTTTAGGAGGGATCTGATTCATTGACCTCCAAAAGTGTATATCCTAACTCTAGAACCAGATGTCTTACTAACACTGCCTTTCTCTTCTCTTCTCATGCTCCAGCCTGGCCTATGTGGAGACAGTGAAGTCAACAGCCACCATGAAGCCCCGTGACCTGCATCGCCAGGGTGACCAGTACAACTCCATCTTCATCTGCACCAGCTCCTATGAATGTGCCCGGCTGGCGGCTGGTTCCGCCTTCAATGCAGTTGAAGCCGTGTTCTCTGGGGAGGTGAGTTTCACCCTCTGCGTGGGGCAAGGATGCCGTGGCAAGTGCTTTCTCACCGGGGCTAGCCATTTTGGAGACACAAAAGCAAGACATAGGAAATCTTATTTTTGCTATTTTCAAATAGACTGACAGACCTAGCCCTTTACCTATTTCTGCTCTGTAAGGTGGGACTGTGAAACTTTGCAGGAGGGTCTTTAACGTTTTTTAAATACCTTTATTAATAGATGTTTTTTCTAAATCATATAAAACATCATACACAGTAAAAGCAAGAAAAATATAACTGCAACCTATAATAATTCTACAGACTACAAACAACTATACTATAGCACAACACACACTGCAAATGAAAACAAAAAAATGAGAAAGCAAAATGACTTCTAACTATCCAGCTAATGGTTCTAGGTGCAGAAAAATTATACTTCCTCTAAAATCTCCATCAAATGAACTTCTGTAGTTCATTTATAGAATTCTGTTGTTGTTCATTTGTTCAGTCGTTTCCGACTTTTTGTGACCTCATGGACCAGCCCACGCCAGAGCTCCCTTTCGGCTGTCACCACCCCCAGCTCCTTCAAGGTCAATCCACTCACTTCAAGGATGCCATTCATCCATCTTGCCCTTGGTCGGCCTCTCTTCCTTTTTCCTTCCATTTCCCCAAGCATCATTGTCTTCTCTAAGATATAGAATTCTACTGTTCTTCAATTCTCTTTTGGGTATCAGGTTCAAAATGCTGTGGCCATCGTCCGACCACCTGGTCACCATGCTGAATCGGACACCGCCTGTGGCTTCTGTTTCTTCAACTCTGTGGCCTTGTCCGCTCGATATGCACAGCGCCTGGCTGGGCGGCCTATGAGGTGAGGCAGCTATGTCACCCTGAGCCATGGAGCACATCTGCTTCCACAAACGCAAGCAGGTTTAGCGCCTGTGCTTTGTTCTGTGGGAGGAATCCCAGCAGCAGTTGCTCTACTGACATTCTCCTTTAGGGGCATGCTGATTAGGATGACTTGTCCTGAGTTAATACTTTGGATTTTGGGACTTGTCCAATTGTGCTTTCATTTTTAGGGTGATGATACTGGACTGGGATGTTCACCATGGCAATGGGACCCAGCATATGTTTGAAAATGATCCCAGGTAACTTTCTCCAGCACTTTCACAGCACTTTATTTCCCTTGAAAATGAAATTATTGTTTTTCTTTTCTTTAAAATGTCATTTGCTTATCTTGGCCTTCACTTTTGTTTTGTGATGGATCGTTTTTGTTCCCTTCCAATAATGATTTCCCATTGGGGATAAAAGCCTTAACGTTCTGCTGTTGGAAACCTCATCTTATCCACATGACATGAATATTAAAAAAATATAGGACCGGGTTGTTGTAGGTTTTTTCGGGCTATATGGCCATGGTCTAGAGGCATTCCCTCCTGACGTTTCGCCTGCATCTATGGCAAGCATCCTCAGAGGTAGTGAGGTCTGTTGGAACTAGGAAAAAGGGTTTATATATCTGTGGAATGACCAGGGTGAGACAAAGGACTCTTCTCTGCTGGAGCTAGGTGTGAATGTTTCAACGGACCGCCTTGATTAGCATACAATGGCCTGACTGTGCCTGGGGCAAACTTTTGTTGAGAGGTAAATAGATGTCCCTGCCTGCTTGCTCTCTGTTGTTGTGCTGTTGCAATTTTAGAGTTTTTTAATACTGGTAGACCATTTCTTCATTTAGTCTTTTTAATAGCACTTATCTATCAAATGAGCTCAGCATATGTATAAGCAGAAAAATAACACTAGATGCCAAAAGTTATGGTAGGTTGTATTGAATAATATGTATCTGCTGTAAAACAAACAGTGTATAACAAATGTATTAAACCATGATAAAATAAAAATATATTTTTTTAAAAATGAGCTCAGCATAGCTTTGAATCTGAGGCAGGAATACTTATTAATGTCGTAAGGAGTAAATTTCAAATTGGGTTGTAGGTTTTTCAGGCTATATGGCCATTTTCTAGAAGCATTCTCTCCTGACATTTCACCTGCATCTATGGCAGACATCCTCATAGATGCTTTCCATAGATGCAGGCGAAACATCAGGAGAGAATGCTTCTAGAACATGGCCATATAACCTGAAAAACCTACAACAATCCAGTGATTCCAGCCATGGGAGCCTTCGACAATAAATTTCAAATTGTTAGCATTCATTTATTATTTTAATTTTTAAAAAGCATTGATGGTTTTTCTAAATGAGAGGCTTGGAATGGAGCCGGGAGGAGAGAGAAGAATGGGCCAAAATTCTGCAATATTAGGAAACAATCCAATGAAAACTGCTGTGGGGCTTTGAGACAGCTGACTTCCAGTTCTGCTAGTACAAAGGGACAATGGCACTCATCTATCTTTCCTGGATGTTCTGCGATAAACAGAAGAACCTGTAAGAAATGATGGGAGGATTCCCAAATGAAAGGCCATTATCTCCTCCTCTCCTCTATTTCTCTAAAAGTATGCAGATGAGCATGGTTAGTTGCACAATAAAGTCATCATCTGGAAGAATCACTTGGGATGTGCAAATCACTTGGGGTAAACAGGAGGGAGATTGAGATCTACCAATAGATCTCTGAGTGATTTGCAATAATCATAATCATGATAGTGTAGGGAAAAAAAATCACAAATTAAAATTGACTGGGTAGACCTGCTAGAAGAGTTAGTTCTTCAGTTGTGTCCTGAATTCCGATTTAGTTGTTGAATCTCATTCCAACAATAGATCGGTAAAGTGTTTTGACTCCTAATTCTTTAAGAGTGGTAACAACTGGATGGCTTCCACCACTTTTGATTGATTACTGAAATCAAAAAACAAAGCTTGCGGGAAAACTGGGAATGGGCTTTTTGTGAGAAGAGTGTGAGCTCAGTTGTTTTGGTGATGGGAAAAAAGCCTCTGGAAATGTAATGTGTTCAGAAACATCGAGTTTGTTCTGTCAAGGTTTATGTCCTCTATCTTACTTCATCCTCATTTCCTCAAATATTATTCTGCACCATTTGACTCTTAGGCCCACTCTAAACTGCCATATAAAATCCAGATTACTGCTTTGTACTGGATTATATGGCAGTGTGGACTCAAATAATCCAGTTCAAATGTGAATTATCTGCTTTGATCATTTGGATTATATGGTATTGTAGAAGGGGCATAATAGGAAACTAAAACAAGCCCCCTTGCCCTGGCTGTGTTATTTATTATTTATTTAGAACTTTTATATACCGGTCTTCTTGACCTCCGGAGAGGGACTCAGGCCGGTTTACAACAAGATTAATAAACAATAGTTTAAAACATCACACCCTATAACACACTAATACATAAAATACATTAAAAAAAACAATCATATAATTACATAAGGCCAAGTCATCAAAATGAAATCACAATTCATCACCATCTGTCAGTGTGGTCAAAAGTTATTGACTCACTCATCAAATGCTAAATTCCAGAGCCAAGTTTTCACGAACTTTCTAAAAGTCAGGAGAGAAGGGGCGGTTCTAATCTCCAGTGGGAGAGAGTTCCAGAGCTGAGGGGCCACCACCGAAAAGGCCCTGTCCCTCATCCCCACCAGACGCAATTGCGAGGGTGGTGGGACCGAGAGCAGGGCTCCTCCAAAAGATCCTCCATCTTACTTCATCCTCATTTCCTCAAATATTATTTATTATGTGTAAGATGACAAAACTCCCTGTGGTCTTTGACCTTATAGAAATAAAATCCCCTGTTGGAACAGGTATGCTTGGCAAGCATATTTTGTAAAGTTATGGCAGTGCAATTTGTTGGCATCCTCTTTAGTAACTATGACAGTGTTTCTCAACCTGGGAGTCGGGACCCCTGGGTGGGTCGCGAGGGGGTGTCAGAGGGGTTGCCAAAGACCACCGGGAAACAGTGTTTTCTGTTGGTCATGGGGGTTCTGTGTGGGAAGTTTGGACCAATTCTATCCTTGGTGGGGTTCAGAATGTTCATTGATTGCCTATTTTCCCCAATCTCCACCAGTGTTCATATTTGGGCATATTGAGTTTGGTCCAGATCTCTGGATGTAGGCGAACTACAACTTCAAAACTCAAGGTCAATGCCCACCAAACCCTTCCAGTATTTTCTATCGTTGGTGGGGTTCAGAATGCTCATTGGTTGCCTATTTTCCCCAATCTCCACCAGTGTTCATATTTGGGCATATTGGTCCAGATCTCTGGATATAGGCAAACGACAACTTCAAAACTCAAGGTCAATGCCCACCAAACCCTTCCAGTATTTTCTGTTGGTCATGGGAGCTCTGTGTGACAAGTTTGGTTCAATTCCATCATTGGTGGTGTTCAGAATGCTCTTTGATTGTAGATGAACTATAAATCCCAGCAGCTACAACTCCCAAATGACAAAATCAACCCCACCCCCCACCCCCCGACACACATACTAGTATTCAAATTTGGACGTATCAGGTATCTGTGCCAAATTTGGTCCAGTGAATGAAAATACATCCTGCATATCAGATATTTACATTACGATTCGTAACAGTAGCAAAATTACAGTTATGAAGTAGCAACGAACATAATTTTATGGTTGGGGGTCAGCACAACATGAGGAACTGTATTAAGGGGTCGCAGCATTAGGAAGGTTGAGAAACACTGAACTATGAAGTAGATCTGAACAAGCTTGGCATTCATTATCCCCTTTTTCTTATCCCCTTTTACTTCCAATGTAGCGTCCTGTACATCTCCATCCATCGCTATGACAATGGGACTTTCTTTCCCACCTCTGAGGATGCGGACTATGACCGGGTGGGCTTGGGGCCTGGCAAGGGCTTCACCCTTAATGTGCCTTGGAACTGTCCCCGGATGGGAGACCCCGAGTACCTGGCTGCCTTCCATCAGATTGTCATGCCTGTTGCCTATGAGGTAGGTGAGGGCCGAGTTGACCATATTCAAACTCCCAAGCACAGGAAGCCGTGTGACAAATATAGCACAGCTTTACATTGGTTCTGATAGCAGCTCTCCTCACTGAACTACAGTTCCTTTCCAAAGACTAGCAGTTATTTCAGAGCCCTATCAATGTGTTCTCTCCTGGATCAGGTGTGTGTGTGTGAGAGAGAAAGAGAGAGACAGTGTGTGTGTGTGTGTGTGTGTGAGAGAGAGAGAGAGAGAGAGAGAGAGAGAGGAAAAAAGAGGAAAAGTTAGAGAACAACACAGAGAGACAGGCAAGGGCCTCTCCGTCCACTGACAAAGTTTGGCTTTGTACCCAGAAATGATTTTCACACCTCTGATGTATGAAGGGACCAATGAAGATGTCTTCCACAACTAAGAAGTTGGAAGGAAATGTTCATCTGCAAATAGCAACCTTTCTGCTTTGTCTCTGTTTACTGATGTTGCTGTTTACTGATGTTGCTTACATTGCAGTTCAATCCAGAGCTGGTCCTGGTTTCTGCTGGTTTCGATGCTGCTCGTGGGGACCCTCTGGGTGGCTGCCTTGTGACCCCCGAATGTTATGCGCACATGACCCATCTGCTCTTGGGCCTGGCAGGAGGCAAAGTGGTAGTTGTCTTGGAGGTACGTCAGAGATGGGCTTTAATATATCACGGTGCGTTACATGGGAACCAGTTCAGCAGTGGATGGTTCAGTGGGTAATTTGGATGGGTAAGTTGGGGAAAGAGTGGAAATCTGGGATTGAAGAAGAAGAAGAACTTTATTTTTCTACCCCGCCTCCATCTCCCTGAAGGGAATCGGGGCAGCTTACATGGGGTCCAAGCCCAGGCAGAATACAATTAAAATAAAGCAATAACAATTAAAACAGCATAAAACAGCGTAAAACAACATAACAAAAATAGCTAGCAACAACAATAACAGCAGACTAATGTTGGAGGGGCGGGGGGAGGAAAACCACTATGTGAACTAGTTAAAGGATAAAGTGGTTTAGTAAGGTGGATAACAATGTATAACGGCATTGGAAATATCATGGAAACAGAGCAAATTAACAGGATCAGTTAATATAATACAGGACATCAGATTGGATGACAATTCAAGTCATGATACAAGCCATTTGTCATAGGAGTTGTCAATCGAAAGCACGACGAAACATCCACGTCTTTCATACCTTACAGAATGTGATTTGTGGCACTGGCGGAGCCCATGGACTAGAACACATAATCTGTTTCTTTCTTTCTCTCCCATGCAAATTCCCTCCATTTAGGGTGGCTACAACCTAGAGTCCATATCGGAGTCCATGACCATGTGCACTCGCAGCCTCCTAGGAGATCCTCCCCCTGCCTTGGGACGCCTCAAGGCTCCTCACCCCAGCGCTCTGCAGTCTTTGGCCTGTGTAGCTTCTGTGCACCGCAAGTACTGGGCCAGCCTCCGACTGGAAGGTGAGTATTCTTTCCAGACCATTTGCCATTTTTTTTGGTGGCAGGACTAGAAGTTTCAGATTCACCTCTTGCCTCTTCTTTGAATTCAGATTGGGTGACAGGCAGGCTACTGATTCAGCCTCTCATTTCCTGCCATTGAATAGAGGGGCTCCTCTAAAGATTACATTATATAACACAATGTGAAAAAGATTCTGTTCCTGGTTTGAAAGTGTTATTTCCTGTTTAACTATGCAATACTTACTTTGAAAGTAGTTGTTACACTCCAGAAACTTCATTTTTGTGGCTGTCACAGAAAATGCCTGCTATTGATTTGTGCTTTTACTGCATGGCAGAGAGAGTTTGGACTATGTGGCCCCAGGAGTTGCTATTATTATTATTATTATTATTATTATTATTATTATTATTATTATTATTATTTCAAAGGCTGGATGGTCATCTGTTAGGGGTTCTTTGATTTGTGCTTTTACTGCATGGCAGAGAGAGGTTGGACTATTTGGCCCCTGGAGATGCTATTATTATTATTATTATTATTATTATTATTATTATTATCATTATTATTATTATTATTATTATTATTATTATTCTTTCAAAGGCTGGATGGTCATCTGTTAGGGGTGCTTTGATTTGTGCTTTTACTGCAGAGATAGGCTGAACTGGGTGACCCCTGATGTTGTTGTTGTTGTTGTTGTTGTTGTTGTTGTTAGATACATAACAAGATCAGTCCACAATGAACAAGATCACTATGGTAGCTTTTGTATTTGATCACACGCCAGACACTTCATTATTATTATTATTATTATTATTATTATTATTATTATTATTACTAGCCGTCCCCTGCCACGTGCTGCTGTGGTCCACATGGGGGTTTTGTGTGGGAGGTTTAGTCCAATTCTATCGTTGGTGAGGTTCAGAATGCTCTGTGATTGTAGGTGAACTATAAATCCCAGCAACTACAACTTCCAAATATCAAGATTCTATTTCCCCCAAACTCCACCAGTGTTCACATTTGGGCATATTGAGTATTCGTGTAGAGTTTGGTCCAGATCCATCATTGTTTGAGTCCACAGTGATCTCTGGATGTAGGTGAACTACAACTCCAAAACCAAAGGACACTGCCCACCAAACCCTTCCAGTATTTTCTGTTGGTCATGGGAGAACTGTGTGCCAAGTTTGGTTCAATTCCATCATTGGTGGGGTTCAGAATGCTCTTTGATTGTAGGTGAACTATAAATCCCAGCAACTACAACTCCCAAATGTCAAATCTATTTTTTTGAGCGAAGAACATACATTGGGTTGTTAGGTGTCTTGTGTCCAAATTTGGTGTCAATTGGCCCACTGGTTTTTGAGTTCTGTTAATCCCACAAATGAACATTACATATTTATTTATATAGATTATTATTATTATTATTATTATTATTATTATTATTATTTGAAAGGCTTGGTGGTCATCTGTTGGCATGCTTTGATGATTGCTTTTACTGCATGGCAGAAACAGGTTGGACTGAGTGGCCCCTAGAATTGCTCCTGTTGTTGTTGTTGTTGTTGTTATTGCAAAGGCTGGATGGCCCCTGGGGTCTTCCACCAAAGTTCTGTTAAGTTTATGTTAGTTAAAATTGTTCTTCATTTTAAATATTGTATTGTTCTTTCTTTCTTTTGCACTACAAACAAGATATGTGCAGTGTACATAGGAATTTGTTCATTTTTTTCAGTTAGTTCACATAAACGTCATCGATCTGTCTCTGGCCCAGCCCATCTATCAAATTTTAAAATTCAATTCCGTCGCTGTGTTGAAAAGTTTCTTGGGGCTCCTTCAAAAACTTTTCCTTCAAAAGGGGCTCTGAAGCTTTAAAAGTTTGAGAACCCCTGTTTTAAACTATGACCAAAGTGTGGGATTGTAAGCCACCTTGAGTCCTCATGGAAAGATGGAGTATAAACAACAACAACTTGGGAAGTGCCCAACGTGTGATCCAATACAAAAACGAGCATCGTGATCTTGTTTGCTGTGTACTAATCTTGTTGTATATCAGATAATAATAATAGTATAGTTTATTTGTAAGACACTGTTGATTGTAGGATGCACCCTACCACCACCAACATAAATACATAAGATACACCTGGGATTCTAAATGCACCCCATTTTTATTTGTATTTATTTATTTCATATATTTATATCCCGCCCTTCTCCCCACAAGGGGGACTCAGCGCGGCCTCAGAGGATGCTAACAGCATAAATAACATAAAAATTTCAATTCACAATAAAATCATTTTAAAACATTGTACAACATCATCAGTAAAATTTAACAATAAATTAATAGATTAACGTGCCAGTAAAAACAAAGCCGAGACAGGAGAATCCATATCACAAAATTCAAATTTCTTTTTCCTATTGCCGCTGGGCTCTAATTGAACGCCTGGCCCCAGAGTCAGGTCTTGAGTTGTCTTCTAAAGGACAGGAGGGAGGTAGCCAACCTGATGTCCTTAGGGAGAGAGTTCCACAGACGGGGGTCCACTGCCGAGAAGGCCCTGTCTCTTGTCCCCACCAACTGTGTTTGCGAGAGTGGTGGGATCAAGATGATGATCTTAAGCTTTGTGATGGTTCATAGCAGGAGATACGTTCGGACAGGTAATCTAGAGATGTTATGTATTTATATGTTTTTATGTAACTATGATGTTATTGTTTATTGTATTGCATTTTCGGTTTGAGTTTTGGTTTTTCTTTATTGTAATTGTTATTTGGGCTTGTCCTCATGTAAGCCGCTCCGAGTCCCCATTGGGAAGATGGTGGCGGGGTATAAATAAAGATGATGATGATTATTATTATTATTATTATAGAGATGTTTATATAGGAAAAGAAGTGTGTCTTAGAATTGAAGAAATACAGTTGTCATTACTGTTATTATTAATTTGTTACCCAACTCCTTTCAAAACTCAAGGTGGGGCCCAACACAGTTAAAATACATCATCATAAAATACAGTAATTAAAATACATATATTCAAATGCATTTCTACAAATTAAAATGCACAGGGCAGAGATTAAAACCCAAAGTCATAGGATACAAACTTTAAAATTCATAGGGTTGTTGTAGGTTTTTCGGGCTATATGGCCATGGTCTGGAGGCATTCTCTCCTGACGTTTCGCCTGCATCTATGGCAAGCATCCTCAGAGGTAGTGAGGTCCTCATTACCTCTGAGGATGCTTGCCATAGATGCAGGTGAAACGTCAGGAGAGAATGCCTCTAGACCAGTGGTTCTCAACCTGGGGTCCCCAGATGTTTTTGGCCTACAACTCCCAGAAATCCTAACAACTGGTAAACTGGCTGGGATTTCTGGGAGTTGTAGGCCAAAAACATCTGGGGACCCCAGGTTGAGAACCACTGCTCTAGACCATGGCCATATAGCCCAAAAAAACCTACAACAACCCAGTGATTCCGGCCATGAAAGCCTACGGCAATACATTTAAAATTCATAGTTTAAAATTGACTGAGAATGGTGTCATTCCGAAATTGAGAGCAATGGGTGGTGTGCTGGACAAGCGACAATGGCTCATCTGAATGCAACCTCCTGCAGTAGCTTCTCCTGCAAAAATCACTAACTATTGAAGAGTTTAGGGTTATATACATACATTCGTTAGAGCGCATATAACTTAATCAGGAATGTATACAGTTGTGGAGATTTTCTCAAGTCTAAAGGGAACTCTTCTTCTTCATTGGTTCAGGAAGTAAGCTAGCAGGTTCAGTTGCTGCCAGCAAGAGGGCATTGCTTCAGTGATGCCTATTAAGTGCACCATTGAAGCTTTTCTTTTTGACTGGCAAGGGAGCAAAGCATGCTGGGTCTGGTTTACTCCCTCAAGCACTTTGCTACTGATTGGAAAAGGGTAGCGATCTTGGTGAGTCATTGTACTTAGATCGTATTTCCTGCAATTTGCTTAATTTTTCAAAATTTGAATGAATGGCGAATTGCTTGCCCCCTCTTTTCTCAATCTACCTTTTCCCCGCAGCTGTCATTCAAAGAAGTGACATTGTATTTCCTTTCCTTTCCTTTTTTCCTCTTTTTTCTTTTCCTATTTGCACAGCTGCTGGGAGTAGAGGGAGCGATCAGAGGGCTAGGAAGGTTTGCTGCCATGTAGGAAATGTCACAGATCAGGCCCGTAGCCAGGATTTTGATTCGGGGGGGGGGGGGGGGGTGAGTTGATGGGGGGGGGGGCCCCTGAGTCTGAGTGAAAGAGGGTCTACCCTAGCAAACCTTTTGTATCGTTACCCCAATACCCCCATGCATATGGGATATATTGAGCATGGTGATCAGATCATGATATGAATAAACATAACAGTTTAAATAATGTACCAGTAAGGCCTTCTCGCGGACCACCATGAGAATTTTGGGGGGGGGGGGGGCTGAAGCCCCCCAAGCCCCCCTCCCCAGCTACATGCCTGGCACAGATATGTGTCTGGAAGGGCAGATTTATTTATAGAACCCTTTTCTCAGGATACAGCTTAATAGGATGTTTTGCAAACTCGGCACATTTTTTCAACACATGTACAGGCCACTTGTACATATGTTTTCATATGATGTGCCTTGTTTTGTGAGTAGGGAGAAACTGCAAGGGGTTTGTGATGTCAGCAGCCATTGCTTCCCCCCCCCCCCCTTTCAGTTTAAAGATACTGAGATAAATACACCGGAGATGGGGGTAAGTAAACAAGGATTTACGGCGCTCCATGCAGTCATGCCAGCCACATGACCTTGGAGGTGTCTACGGACAACGCTGGCTCTTTGGCTTAGAAATGGAGATGAGCACCACACCCCAGAGTCAGACATGACTGGACTTAATGTCAGGGGACTACCTTTACCTTTTACCTTTAAACAAGGATTTGGGAGCATGTCTGCTGCGAATCACAAAGGCTACCGAAAAGAATGGGTTGCAGAAAAGGAGGGCTGAAATGGAATGTAGAAAGAGTCACAGGGCCTGAGGTAGGAATGCAAATGACAGGAGCAGGATAGAGGAACGGTGGAAATGGAAGAAAACGGGTGCCCATAAGGGAAGGTTAACTTTGAAAGAGGGAGGCAAAGAAGGAAGAAGGGTATTTGTCCTCAGCTATGGACCCACTTTATGGCCCCATATCTTGTGTACATTTCAGCATCTGGTGGATCTTTCAAGAGCACTGCTTCATAAATTTTGGGTCATCACCCCAAAAGAGGCTCCTTTAACTCAGTGTTGGGGTTCCCCAATTTTTTTTTACATCACCTTGTGACCGTTTCAGCACTTACATTTATTATTATTAATTACTGTTTTTATTTGAAACACAACAAGATTAGAACACAGCAAACAATATCACTATGCTGGTTGTTGTATTGGATCATATGTCAGACACTTCCCAAGTGTCTAGGACTATGTGATGTATCGGCAAGTAATGCATGCAGATGGTGGCCTTTTGCAGCTGACAGATGGTAATTTTGTCAGTGCCGATTGTGTTTAAGTGCAGGCCAAGGACTTCAGACACTGCACCCAGTGTGCCTTCACCACTGGGACCACCTTGACTGACTTGTTATTATTATTATTTGAAACACAACACGATTAGTAAACAGCAAACAAGATCACTATGCTGGTTGTTGTATTGGATCACACGTTGGACACTTCACAAGTGTCTAGGACTATGTGATGTACCGATGAGTAATGCATGCAGATCCCAGTTGGGTGGCCTTTTGCAGCTGACAGATGGTAATTTTGTCAGCGCCGATTGTGTTTAAGTGCAGACCAAGGTCTTCAGGCACTGCACCCAGTGTGCCGATCACCACTGGGACCACCTTGACTGGCTTGTTATTATTATTTGAAACACAACAAGATTAATAAACAGCAAACAAGATCACTATGATGGTTGTTGTATTGGATCACACATCGAACACCACCTTGACTGGCTTGTTGTTGTTGTTGTTGTTGTTATTGCCTGCCTCTCCCTGAAACTTGAGGTGGGATACAATGTCAATAAAACAAGAGATGCAAAATGCCGAAAAGCACCTTTTTCCATGTTTGGTGAAGCTGTGTGGTGGTTAAAAAAAGTAGCTAAAGAAACCAACAAAATGCTTACTAAGAAGATTAAGAAAAACCCAGAAAGCTGCTTATTGGGTTTGTTTCAGGAGAGAAGTGGCAAAGACGATGCCGAAATTTACCAATATAGTTAATGTGGCAGCAGAATCACAAAAGCAAAATCTGGGAAGGGGGGAAAAGAACTACTTATTAAGGATTGGAGAAGTAAAGTAGGATGTAGAGTATATCCAAATGGCCATGATCTCCAATAGCGTAAGGGGAGGAAACAGAAAATAGAGACTGGCCTTTGAGTATTTAAAAAAGAAGGCAAAAATAGATTTTGAAATAGCCAAGTGGGGGGATTTATTAGTGTAATGATAAGGATAGATTTTGTTAGATACTAGTTCCATATGGTGTGGTGTCACAAGTCATAGGTGGAGGTTCACGGGTAGGAATGAGGAGGTGATGGGACAGGGAAAATCATACTTGTCTTTTGATTGTTCAATCTCAAAGATTATATGTTTTTTTCCTCATATATTACAATTTTAATTTATGCAAAAAAAGCAAGAGAGAAAAATTATTAAAACACCTACAACAAGATACATAGAGCTAAATTACAAGTTAAAATCCACTGATAAATGCAGTTAAAATTGACTAGATAGTCCTACCAGAAGAGATGGCCTTTCCACAGTCTTGGAATGTTTAAGAAACCCTGCTCTAGGAAGAATAGGGAATCTATTGTGCAATGTTTATATTGTAGCATGCATCTATCTATCTATCTATCTATCTATCTATCTATCTATCTATCTATCTATTTACAGTATTTATATTCCACCCTTCTCACCCTGCAGGGGACTCAGGGCGGATTACAGTGTACATATACATGGCAAACATTCAATGCCATAGACACACAACATATATAGGCAGACACTCAGAGGCTATTTAACATTCCAGCTTTTTCATGAGGGTATTCTGGCCACCAGGGGAGCTGTCACTTCACCGTCCATTTGTGACACTGATGAAGTACTTCCTCATTCTATGCATGCTTCCTGGAGATTTTTATGGCGCCGTAAATTAGCCTCCCCACGTAAGCGGTACCTAAATTTCCTACTTGACAGATGCAACTATCTTTTGAGCTACAAATTGGTCGGAAGCTCACTCCTACCTGGGCTGGCTTCGAACTCATGACCCTTTGGTCAGTTGTGATCAAAATGCAGATGACTCCTAGCCAGCTGCACCACAGTCCCAGTGCCTATATCTGGGGAATAAATAATTCTTCCAGCCACAATAGGTCCCTAGTGGAAATGTTTCAGTAGCCCTGCTCTAAGATGAAGAGGGAAAGTAAAGCTGGTGTATTTTCCCTTCCCCAGTGCCTGCTCTTTTGTGGGAGAAACCCAGGACTCGGTCTGGGAAGGGATTTCCCATTCCAGATGACTTCCTTGTGAAAGCTTCCCAGGAACACCTTCAGAGCCCCACAACTCAACCCGTGAATCCTGCTGACGAAGTGGTTGTGGCTTTGGGCTCCCTCCAAATAGAGGACAACCTTGCAGAAGAAGGAGACATGGCTTCCAGCTCTCTCTCACCTGATTCCAATTCAGTAAGTGAAGACGCTCAGCCAAAGGTTGGGAGCTCCTCAGAAGAGACTGAGCCGACCGACGAGAGCCAGAGAGAAGGCATGTCAACGGGGAGCTCCTCTTGTGAAGTGGAGTCTTCAGACAAAGAGGCAGAAGTAAGTGCCATGCTGGCTTCTCTTTTCTCAGTGAACATGTGTCTGTGGTTCACGAGCCATAGAGAACATTGTGTATCTTTTGTTTGATTGTTATCTATATGCCAAGGTGAGATCCCAATCCCTATTTAAGGAGCTCCATTGGCTGCCATTCATTTTCCGGTCCCAATTCTTACCTACAAAGCCCTGAACGGTTTGGGACCCGCTTGCCTGCGTGACCACATTTCTGTTTACGAACCCACACAATCTCTTCGATCATCTGGAGAGGCCCTGCTCACGCTCACGCCTCTTTCGCAGGCACGATTGGTGGGGACGAGGGAGAGGGCCTTCTCGGTGGTGGCCCCCCGACTCTGGAACTCACTTCCCAGGGATATCAGGCATGCCCCAACTCTGGCAGTCTTTAGGAGGAGCCTGAAAACGTGGCTGTTCCAGTGTGCCTTCCCAGAATAAGGAAAATTCTCAGCAATATGCCCTCAGAATGCACTTTACTACTGGTTTGGGATTGACTGCGTTTCCTCATCTCTCTTTGAAAACCCTATACTAGTTATATCCTACCTTGTTCATGCCCAGCGTTTATTTTTAAATTTTTAAACTATTACATATGGCCCGGCCATAGGTTTTTAAATTCTTGTGTGTTACTGTTTATATGTGATTTATATTAATTGTATTGTATTTATTGTTTTTGTTTATTGCTTTTGTTTATTGATGTACTGTTGGGCTTGGCCTCACGTAAGCTGCTCCGAGTCCCTTGGGGTAATGGTGTCGGGGTATAAATAAAGTTTTATTGTTATTATTATTTTACAACCGCTTTTGGTTAGAACAACCAACTGGGATCCAATTGCCAAAGTGTCCTATATTTTTCTGGGGAGAATCTGCACTTAGTCTGCTGCATAGCCAAATCCATCATAAAAGCCACCCACCTGAGAAATTTCTTGATCTCACAAAATAGGGACCCTTGACATGGCGATGAGCTTATCTAAATTCTCCGACTGATTCTTTTACACTTGTCACTCTACTCCCCCTGATTTCATCTTGTAATTTAATCCCATTTTATCAAACTTATTTAATAATGTTTTATTGTGTTTTAATTTATTTTAGGTCCTTTCCATACCGCTGTATAAAATCCACATTGTACTAGAGCAGTGGTTCTCAACCTGTGGGTTCCCAGATGTTTTGACTTTCAACTCCCAGAAATCCTAAGAGCTGGTAAACTGGATGGGATTTCTGGGAGTTGTAGGCAGAGTTGTAGGAGATGAGCACCACCACCCCCCCAGAGTCGGACTTAACTAGACTTAATGTCAAGGGGAAACCTTTACCATTATTTTATATTCATTCCACCAAAGTAATTTCTAAAGCTATGTAATAGGAAGGCTTTTTATGTAATCCAGTGTACAGTATCTGATCATTGCAATTCCTGTGCTTGGTATCCTGTTCTCAGTTGTTTTTATGGAAATGAATGGTTTATATCTACTTGGCAGTGTAGAAGACTAGAGGAGAGAAAGTAATTTTCTCTTTTTGGCTAATGTTGATTGGTTCTTCTCTTTCTGTTGTTTGGAGTGGAGAAATATTACACTATGGTCTAACACGAATTTTATTCCTGGGTTATAAATGTCATTTCCTAATTGATTCTATCATAAAAACACAGGAAAAAAGTTTATTAAACTACCAATACTTTGTTTTTGTGGGACATCCTGCAGCCCATTTTGCTGTAGTTTTTCAACACAGTTTGTGGCCTCCACAAAAATGAAGTTTCGGGAGTATAGCAACAACTTTCAAAGTAAGTACCACACAATTTAAAAGGAAACAACACTTTCAAACCAAGAACAGTGTCCCGTCCCCCCGTCCCCCACATATTTAGTTGCATAGTGTTATTGGTTGATTGTGTGTTTCCCTTTTTTCTTGTTCCTAATAAAATAGCAACACCAAAGAGGTCCTTATACAATATAATGGTATAGTACAATATAGTACTATATTGTACTATATATAGTACTATATATATAAGGGCAAGATGGATGGATGGCATCCTTGAAGTGACTGGATTGACTCTGAAGGAGCTGGGGGTGGTGACGGCCGACAGGGAGCTCTGGCGTGGGCTGGCCCATGAGGTCACGAAGAGTCGGAGACGACTGAACGAATGAACAACAACAAACAATATAGTAATATTTAATACTGATATTGTACTATGCTAATAATATAATATATCATGTGTGTGTGTATGTGTGTATATATATATATATATATATATATATATTGTAAGCCGCTCTGAGTCCCCTTCGAGGTGAGAAGGGCGGCATATAAATGTCGTAAATAAATAAATAATACCTTTTCACAACAAAATCAATTCAAAGGGGAATTCAGTTTTTATGGCCGTGTTCTTGAAGCATTCTCTCCTGATGTTTCGCCTGCATCTATGGCAGGCATCCTCAGAGGTTGTGAGGCACCCACAAACTATGCTCTGAGGATGCCTGCCATAGATGCAGGTGAAACGTCAGGAGAGAATGCTTCTATAACATGGCCATATAGCCCATTAAACCTACAACAACCCAGTGATTCCGGCCATGAAAGCCTTCGACAATACAGAGAGAATATTGCCATCCCAGCACCATAAAAAAGTTAAAGAGAAGCAATCACAGCAGGGCTATTTTTATGCTTGGTGTCAATTGCAGATTTTTTTTGTATCAACCATGTCACTTTAATCTCTTCTCTGTCCTGTGCCGTGCCTCCCCCAGGTGAGCCCACCTGACCACCCCAAAACAAAAGTTGAGATAGAGCTACTTGATGAAGCCACGGGTGGATGTTCTTCCTTCTGTGAGACACTTGGAGACAATCCGGTGGATGGAGTGAGTTTGGGAGAGCCTACTTCCCTTTAGTGTGGGCAGAAGGAGAGGGGAAGATCTTTTTCCTAAGACTAAGGGAACTGAATTTCCTGAACTTTGCAATTGTTAATATGCCAGCAAACAGGTATTATTATATGGTCATTTTCTAGGGGCTGTTCTATGCTGTCACACCCTTATCATGGTGTCCACACCTTGACTCGGTGTTACCTGTTCCTCCCACTGGCTTGAATGTGCTGGAGCCTTGTTCAGAATGTGGCAGCAAGGTGGAGAATTGGATCTGCTTGGTTTGCTACAAGGTAAGGTGGTTTTCCTGCTGAGACGTGGATTGCATTCCTTGTCCCACCATTGACTAATGCTGTTGCAACTCAGGGTAGTTTTCACCTTGCTCCAGACACCACCACACCAAGGCTGTAGGTTTTTGTAGTTTATTGAGAAAAGCAGAATCAAAACAAAGAAATAGAAATGCAATAGTTCCATAGGCAAATCAGAGATTTAAATGTAAAGACAAAGTTCCCAAGATCCAAAGGCAAAAACATGAAGCATAATCCTTTAGCAATGGTCAAACAAAAGTTCATGGTAAACAGTTGAAAACAAGACCCAGATCCCAGACTCAGGAAGTCAGAAGCGTGCTGCTAAAAGCCAAGGAAAATCTCCAGAAGTTAACATGGGAAGAGCAATGTTGGACTGACAAAAACTGCCTGTCAGCTACAAGACTAAATACCCTTTGCGAACATGAAAGCATTGCATTGACCTTTGGCACATTTGGCTTCTCGCTTGCTGGCCAAGGAAGTGCTTCTCCGAAGCCTTAATTGCAAACGATCTTGTCTGTTCATTAATTCATTATCTTCAAGGCTATGCAACCCCTTATCTGGGTCCAGCTGGGACAGATCCTCCACCTGGCCGTGTGGGATTTCACTCTCGCTATCAATCTCTCTAACTGCAGGAACATTCCTTTCCCCAGGGAACTGACTTGCTGTTTCTCCTTCAGCAGCCACACTATCAGCCCCGTCTGAAACATGTACAGGAATCTGTAAACCATCAGCCTCCTCGTCATCGTGCAGGAAGTCAGACTCAGAAGGCCCAAAGTCAGGCTCAGAAGGCCCAAACAGCTCAGCTTCAGACTCAGAGTCAAGCTGAGTCACAACAAATACAGTCGTGCAGAGTTTTTTTATTTTTTTTAATTAGATGTTAATTTGATATGATTTTAATCTCAGGCCTTTTCAATAATTTGCCATTCCCTTCATCCTTAGCCTGGCAAATAGGCCAAAACATCTGGAGAACCAAATGTCCTTTACCGCTGTGATTATGAGTGTGTGTGAGTGTGGATGATTTTTTTAATAGCAAAAGTAGCACTGATTTATCTCTATAATCTAACCCTTATTCCACCCCATTTAGGTTTGCTGTGGTCGCTATATTAATCAGCACATGGTAGCTCACAATTCAGAATCGGGACATCCTCTGGTGCTCAGCTTTGCAGACCTCTCTGCCTGGTGCTATGAGTGCCAAGCCTATGTCCACCACCCGGTGAGTTGCAGAGTAGTCTCCAGGGCAGCAGAAAACAATCTTGCTCCCTCCTCCCTATCACTTCCCCTCACGTATTTATATATGGCCATCTTCATGTCCCCTCTCAGCCTTCTCTTCCTCAGGATAAGATGTCTAGCTCTTTCAGTTGCTCCTCATAGGGCTTGTTCTCCAGTGCAATAATCATTTTAGTCACCCTCTTCTGGACACATTCCAGCTTGTCAACATCTCCCTTCAATTGCGGTGCCCAGAATTGGACACAGTGTGATTCCAGGTGTGGTCTGAACAAGGCAGAATACAAAGGCACCATGACATTATTATTATTATTATTATTATTATTATTATTATTATTATCTTTATTTGTACCCCGCTAGCATCTCCCGAAGGACTCGATGCGGCTTACAAAGGCCAAGGCCTCAATAAAACAACAACATAACAAGTACACATAAATCATAAAGCAAATCAAAAACATTAAAGCAGTAACAGTAAAATAATAAAACAATACACAGTAACACAATAAAACTAGGGCCGGGCCAAATGTAATAGGTACAGATTAAAAAGTGCTGGGTATGACAGGTGGAATATAGGGATTTAGGGTAAGTTCAATGTGCAGACAATCTTAAAACTCTATTAAAGTGCTTCTGGGACATGATTGCTGGGTTCCTATTCTGGAAAGGCACACCGGAATAGCCAAGTCTTCAAGCTCTTCCTGAAGACTGCCAACGTGGGGGCTTGTCTGATGTTCTTGGGAAGGGTGTTCCAGAATCGGGGGGCTACCACAGAGAAGGCCCTGTCCCTCATCCCCACCAACCGTGCTTGTGACGCAGATGGGATCGTGAGCAGGGCCTCTCCAGATGAACGAAGGGAACGTGTGGGTTTGTAGATGGAGATACGGTCACGCAGACTTCTTTGGATCTAGGCACTAGACTCCTATTTATGCAGGCCAAAATCCCATTGGCTTTTAAAGCCACTGCATGACATTGTTGGCTCATATTTTACTTGTTGCCCATGAGGTCTCCAAGATCTTTTTCACACACACTGCCATCGAGCCAGATGTCTGCCATTTTGTATCTTCGCGTGTCATTTTTTTCCTGCCTAAGTGGAGTATCTTCCATTTGTCACTCTAAAACTTCATTTTGTTAGTTTTGTTCCATCTTCTAGTCCAGGGGTCCTCAAACTAAGGCCCAATAGCCGGATATGGCCCTCCAGGGTCATTTGCCCGGCCTTCGCTCAGGGTCAACCTAAGTCTGAAACTATTTGAAAGCACACAACAACAACAACAATAACAACAACAATCCTATCTCATCAGCCAAAAGCAGGCCCACACTCCCCACTGAAATACCAATAAGTTTATATTTGTTAAAATTATTCTTCATTTTAATTATTGTGTTGTTTTAAGTGTGTTTTGCACTACAAGTAAGATTTGTGCAGTGTGCATAGCAATTCATTCATGTTTATTTTTCCAATTATAATCCAGCCCTCCCAACAGTTTGAGGGACTGTGACCGGGCCCTCTGTTTAAAAAGTTTGAGGATCCCTGTTCTAGTCTGTTAATTGTTTTGAATTGTTTTGAATTCTGCTAGCTTCTGTTTTGCTAATGGTCCAGCTGCATTACAAGAGACACTAGGTAGAGATTTAGCACTTGGATTATGTGGATGAGTCTTGATGGGATGTATGTTTAATTTCTGTGGTTTGTTTTTCTTAATAGACCCTCTTTGAAGCCAAGCACTTGGCTCACACGATGAAGTTCGGGGTGGACATGGCGGTACCTTCATAAAGAGACTCCATTTGGAAAGAGGAGCCAGTGAATAATGGATGCAGCACAATCTACGATCGTTTGACCTCAGTGGAATTGAACATAGTGTTTAAAAGGGCTTTCGATGTGCCAAATATCAGTGATCATCAATGCAATACTACCAGCAGCCATGAATCAAACACCAGCAACCTCATTGCTTCCAGTAGGACAAAGAATATTCTAGTGCACGCCATGACAGGGCACAAGAGAGCGCTTATGGGGAGACTTTGGGATGTGGAGGGGGGGCACTTTTGCTTCCAGTCAGAGCTGGCTTGCCCTTCTCAATGAAAAGAAAGTACTGTGCCACCTTTTTCTTTAGAGGGATGTGGTGAATGTTTGTCTCTCCGTTTCATTTTTGTCCCCGCTCCCAAACTGCTGTACATTTCTTTTGAGTCATTTCATGCTCAGATGGAGAAAACCGGTGCTGAATTTGCATAGAGAGGAAGGGGGATGCATTTCTTCCTTAATGACCCCCAATCTCCAGCATTCATCGGAAATATTCTGTAATTAGTTGAAACAAAAGCATGTTTTGTGCAGGTGGATTCCTTTGGGTGAGAGCCAGAAGGCATGGAACGGAAGTTTCTGGTTGGAGCCCAAGCTCTTTTGAAGCGGGATGTGGAAATTTCCTAACGTGTATACTTATATATGAAATGGCAATCTTTAGTTTTCTGATCCAGTCCCTCTATTGTATTTCTTCCTGCGTGTGGCACTACATTGTAAGGATAGGACATGGACAGCCTGCTATTCCTCCTGACCTTGAGAAGAAGTCGAATCATGAATCTAAGGCCATATGTTCACATTATTCTCTCTTATTGTATATTGCTGTGGAAATTATATTACCCTCCAGATACTTTGTATTACAAATGCCATAATCCTTTAGCCACATTGCTTGGGGTTTCTGGGAGCTGAAGTCCAAAACAGTTGGAGCAAATCAAACTTTGATTTTCGACTTCAACTCCCAGAAGCCCCTGGCAGCAGGGAACATGGTTAAAGATCCTGGGGACTGAAGTTTAAAAATATTTGGAGGGCCAAAGTTTGAGGTTCCCCCCAATTTTTTTCTGTAAATGGACTCAAAACTTAGTATATGTACCTGAGGACAACTGAGGCCCCTTCTACACTGCCATTTAGAATCCAGATTATCTGCTTTGAACTAGATTATATGGCAGTGTGGACTCATATAATCCAGTTCAAAGCAGATAATCTGGATTATCTGCTTTGATAAACTGGATTATATGGCAGTGTAGAAGGGGCCGAAGTAAAGTGAAGCTGCGCCCATGTAAGACAAAGTGAAAGCTCTCTCTGCAGTTGATGGCACTGATATGGGATGAGGCAATTTAGATGTATTGTCGAAGGCTTTCATGGCCAGAATCACTGGGTTGTTGCAGGTTTTTTCAGGCTATATGGCCATGTTCTAGAGCAGTGGTTCTCAACCTGTGGGTCCCTAGATGTTTTGGCCTTCAACTCCCAGAAATCCTGCTGGTAAGCTGGCTGGGATTTCTGGGAGTTGTAGGCCAAAACACCTGGGGACCCACAGGTTGAGAACCACTGTTCTAGAAGCATTCTCTCCTGACGTTTCGCCTACATCTATGGCAACCATCCTCAGAGGTTGTGAGATGTTTGTGAGGCGAAACGTCAGGAGAGAATGCCTCTAGAACATGGCCATATAGCCTGAAAAAGCCTACAACAATCCAATTTAGATGTAAGCTTGTCTTCTCCCATATAGGTTTTTTCCCCACTCCATCATTTGGGCCTCATGCATTTTGACAGAATGGGGGAAGCCATAGTGCAAAAAAAAAAGAGAGAGAGAGAGAGAATGCAAGACTTCTTAGGTCTTGATGCTTATGTTTGTAGTGTTTCAAGTCTGGTTCTTCAGCAGAGCTTCTAAAGGGAGAACCATGTTGATTTTGGGAAAAGGAAGTATTGGCAACTGGCCACTGTGTGTTCCCTTTGGCGGTTCTTGCATTGCTTCCCAAAATGTTGTGTTTAGAGCAGTGGTTCTCAACCTGGGGTTCCCAGATGTTTTTAGCCTTCAACTCTCAGAAATCCTAACAGCTGGTAAACTGGCTGGGATTTCTGGGAGTTGTAGGCCAAAAACATCTGGGGACCCCAGGTTGAGAACCACTGGTTTAGAGTGTGAATGCCTTGCAATTCCTATGTGACCAGGTCTTTGAGAATGACACAGATTTTCTTCTTTTCCTCAACCTCTCTTGGGACCAAACAACTCAATAGCAAATGAAACGGAGGACTGAGTGTCTATGGGAGGAGTAGGGAAGAATCAGCTGGAGAGACTGGTGGGACAAGGTGCTGTGGAGGAATGGGGTGGATTGGTGCCCATGGAGCACCACTTTTTCTTCTACGGTCAGCCCTGGTGAATTTTGTGGTGCGTGGGTTTAAACTTGTGCCGTGACATAAACATGGGGTCAGGCACCTGCTCCATTATAGCCTGCCCCAATTCTTTTGCATATGTTTCTTTGATTAATTTTGTAATCTTTATAATAATTCAATTAAAGCATTTCTGTGGATGGAGCCATTCTGTGTCTGTTTCAAATGCTGGGTAGTTGGGAGAGGAAGATGTTCACTTGTCACAGAAAAGCCTTCGCCAGGTCAGAGGGGACTTTCTGCCATTTCCCATTCTAACACCTTCCACTCACAGACTTACATCCAAAATATATGATGGGACAGACATGTCAGGTGCATGCCGTTGACACAGATCAATGTCAGATTCATGCCACTGAAAAGTCAAGGTGGGAGGAGGATCTCAGATGCCCACCACAGTGCAGCAGGTCCACTGCGACTTCTGAAGTTTGTTTGATTTTATGTTAAGTATTTTATAATCCACAATTTTATTCTTTTTTTAACCTTGTTTACATTTTTATAACCATTATTGCTTATTTAGCTCTCTCCCTTGACATGTTCCTTTACTTCTGGAATAACCTTTTTAGCATTATCATACCTTTAAGCAGAGGTTCTCAACCTGTGGGTCCCCAGGTTTTTTGGCCTACAACTCCTAGAAATCCCAGCCAGTTTACCAGATATTAGGATTTCTGGGAGTTGAAAGCAAAAACATCTGGGGACCCAAAGATTGAGAACAATTGCCTTAAAGCCAGTTATTCTGCATTAAAAAAAACAGGTTGAACCAAAATAATAACACTATGTAACATGATTTTTGTTCCTGGGTTATAGAAGTCGGTTGCTAACAGGCATGTAGCCGGGGGGGGGGGGGGGGGGTGTTAGGGGCTTCAGCCCCCATGGTGGATCACGAGAAGGCCTTACAGGTACACTATTTAAACTGTTACGTTTATTCATATCATGATCTAATCACCATGCTCAATATATCCCATATGCATGGGGGTATTGGGGTAACAATACAAAAGGTTTGCTAGGGTAGACCCTCTTTCACTCAGACTCAGCCCCCCCCCCCCGAATCAAACTCAGCTCCTGCACCTCAAACAGTCCAGAGAGACCTGAATATATGCCGAAATGTCCCAAAGTGTTGATCAAAATAAGATAAAGGTTTTCCCCTGACATTAAGTCCAGTCGTGTCCGACTCTGAGGTTTGGTGCTCATCTCCATTTCTAAGCTGAAGAGCCGGAGTTGTCCATAGACACCTCCAAGGTCATGTGGCCGGCATGACTGCATGGAGCGCTGTTACCTTCCCGCCGGAGCGCTACCTATTGATCTACTCACATTTGCATGTTTTCGAACTGCTAGGTTGGCAGAAGCTGGGGCTGACAGTGGAAGCTCACGCCGCTCCCTGGATTTGAACCTGCAACCTTTTGGTCAACAAGCTCAGCAGCTCAGTGGTTTAATCCACTGCACCACTGGGGGCTAGCACAGGATTACGCCCCAGTTTGTCCCACGCTGAAGGGTGTTTTAAATAAAAGGCTGCTGTAATGACTTCTCTTACCGTGGCATCATTTTCAGAGCACCCTTCAGGCTGCAATGCCCTTCCCTTGATGATGTTGGGGCAATCACCATCTTGTCACTTTGCTCTACCAACTGTCATTTTGTACACCACTTTATTCTCCCATTTTCTTCTCCACCCCATTTTCCTCAATTGCAGTAACCCCTTTTAATATTCCACTAGTTTAATAGAGACTTATGACCCACAGTGAATTTATTTACATACATTTTTCCCTTGATGATATTTCGGATCTTTTTAATGCAGTAGACATATAATGATCAGCAGTTTCCCTGTGTACTTTGTGATGGAGTAGCTTTAGATCAGCCTTCATATAGTGCAGTGTTTCTCGACCTTCCGAATGCCGTGACCCCTTAACACAGTTCCTCATGGTGTGGTGACCCCCAACCATAACATTTTTTTTTGTTGCTACTTCATAACTGCAATTTTGCTACTGTTATGAATCCTAATGTAAATATCTGATATGCAGGATGTATTTTCATTCACTGAACCAAACTTGACACAAATATCCAATATGCCCAAATTTTAATACTGGTGGGGTTGGGGAGGGAGGGGGAGGAATTGATTTGCTCATTTGGGATTTGTAGTTGCTGGGATTTATAGTTAACCTACAATCAAAGAGCATTCTGAACTCTACCAACAATGGAATTGAACTAAACATGGCACACAGAACTCCCATGACCAACAGAAAATACTGGAAGGGTTTGGTGGGCATTGACCTTGAGTTTTGGAGTTGTAGTTCACCTATATCCAGAGAGCACTGTGGACTCAAACAATGATGGATCTGGACCAAACTTGGCACGAATCCTCAATATGCCCAAATGTGAACACTGGTAGAGTTTGGGGAAAATGGACCTTGACATTTGGGAGTTGTAGTTCCTGGGATTTATAGTTCACCTACAACCAGAGAGCATTCTGAAGCTCACCAACGATAGAAGTGGACCAAACTTCCCACACAGAACCCCCATGACCAACAGAAAATACTGTTTTCTGATAGTCTTTGGCGACCCCTCTGACACCCCCTTGCGACCCTCTCAGGGGTCCCGACCCCCAGGTTGAGAAACACTGATATAGTGGAAAATGGCAGGTATTTGTGATGAGTTCTCTTTATATTCTTTCTTATAATAAAAATGGGTAAATATAGAGAAGAAAAGGGAGCCCCTAGTGGCACAGTGGGTTAAACCGCTGAGCTGCTGAGCTTGTTAACCAAAAAGTTGCAGGTTCGAATCTGTGAAGTGGCATGAGCTTCCACTGTCGGCCCCAGCTTCTGCCAACCTATCAGTTCGAAAACATGCAAATGTGAGGAGATCAATAGGTTACAGGAAGCTAATGGCACTCCATGCAGTCATGCTGGCCACATGATCTTGGAGGTGTCTATGGAAAATGCCAACTTTTTGGCTTAGAAATGGAGATGAGCACCAACCCCCAAGTCGGACACGACTAGACTTAATGTCAGGGGAAGACCTTTACCTTTTTATAGAGTAGAAAATAGGTATGATAATGTAATACCTAACAGACCTGAAAGCAGATATCATCTATCTTCAGGAGAGATTAAAAAAAAGTGCACATAGTTTTAAAGGGTGCACATTTTTCAGTACAGTTTTGTTCAGGAGTTTCATTAAAAAGGAATAGCAATATCACTTTTTAAATTCTTGTCTTTTATCGGTAGATGATATCCTCATGGTTGATTCATAATGCTGTACTTCTTTCATTCTAAGGCACACTTTTTCTGATATAAACATCTATAAAAATGGGCTGTGTCTTAGAATCACAGGTGTATCTTATGCATTTTTGTTGGTGGTGATGGTCCTGAAACCCAGGTGTATCTTACAATTGATGGAGTCTTACAAAGGAGCCCATGGTAGCGCAATGAGTTAAACTCTTGTGCCGGCAGGACTGCTGACCGAAAGGTCGGTGGTTCAGATCCAGTGAATGGGTTAGCTCCCATATGTCAGCTCCAGCATCTCATGCAGGGACATAAGAGAAGTCTCCCACAGGATAGTAACACATCTAGGCGTCCCCTGGGCAACGTCCTTGTAGATGGCCAATTCTCTCACACCAGAAGCGACTTACAGCTTCTCAAGTCGCTCCTGACATTTTAAAAAAAAGGAAGAAATATTGTAATTAAAAGATCCTAACAACTGGTCTATTCAGGCAGTCCCCAAGTTATAAACGTCTGACTTGCAAATTACTCACAGTTAAGAACAGGGGTGGGACAACAGGAAGTGAGATAAATCTTCCTCTAGGAAGGAAAATTCTGAAAGATTTATCATGGGGAAAGGGAGTCTCCATTTAAGCTTTCTCACTAATCCTTGTTTCCATAACAAGCCACATCTTCAAAGTCCTGCCAGCACAAGGGTTTGACTCATTGTGCCACTCCTGAGCAATGCCCTTGCAGACAGCCAATTATTTTACACCAGAAGTGACTTGCATTTTTTCAAGTCCCTCCAGACATGGAAAAAAAATAACCAGGGGCTCCCACAACATGTGCAACATGTGACAATGCAGGAAATCCCCAATCCCAAACCTCCCAAATACCAGTTCATATGACCCAATTCTGTTTCCGTTTTCCCTCAGTGTTGCACTATTCTGCATAGATATTTTGTAACATTAAATAAAGGATTGTTTTTAGTTACAGTTCCCTTTTGGCAGGATTTGTTTGGGATTAGAATAATAATAATAATAATAATAATAATAATAATAATAATAATAATTCAAAGCCAGAATGGAAAAGTCGACGATAGATTCCAAATGTAGACTCTGCAAGAAAGCAGATGAAACAATAGATCACATCCTCAGCTGCTGCAAGAAGATCGCGCAGACAGACTACAAGCAGAGGCATAACACCGTTGCTCAGGTGATTCATTGGAACTTGTGCCACAAATACCATCTATCTGCCTGCGACAAAGAAATGGTGGGATCACAAGCCTCAAAAAGTTACAGAAAATGAACATGTCAAACTACTCTGGGACTTCTGAATTCAGACAGACAGAGTTTTGGAGCACAATACTCCTGACCTCACGGTTGTGTTAAAAAACCAAGTATGGATCGTCGATGTTGCAACCCCAGGTGATAGCAGGATTGAAGAGAAACAACTGGAAAAGCTGACATGCTATGAGAATTTAAAGATTGAACTGCAAAGACTCTGGCACAAGCCAGTCAAGGTGGTCCCAGTGGTGATCGGCACACTGGGTGCAGTGCTTAAAGACCTTGACCTGCACTTGAACACAATCGGCGCTGACAAAATTACCATCTGCCAGCTGCAAAAGGCCACCTTACATTATTTGCCGATACATCACACAGTCCTAGACACTTGGGAAGTGTCCGACATGTGATCCAATACAACAGACAGCAGATTGATCTTGTTTGCTATGGACTCGTTGTGTTTCTAATAATAGTAATAATAATAATAATAATAATAATAATAATAATAATAATAATAATAATAACAATAATGTATTCATAATCTGCCTTGAAGGGACTCAAGCAATATTATTATTATGTTTATTTATGTTTGTTGCAATATTTTCTGGAAGCTTGGTTCACCCATCTCAAAGGGAGTGGGGATCCTTTGGATACAACGCCCAAATCCTGGGCATCACGGCCACACTGATTTTGGTATGATGGGAGCTATAGTCCAAAGGACAGCTTTCCCAATCAAGCTGGGTTTGCTTCTTCAGTAGGACAACTGGCCCAATATGAGACAGAGTAAGATGCTATGAAATGGAAGTGTATTTTTAGCTATTTATTTTATGTATCGTCGAAGGTTTTCATGGCTGGAATCACTAGGTTCTTGTGGGTTTTTTCGGGCTATAGGGCCATGTTCTAGAGGCATTTCTCCTGACGTTTCGCCTGCATCTATGGCAAGCATCCTCAGAGGTAGTGAGTTTATTTTATATTGTTTTACTACCAGGTATAAGAGATGAGGCACAAATGGGGTGTTCTTCATCAGGTTCCAAAATGACTTGGCTGACTTGGAGTAATTTGGGTCAGAAGTAGGGAGAGTCATTTGGAAAATGCAACAAGTCTAAAATGCTATAACTTGTGGGGCTGGTTGCAGAGAACGTGTTAAAACAGCTTCATGAACTATTCCTTCATTTTCAGGTACAATTAAAAGTGACAGTGCTGACCTATAAAGCCCTGTAATTGGAGGGTACTAATGACTTAAAATTGGATTACAACTCTGGAGAACAGGATTTGAATCACCACTCAGCCATAGTTACCTGTCAAGGTACCTTGGACAAGTCACATCCTCTCAGCCTCAGAGGAAGACAAAGCGCCCTTTCACACAGCTACATAACCCAGAATATCAGGGCAGATAATCCACAATATCTGCTTTGAACTGGGTTATCTGAGTCCATCCTGCCATATAATCCAGTTCAATGTGGATTTTATACAGCTGTGTGGAAGGGGCCAAAGACAAACCTCTTCTGAACTAATCTTGCCAAGACAACCCTGTGACAATGTTGCCATATGTCAGAATCGAAGACACATAACAGCCACAGTATAATTTTATCACCTTTATGTTTTACTTGCCTTTTACATTACATTAATGTTTTTAATAAGACTACTTATTTAATTCCTCTTTGAAAGTTCTTTATTTTCTTTGGCTACTGGACGAGAGTTAATAATACAACAGTAGAAATGAGGAAATGCACTGAACATCGCATTGTGGTATGCAAGAAAAAGGGACTTTCCTCTCTCAGAAAAGTTAACACAAAAAGCCAAGGAACTGAATGAAAACACAGATACAAAAACATTATGGTTAATGTTGGAATGTGTGACAAGCTGTAATGTGTCCAGAGGAGGGCGAGTAAAATGACCAAGGGTCTGGAGAACAAGCCCTATGAGGAGCGGCTTAAGGAGCTGGGCATGTTTAGCCCGAAGAAAAGGCTGAGAGGAGATATGATAGCCATGTATAAATATGTGAGAGGAAGCCACAGGGAGGAGGGAGCAAGCTTGTTTTCTGCTTCCTTGGAGACTAGGACGCGGAACAATGGCTTCAAACTACAAGAGAGGATATTCCATCTGAACACGAGGAAGAACTTCCTAACTGTGAGAGCTGTTCAGCAGTGGAACTCTCTGCCCCGGAGTGTGGTGGAGGCTCCTTCTTTGGAAGCTTTTAAACGGGCTGGATGGCCATCTGTCAGGGGTGATTTGAATGCAATATTCCTGCTTCTTGGCAGAATGGGGTTGGACTGGATGGCCCATGAGGTCTCTTCCAACTCTTTGATTCTATGATTCTATATTGTCGAAGGCTTTCATGGCTGGAATCACTGGGTTGGTGTAGGTTTTTTCAGGTTATATGGCCATGTTCTAGAGGCATTCTTTCCTGACATTTCGCCTGCATCTATGACAAGCATCCTCAGAGGTAGTGAGGATGCTTGCCATAGATGCAGGTGAAACGTCAGGAGAGAATGCCTCTAGAACATGGCCATATAACCCGAAAAAACCTACAACAACCCAATTATGGTTAATTTTTATTTGCTTTACTTTTAATAGAATACCAAGTTTGCAAATTTTGTGTTTTGTTTGTTTGTCTTTTTTAATGCAATACAACTGTTTTGGTTCGCTCCTGACACAATCAATATTTGCTATACTAATTCATCAAGAGATCCAAGTCCCAAGCACTCATTCTCACATATGGAATGATTTATTTATTTATTGTTTATTGTGTCAGAAGCAAATTGAAGACACAGTTATAATGTATAGAAAAAACACAAACAAAGTTTCAAACTTGATATTGTACTAAATTTCCTTTGAGCAGAAGCTGGCCACTTGGAGTGCCTCTGGTGTTGCTGTAAGGAGGTCCTCAACTGTGCATGTGTCAGGGCTCAGGCTGCATTGTAGCAAGTAGTCTGTGGTTTGCTCTTCTCCACAATCACATGTCACAGACCCCACTTTGTGGCCCCATTTCTTAAGGTTGGCTCTGCACCTCGTGGTCCCAGAGCACAGTCTGTTCAGTGCCTTCCAAGTTGCCCAGTCTTCAGTGTGCCCAGAGGGGAGTCCCTTATCCGGTAACAGCCATGGATTGAGGTTCCAGATTTTCATCTGCCACTTTTGGACTCTCACTTGCTGAGGTGTTCCTGTGAGTATCTCTCTAGATTTTAGAAAGCTATTTCTTGATTTAAGGTGTTGGCTTGCTGGCTGATATCTGAACAGAGGATTGGCTGGAGATGTCCATGTTTTGGTCCTTTGATTACAGGTGCTACTTCCAGCGGATATCAGGTGGTGCAATACCTCCAGCGGTAAACATCCTGTGATAATATGTCATGTCTCATGAAGAGCCACATTCACTGTTTTAGCATGGTCAGATGTGTTCCAGTAAAGACTTTCTGTATATATTTCAGATTTCAATATTAATGTCAAAAATACGTAGTATGATTTTACTTAGGATTTGTGCTACATTAGAACAGTCAAGACAAATAAACATCAAATATTAAATAACTAGAAAAAATAAAATAAGGTGTAAACACTAAACTAATCTGGGAATCTGCTATTGCAACACATTGTTCCACACTGGGGATGAATATTCAGCAGCAGAGTAGCAAAGTGCAAGTGCAGATGTCTTTACTGTATCTGGTTGTGATCCCCAGGTTGTGCCAATCAGCTTTCATATGTTATTATTTCTAGCACCCACTTTTTGCTTGATAGTCGAGCAGTGCTTCTTGTAAGTCACAGCATGATCCTGGTATTTTGGTGCGCTGCAATGCTTCAGTGGGATTCCTTCCCAGGTAACAATGGTAATATGCAATGATGCACTGGGTTGAATTAGATATTTATTTATTTATTTATTTATTTATTTATTTACGCTATTTGTATACCGCATTTATCAGCCGTGCCCGGCGACTCAATGCGGTTTACAGTAAAAGTTGTGCACACTAACAATGTAAAGACAAACATAAACAAACGACACACGTATAAACATCAACGCCTCACATAAAATCAGATTCCGTTCTCACATTCCATTGCCATTCCTTGTTCAGTTATGCCGTCTTCCTGGATTTAATTGCAATTGCAATTGCACAGCTATCCGAACGCCTGCTCAAAGAGCCACGTCTTAACCCTCCTCCGAAACACCAGCAACGAAGGGGCCTGCCTGATGTCCGCTGGTAGGGCATTCCATAGCCGAGGGGCCACCACCGAGAAGGCCCTGTCTCTCGTCCCCGCCAGCCGCGCTTGTGATGCCGGCGGGACCGAGAGCAGGGCCTCCCCAGACGATCTTAACGTCCTCGCCGTTATCAGCTCTGGAGGCTAGATTATACCTTGTATGTTGTATTACTACTTTGTGATGGTTTTAGTTTATTTGTAGATTTTTTTTAAATTTGTGATTCGTGTTTCAGGGCGATGTTTCTCAAATACATTTTGTTTGAAAAATAAAGTCCTGTACTTTCAACTGTAATTAGTTTTTATTTAAAATGAGAACAGGCTTGGCTCCAAATCAAGAAATGCCCTGACGTTCTTGCCTCAGGCAGGAACTTGTCTTGGGAAGTCCTGTCATCGCTCCCCTCCCTCTCTGCACATGCTCAGAGGCGCACTCACTGCCTTCGCCCAAAGTCTGATCTAGCTGAGAAATAGCTTTGTCAGGACTTGGTCACCAATCTCTCTCAGGTTTCGGTTGCAACATGAGGCCTTGGAGGTAGGCGGCAACTTTCTCTCTCTCTCTCTCTTGTTGTTAAGAGTATTGCATGTAAGCCATTGCAGCCAGATGGGGGAGCAGTAAAAAAAAAGATGTGAGTATTGACAGCAAAGAGGAAAAGGAAGCGGAGTGACAGAGAGGGGGGAGAGTTGTAAGGAAGGAGAAAACACACATAACACAGAGCATGCTCATATATGCAACACATATACACCCAACACACACACAGAGCAATGGGAGCTGCCCTTGATTGTCCTTTCTGATGTCTTGAGTGTGTCTGTCATCATGCCAGATGAAATCCACCCAGGAGGACTCATCCTGATCTTTCTCCAGATGTCCTCTGAAGATTCTAGATCTGACAGTTCGGGGATCTACTGTTGATTTTCGCAAGATCAAGCTTGCTTCCACGCACAACCAACACATCCAGCAGTGTCAACAGAAGTTCTCGTAAGTATTCTGACTTGCTTTATATCCTTTTCCTCTTTGCTTCCAGGCTCAAGATCACATATTTTTTGCTGTCTTTAAAGTCTTAAATCCCGGACTGAATATTGTGATCAATCGAGAGTGAAAGTAAACTAAGTAAACTGCCAAAGTATGTATCAGTAGTGTAGAATGGATGCAATTTGACACTGCTTTAATTGCCATTACTCAATGCTATGGAATCCTTAGATTTGTGGTTTAATGATACACCGGCACCCTTCGGCAGAGAAAGCTAAAAATGCAGCCCTTATGATAGCATTGAGCTATGGCAGTTCCAGTGGTGTCAAACTGCATTAATTCTACAAGTGTGGATGCATCCAAAGTATATTGAGCTTTATGGCAGATCTATCAAGAGGCTTTTGAAAAGTGTTTCTGTCCCACAGACATCCAGACACCATGAATATTTGAGGAGATCTAGGATAATGGCAGTGGGAGAGTCTGCTATTAGTTTTTTGCAATTTCAGCACCTCTTTGTTGCTTTGAATTGAGACCCACCTTTGGGGATGTTGCCGTTGTTACTAAATATCATCTGTTTGTTGTTGTAATTTTACAGTTTCTGTTCATTTTCACAATGATTGTTTTTCATGTCAGGGGCAACTTAAGGAACTGCAAGTCATCTCTGGTGTGAGGGAATTGGCCATCTGCAGGGGACACTCAAATGTTTTCATGTTTTTTACCATCCTTGTGGGAGGCTTCTCTCATGTCCCCACGTGGGGAGCTAGAGCTGACAGAGGGAGCTCATCCACACTTTCCCTGGATTTGAACTCCTGACCTTTCGGTCTTCAGTCCTGCCGGCACAAGGGTTTAACCCATTGCACCAATGGGAGTTCCTTGCACAATGATGGCAATAGTTGAGTATGATGTAGGGCAGAGCTTTCCAACCTTTTCACGTTGGTGACACACTTTTTAAACAGGCATCATTTCGCGACATAGTAATTCAGTAGCAAACTGGAGGATAAATCAACAGATATGGACACATACGTAAACTGTAATAACAAAATGTATGGGGGAGACAAAGTATCTCATGATAATATTTCATTTATATTTCTAAAAATAACATAATTTATAGCTTAGTAGCTGTCCCCTGCCACGCGTTGCTGTGGCCCAGTCTGTGTATATGTGTTTTGTGTGTGTATATTATTATTATTATTATTATTATTATTATTATTATTATTATTAAACGTTATTTGTACCCCGCTAGCATCTCCCGAAGGACTCGATGCGGCTTACAAAGGCCAAGGCCTCAACACGCAATACAACAATACAAACCAAAGGCAAATTAAAAACAATTAAAGCAATATAAACAACAAGCAATAAACAATACACTAAGACACAATAAAACTGTGTATATATTTTGTGCATATGTGGTTTTGCCCATGTGTTGTAATGTAGAATCATAGAATCATAGAATCATAGAATCAAAGAGTTGGAAGAGACCTCATGGGCCATCCAGTCCAACCCCCTGCCAAGAAGCAGGAATATTGCATTCAAATCACCCCTGACAGATGGCCATCCAGCCTCTGTTTAAAAGCTTCCAAAGAAGGAGCCTCTACCACACTCAGGGGCAGAGAGTTCCACTGCTGAACGGCTCTCACAGTCAGGAAGTTCTTCCTCATGTTCAGATGGAATCTCCTTTCTTGTAGTTTGAAGCCATTGTTCCACGTCCTAGTCTCCAGGGAAGCAGAAAACAAGCTTGCTCCCTCCTCCCTGTGGCTTCCTCTCACATATTTATACATGGCTATCATATCCCCTCTCAGCCTGTAGTTTTATTTTTCGGCTTTTAAGTCTCTTCTGTTGTGTTTTTCAGTGTTTTTATGAGTGATGGTCATTTGTTGGGCTGATAGGATGTATTGTGTCCAAATTTGGTGTCAATTCCCCCAGTGGTTTTTGAGTTATGTCAATCCCACAAACAAACATTACATTTTTATTTATATAGATTTTGCACAGACTGAGAGGTTTCTCATCACAGGTTCACATCACACCCCTACATACTGCAGCTGGCACACTAACATGTTGCAACACATAGTTTGAAAAGCTCTTGAGGAGAGTTTCACTTCATCTGTCTGCTCAGTGTATTGAATCTCTTATCTCTTTGTGCTTACACATCTGCCTTGAAGCCTTCTGCTGTTCCCTTCTTCTGTAATTGAGCCTGTATCTATGCATCTAGAGTTGTTTGATCTAGAGGACTGATCCCCCCCCCCCACCAGCCCCCCAAATGTACCGGGGATAGGCACTAATGTGTGCCCAATATTTGTGCTACAATTGTTTCATTCTTTCCTGGATATTTGGCAACAATACATCCAGGGATAACATTTTAGTTGTGAATTGAGCTTTGTACTACGATTCTGGAGACAAGAGTTCGTATCCCTGTTAAATTTATTTATTTATTTACTTACTTTATTTCTATACCGCTTTTCTCAGCCCTCAGGCGACTCAAAGCGGTTTACATAGTACAAATAAATTATCACAAGACAGTATCATAGGCAATTAAAACACATTATACATAACAATCAATATCAATAAACAATCATTATCAAAGTGTCTCAACACCAAATCAGAAGCCATTCTAAACCAAGAAAACCCGCTGAGACCTTGGGAAAATTACACACATACACAAAAGATAGGATCACTAAAAATTGTTTTGAGTCTCCTTGTGGAGAGAAAAAGTGGGGTACAAATAAACATTATAAATAGGAGGAGGAGGAGGAAAAGACTTGAAGCCACACAACAATATAGCTGTTCTACAGCATTTGGCATTCCTTAGACTACTGCAACGTTCTCTACGTGGGGTTGCCTCTGAAGACTGCCCGGAAGCTACAACTAGTACAACGAGCGGCAGCCAGGGTACAGGGAGCATACTACTCCTCTGTTGCGCCAGCTCCACTGGCTGCCAATCAGCTTCCGAGCACAATTCAAAGGGCTGGTGTTGACCTATAAATCCCTAAACGGCTCTAGCCCTATTTACCTGTTCGAACGGATTCTCCCCTATGAACCATCAAGGTTATTAAGATCTTCTGGAGGGGCCCTGCTCTCGGTTCCACCGCCTTCGCAATCGCGTTTGGTGGGGATGAGGGACAGGGCCTTCTCGGTGGTGCCCCCTCAGCTTTGGAACTCCCTCCTGATGGAGATTAGATCTGCCTCTTCCCTCCTGACATTTAGAAAGCTGGTAAAAACATGGCTTTGGGATACTGCATTTGCAGAATGATGACTGTATCAATAACTGCTGACCTTTCTGGTGGATGGCGATGAATTTGTGATTCTTTTGGACGAACTGATTTTTGCTGTAACCTGTATGAATTGTATAATTGTATTTTAATGTATTTTATAGTGAAGATTTATAATGTTTTTCTTATTGTATTGACTCTTATGTTGTAAGCCGGTCTGAGTCCCTCCTCGGAGGTTGAGAGGACCGGGGTATAAAAACTTTAAATAAATAAACAAATAAATTAGCAACCCCCCATCCAAGTACTAATCAGGGCTAATCCAGTTTAGCTCCCATCATCAGACTGGATGAAGTGCCATTGAGCTCTCAGTGAGTCTTACTCTCACTGTATTAGACTGCAACTTCAAATGAATCAGAAATGTGTGCAGAGACAAGACTGACCGCCTCAAAGAGAACAGAAAGTGATTGTACCATTTGTAAAATGCTATGGCAGCTTTCCCCAAGCTGGTGCCCCTTTCAGATGTGTGGTACTACACTCCCCATCCCCAATTCCTGATTGTGATGGGAGTTGTAATCTGGAACTTCAGGAAGGGTAAGATAAAGGTAAAGGTTTTCCCCTGACATTAAGTCCAGTTGTGTCCAACTCTGGGGGCTGGTGCTCCTCTCCATTTCTAAGCCGAAGAGCTGTTGTCTGTAGACACCTCCAAGGTCATGTGGCCAGCATGACTGCATGGAGGGCGATTATCTTCCTGCTGTAGCAGTACCTATTGATCTACTCACATGTGCAAGTTTCGAACTGCTAGGTTGGCAGGAGCTGGTGCTAAATGCGCAGGCTCACACTGCTCCCCGGATTCGAACCTGCAACCTTTCGGTTAGCAAGTTCAGAAGGGGTACATTATTAAAATATTACAAAACTTGCCTTTTTGTGTGGGTTTGGACAGATTGTCACTGGGAGTATGACTCGAATGGTGATAAGGCTATTAATAATGTATTTTACTGTTTTAATGAATGTTTTATTTATTGATTTAATTGTTATTATATTGCTCTGTTATATGTAGTGGCATTGAATTGCTGCCAAATGTAAGCCGTCCTGAGTCCCCCTTCAGGGATTAAGAAGGAACGGGATAGGAATACTGGAAATAAATAAATAAATAAATATCTTGAATGTACTTCCTTTTCAGTAAAACAGGGAATATATATAGTAGTTAGGTTTGGACTCCACACTCTTTTGCAGAGAAGGCAAAAGACCTTATAAAACTATGACTCCTATGATTACATAGCATTGAACAATGACTGGTCATGTGGTGTCAAAATGCCTTCATTCTACTGTGTAGGTGTAGCCATAGTCGACCCTCTGGTGTTTTGGACTTCAACTCCCACAATACCTAAGTTGGCTAGAATTTCTGGGAATTGAAGTCCAAAACACCTGGAGGGCCGAAGTTTGCCCATGCCTGGTTTAAGGCCTATCATTGCCAGTAGTTGCAGGTATAACCAGAATTTTAATTAATCACATTATTGCATTTAACATGATATTTTTTTTGCCTAAGAATCCAGGTAGGACCACCAATCAGAATCAAGACTGTAACATGCATAGTTCAGATTTTAACAAGCATAATGCTTTCAGGAGCCCCCGGTGGCACAGTGGGTTAAAGCACTGAGCTGCTGAGCTTGTTGATCGAAAGGTCGCAGGTTCGATTCCGGGGAGCGGCGTGAGCTTCCGCTGTCAGCCCTAGCTTCTGCCAACCTAGCAGTTCGAAAACATGCAAATGTGAGTAGATCAATAGGTACCGCTCCAGCGGGAAAGTAACAGCGCTCCGTGCAGTCATGCCAGCCACATGACCTTGGAGGTGTATATGGACAATGCTGGCTCTTCGGCTTAGAAATGGAGATGAGCACCACACCCCAGAGTCAGACATGACTGGACCTTTACCTTTTTAATGCTTTCTTCAGCACTATGGAACTAGTAAAATCTGACATTCTCACTTTCTGTCTCTGTTTCTCTTGCTCTGACATCCTTCTTCCGTATCTGCAGTTCCTTCAAAAAGAAAACCAGCATTCCAGTACCTTGACTCAAACCAAACTGTACCTATTAAGCTGTGATTGGCACTGGAAGCATAAACTGTTGGGCATCTTGCAGCTGTCCTTGCTTTTCATTCAGTAGGGTTCCTCAGCTCTATATTTAGATGATGTCAAAGGCCTCTTCCTAAACATCAGCAATTAGCTCTACAGTCATCTCTCCCTGCAGTCCCCAGCTCCTCCTGAATCTGTCTGCCTTCCTGTCTTCCTCTGTTTGTTTGATTTCCCACAGGATCTAGAAAGGAACCGGATAGGATTCCGAAGGATGGATCCCCCGTGCCTTCTCTCCGTCTCACTTGTTTTGATGCTGTGCTCCCTGGGAGCCTCCTTCCGGATCTGTGCCTTCAACACTCAGCGCTTCGCCCAAGGGAAGGTGGATAAAGCCCACGTTGTGGACATTTTTGTCAAGGTGAAGCGTCAATACAATTGCAGGGAGGGAGAAGGGTGGAAGGAAGCTGAGATCTCATTTCAGCATTTTCTGAACTTATATGGTGCCTGTAGTGTGGACTAGTGTGGGTGGGGCATCTTATCTCAGATTGGCATAGGATTTAATCATGACAGTCTGCTGCCTTGCGGCAATCACGTTACTGCAGGGACTGGAAACATACTGTGTTTATGGTTTTTTCAGGCTATATGGCCATGGTCTAGAGGCATTCTCTCCTGACATTTCACCTGCATCTATGGCAAGCATCCTCAGACTCTGAGGATGCTTGGCATAGTTGCAGGCGAAACGTCAGGAGAGAATGCCTCTAGACCATGGCCATATAGCCCGAAAAAACCTACAACAACCCAGTGATTCCAGCCATGAAAGCCTTCGACAATATACTGTGTTTACATTTATTATCACATTTATCTGCACTAGCATGTTGGTTCTGTTTTGAGAAACGACGGCCTTGTGATCTGTCTTCTGCATAGCCTCCATAACTTCATCTTGCTGCCCTATGCCCTACTCAGCATCTATATAAATAAAAATGTAATGTTTGTTTGTGGGATTAACAGAACTCAAAAACCACAGGACAAATTGACACCAAGTTTGAACACAAGACACCTAAAAACCCAATGTATGTCCTTCACTCAAAAAAAATGATTTTTGTCGTTTGGGAGTTGTAGCTGGGATTTATAGTTCACCTACAATCAAAGAGCATTCTGAACCCCTCCAACGATGGAATCAGGCATGTAGCTGGGGGGGGGGGGGGCTTGAGGGGCTTCAGGTTCGTGAAAAGGTCTTACTGGTGCATTATTTAAACTGTTATGTTTATTCATATCATGATCTGATCATCATACTCAATATATCCCATATGCATGGGGGTATTGGGGTAATGATACAAAAGGTTTGCTAGGGTAGACCCTCTTTCACTCAAACTCAGCCCCCCCTCGAAACATACTCAGCCCCCCCCCCCCAATCGAAATCCTGGCTATGGGCCTGGATGGAATTGAACCAAACTTGGCACACAGTTCTTGCATGACCAACAGAAAATACTGGAAGGGTTTAATGGGCAGTGTCCTTTCATTTTGGAGTTGTAGTTCACCTACATCCAGAAATCACTGTCGACTCAAACAATGATGGATCTGGACCAAACTCTACACGAATACTCAATATGCCCAAATATGAACAATGGTGGAGTTTGGGGAAAATAGAATCTTGACATTTGGGAGTCGTATTTGCTGGGATTTATAATTCACCTACAATCACAATAATAATCTTTATTTATACCCCACTACCATCTCCCCAAGGGACTTGGTGTGGCTTACAAGAGGCCAAGCCCAAAGTACATCAACAGTAAAAGCAATAAAAAACAATCAATACAACAGTTAAAATAAATGACCTCTCGGKCAGAAGTGATTTAATGCAGCTGGCTACTACCTAGCTACACCACAGCCCGGTCCTCATGTCCCATGTTGTGCCCCTTCTACCAGTGCAGTTGTATGTTTCACTGGAACACATGTGGCAACATCAGACTGTGGTCAAAATAGCAGAAGTTAAGAATGAGGAACATCAGACTGTGGTCAAAATAGCAGAAGTTAAGAATGAGGAAGGACACACATGCTGAGAGATGCAGCAGCAGTTTGCTTTCGTCGGAAGCTACTCAGAAGAGCAAAGCTCTGCCCCTTTTTGCACCCTTTTCCCTACTAAGCTAATTGCAATTTGAACCCAGTTGAAGAAGYTAAAGCAAGCTGAAGACAAAGGGGGAAAGTGGGAGGAAGAGAAAAAAATGGGACATTTAAAAAGCGCTTGAAAAAATGGGAGGTCAAAAGATTAATCAGAAGGGTCCCTTTAAAATTGGGATGATATGCAAGTACAACATGCACATCCATTCCCCAGCATTCTGCAGAGAAAGATTTAAGGTCTTCTCCATTGCACATAAAAAAGATTAAAGAATCTTTTTTATGTGTAGAATCATAGAATCATCGAGTTGGAAGAGATCTCATGGGCCATCCAGTCCAACCCCCTGCCAAGAAGCAGGAAAATCTCATTCAAAGCACCTCTGGCAGATAGCCATCTAGCCTCTACTTAAAAGCCTCCAAAGAAGGAGCCTCTGCCACACCCAGGGGCAGAGAGTTCCACTGCTGAACAGCTCTCACAGTCAGGAAGTTCTTCCTCATGTTCAGATAGAATGTCATTTCCTGTAACATGACTTTGGGGATTTAAAAAAAACTTTTAAATCCCCACCATTTTGCAATTTTGGAAATACAATATTAAAAAATAAAAAAAGAAAAGGGCTAGTAACAAAAGTAGGCTGCTCATAAAAATCAAAAATATGAAGGAGGAGAGGAGAATCGTGGCCAGTGATGCCATGTGACTGGCGGTGTATTAGAACTACAGCATAGACATCAGTAATGAAAATAGAGCAATATGGAGAGTAATTGATAGTGCACATCACTAGTCAATGGGATGCAAAGCAGCAGCAGGACAGATGTGGCACTGTGTGATAAGCATTGGCCACATATACTATTATTCTGCTGAAATTCTGCTTTGCAATCCTCTTACATAGATAATCTCTGATGCAGGTTGGGGATTCTTTGGCCTTCCGGGTGGTCTTTGATGGTAACACTCCTAATTCAAGAGTGTTGACCATCCTTGCTGGGCCATCTGGGAAATATAGACTAAAATATTTGAAGGATCAGTGGGTCCATCATTCCTACTCCAATGAAAAGAAGAGGAATAGGCAGAACCAAGGGAAGAAAAGACAGACCATTACTAATCAGAGGCCAACGTAGAAGACATGATTCCACTACTCCCTTCTCAATTGGGTTTTTTTAAGCCAGGCCAGGGTGTGTGTGTGTAAAAAAAAAAGGAACAGGAGAAACATATATAGAAAGGTTATAAATTGAACACCCTCTCATCAGGAGCACTTTCACACAGCCTTCAAATTGGACATATTTTTGATGCCAGAGTGGAGCTAAGATAGCAATGGAAAGCTTGTCCTATGAGGTCTGGTCTATGATATTATTGATTTATTTATTTACAGTATTTATATTCCGGCCTTCTCACCCTGCAGGGAACTCAGGGCGGATTGTTGTTGTTCATTCATTCAGTCGTCTCCGACTCTTCGTGACCTCATGGACCAGCCCACGCCAGAGCTCCCTGTCGGCCGTCACCACCCCCAGCTCCTTCAAAGTCAGTCCAGTCACTTCAAGGATGCCATCCATCCATCTTGCCCTTGGTCGGCCCCTCTTCCTTTTGCCTTCCATTTTCCCCAGCATAATTGTCTTCCCTAGGCTTTGCTGTCTCCTCATGATGTGGCCAAAGTACTTCAACTTTGTCTCTAATATCCTTCCCTCCAATGAGCAGCCGGGCTTTATTTCCTGGAGGATGGACTGGTTGGATCTTCTCGCACTCCAAGGCACTCTCAGCACTTTCCTCCAGCACCACAGTTCAAAAGCATCTATCTTCCTTCGCTCAGCCTTCCCTAAGATCCAGCTCTCACATCCGTAGGTTACTACAGGGAATACCATGGCTTTGATTATGCGGATCTTTGTTGCCAGTGTGATGTCTCTACTCTTTACTATTTTATCGAGATTGGACATTGCTCTCCTCCCAAGCCAATACTTATCATACAATTCCACATATACTAACATGGCAAACATACAATGACATTTAGACATACAACATATATAGACAGACACAGAGGCAATGTAACATTCCATCTTTTCAGCTTCATGAGGGTATGCTCGTTTCCGGCCACAGGGGGAGCTGCCACTTCACCATCCACTTGTGATGGAATACTTCCTTATTCTTATGCACACTGCTGGAGGGTTTTATGGTGTCGTAAATTAGTTAATTAAGCCTCCCCGCATAAAGCAGTACCTACATTTCCTACTTGACAGATACATCTGTCTTTCAGGCTGCATAGGTTGACAGCAAGCTAGACTATTAATAGTTGGGAGCTCACTCTGATCCGGGCTGGCTTCGAACTCTATAATAATAATAATAATAATAATAATAATAATAATAATAATAATAATCTTTATTTATACCCCACTACCATCTCCCCAAGGGACTTGGTGTGGCTTACAAGAGGCCAAGCCCAAAGTACATCAACAGTAAAAGCAATAAAAAACAATCAATACAACAGTTAAAATAAATGACCTCTCGGKCAGAAGTGATTTAATGCAGCTGGCTACTACCTAGCTACACCACAGCCCGGTCCTCATGTCCCATGTTGTGCCCCTTCTACCAGTGCAGTTGTATGTTTCACTGGAACACATGTGGCAACATCAGACTGTGGTCAAAATAGCAGAAGTTAAGAATGAGGAACATCAGACTGTGGTCAAAATAGCAGAAGTTAAGAATGAGGAAGGACACACATGCTGAGAGATGCAGCAGCAGTTTGCTTTCGTCGGAAGCTACTCAGAAGAGCAAAGCTCTGCCCCTTTTTGCACCCTTTTCCCTACTAAGCTAATTGCAATTTGAACCCAGTTGAAGAAGYTAAAGCAAGCTGAAGACAAAGGGGGAAAGTGGGAGGAAGAGAAAAAAATGGGACATTTAAAAAGCGCTTGAAAAAATGGGAGGTCAAAAGATTAATCAGAAGGGTCCCTTTAAAATTGGGATGATATGCAAGTACAACATGCACATCCATTCCCCAGCATTCTGCAGAGAAAGATTTAAGGTCTTCTCCATTGCACATAAAAAAGATTAAAGGGGTCAAATACTAAGGTTAGAATATAAATGAATTAAGTTAATATAATAATAAAATGAAAATAAGAGCTGTTTATCTACTGTTGCATGTCTCGGGGAGCCGGGTGAAGTTTAAGTGCTACCTGAAAAACAAGCACTATTTTTTATACTGGTGTGTTTTTATTTATGCATTTATTGTATATGTTTTATGTTCATATGTTTTGACTTTGATGTAGCCCTCCTCAAGCCATCAGGAGAGGCAGATAATAAACAGAATGTATTATTATTATTATTATTATTATTATTATTATTATTATTATTATTATTGGAGGTCATGATGGCACAGTGGGTTAAACCTCTGAACTGCTGAGCTTGTTGACCGAAAGGTCACAGGTTCGAATCTGGGGAGGGGTGTGAGTTTCCGCTGTCAGCCCCAGGTTCTGCCAACCTAGCAGTTCGAAAACATGCAAATGTGAGTAGATCAATAGGTAGCACTCCGGCGGGAAGGTAACGGCGCTCCATGCAGTCATGCCAGCCACATGATCTTGGAGGTGTCTACAGACAACGCCGGCTCTTCGGCTTAGAAATGGAGATGAGCACCACACCCCAGAGTCGGACACGCCTGGACTTAATATCAGGGGAAAATCTTTACCTTACCTAAGTCACAGGACTGTAACCACAACTCAAAAGTAGGGATGTGGCTACGAGGCTATTGCAGTTAACAGATTACTATACAAATAATAAAGAAACCAAAATAAAGTGTTTGGCAGGGACTTCTAATTTCAAGTCTACTCAGAGACATGAAACTTACTCGGTAACTTTGGGCCACCCACTCCCTTTCAGTAGGATCTAGCTCCCTTTCAGTTGTGAGGATACATGAAATTCATGCCTACTGCCTTGAGCTAATTGGTGCAAATAACACTATATAACAGACACAACTTGACTTCATGTCAGGGGAAAACCTTTACCTTTTACCTTTACCTATTATTATTATTATTATTATTATTATTATTGCTGCTGCTGCTGCTACTACTACTACTACTATTATAACTGAAGAAAAATTCAACACTTTACCTCCTTTCCACCCACTATGTAACTGAAGTCACTTTATTATACCATAGTTAGTACAATTACATTTCGAAAAGTCCTTTGAGTTTGTGCTGGGAATGTGTTGTCAGAATCCTATTACCGGTAGTAGCAAAATGGCTGATGGGAGATAACACTGGGGCAAACCCACAAAGGAAGAAAATAAATTGGTTCAAAAAGCACTCGCTAACTGGTACCCTTTTCCTGCACACCCCACAGATCCTGGCTCGTTGCGATATTGCTGTTCTACAAGAGGTAATGGATGCAAAAGGAAAAGCCATTCCTGCTTTGGCAGCGGCCCTGAATCGGTGAGCATAAGTAATGAGAGAGAAATGCTAGCAAGGGGACATCAATCAGGGAAGGGATCGTGGTGTAAGGGAACAGTGAGAAGCACTGCCAGTAGTACAGAAGACTGGTTCATCAGTTTCACCCAACTCACAAGATAAAGACATTTGGTGACAGTGTTCCAGCCTAAATAACCTGAAACCCCATCCTGTCACCAGTGTCTTTGAAAAGTGGCAGAAACAAGAAAACCCAGCCGGAAACCAATAGGACTGCCCATTTATATCTTACTAGCTGTCCCCTGCCATGTGTTGCTGTGGCCCAGTCTGGTGATCTGGAAAATAAAGTAATGAGAAAGTGTTGGTTTCTAATATATGTAATTTCTTGATGCTTGTGTGTAAACAATGCTTCTTGTTGTCTCTTTGTCAGTGTTGATGTAGAGATTGCCTGGTTTGCCTACTCTGGAACATGCAACATATCATTGTCCTTCTTTAGGAATCCTTTTCAAATCTAGGATACTATATGTCATATACATATATATGTGTGTGAGTGAATCATATCTATCTATCTATATCTGTGTCTAGATGACTCTTTGTCAGGAGGGCTTTGATTATGTTTTCTTGCCCTGGTGAAGGGAGGTGGACTGGATGGCCCTTAGGCAGCATTTCTCAACCAGGGGGTTGAGAAACCTGGGGGGAGGACACGAGGGGGTGTCAGAAGGGTTGCCAAAGACCACAAGAAAATACAGTATTTTCTGTTGGTTGTGGGGGTTCTGCGTGGGAAGTTTGGCCAATTCTATCGTTGGTGGGGTTCTGAATGCTCTTTGATTGTTGGTGAACTTTAAATCCCACCAACTACAACTCCCAAATGTCAAGGTCTATTTTCCCCAAACTTCACCAGTGTTCACATTTGGGCATATGGAGTAATCGTGCCAAGTTTGGTCTAGATCCCTCATTGTTTGAGTCCACAATGCTCTCTGTGGACTCCCAAACTCAAGGTCTATGCCTTGAGTTTAAACGCAAGGTCTATGCCTACAACTCCCAAACTCAAGGTCTATGCCCACCAAACTTTTCCAGAATCTTCTGTTGATTGAAAGAGTCCTGTGTGACAAGTTTGCTTCAATTCCAACGTTGGTGGGATTCAGAATCCTCTTTGATTGTAGGTGAATTGTAAATCCCAGCAACTACAAATCCCAAATGACAAAATCAATTTTCTTTGAGTAATGGTCACTCCTTGGGTTAGTAGGTGTCTTGTGGCCAAATTTGGTGGCAATTCGTCCAGTGGTTTTTGAGTTCTGTTAATCCCACAAACGAACATTACATTTTTATTTTTATAGATTGAAGTGGGGTGGAGAGCTTTGCTATGGCACACGTACTTTGTTTTTTCAAAGACATTCATTGCCTCCTTTCCCATCAGGTTTGAAAACGGGGCTGATGTCTACAGCTACATCACCAGTCCTCTACTGGGCCGGAGCAACTATCAAGAACGCTATGTATTCTTTTACAGGTGAGGTACACCATTATATCCCTGTGAAGGGTTGCCTTTTTTCCCACTAATATATTTCCTTTGGCGGCCCACTCCACACACTTTTAGTATTGCACCTTTCCTTTTCCCCTGGAGCCGGATCTCCCTTCATTTATCTGTGCCTCTCCATTCCTGTAGGAATAAAAGAACACGGGTGTTGGACTCTTATAAATATGCAGATGAACATCCAGAGCGGCCTGATGTCTTTGCGCGTGAGCCTTTCATTGTGCGATTCAGCTTTCCAAGCAAAGGTAAAGACTCAGAAAACATCAGAAGTTCTGTTTCTAGTTGAGGGTTCGGAAAGTGTGAAGTTAGGGTAAGGGGAGAGAATATTTCTTTATTTCTTTATTTATTTATAGTATTTATAGTATTTATATACCGCTTTTCTCACCCCGAGGGGGACTCAAAGCGATTTACACATAGATAATGGCAAAAATTCAATGCCTTACAACTACAATAGTAAACCCACACATTAGACATAAATCATATTAAAAACAGTACATCACCAAACATCAAAACAGTTATTAAAACTTTAAAACAATCTCATCAGTTGAATTGCTGTTCCAGTCCTTGTCCCGCTAAAAGCTGCATACATCTATTGTCCGAAGGCCTGGTCCCAGAACCATGATTTCCCTAGACCTCTGATTATTAATCATTATTAAAGGATTAAATGGGTTATTTGAGTTGTAGTTTTTGATTAATTTAATTGGTACTAAGTTTATTGTTAGGTTATTGTATAATGTTTGATTTATTTTGTTTATATGTTCTTTGTAGGCATTGAATGTTTACCTTATGTGTTGAAAACTACCCTGAGTCCCTTCGGGGAGATAGGGCAGTCTACACATTTATTATTATTATTATTATTATTATTATTATTATTATTATCATTATTATCATTATTATTATTTGAAACACAACAAGATGAGTCCACAGCAGACACTCTGTGGGCTGTTGTATTGGATCACACGTCGGACACTTCCCAAGTGTCTAGGTCTGTGTTATGCATCGGCGAATAATGCGTGCAGATCCTAGTAAAGTGGCCTTTTGCAGCTGGCAGATGGTAATCTTGTCAGCGCCGATTGTGTTTAAGTGCAGGCCAAGGTCTTTAGGCCAGTGTGCCAATCACTGGGACCACCTTTACTGGCTTGTGCCATTATTATTATTATTATTATTATTATTATTATTATTATTATTATGCACCAAAAACCTCCATTTCCCAGCTGTTCTAAATATGTGGGAAGTTTGGAAGTCTGATGTCATATAGTCATCACAAGAAAATTACCTAAAATATCTGCCATACTAGCATAAAGGATCATGGAATGGATCCTACTGAATTCCACATCTAATATAAGCAAGGTGCCTAAGAAAATGAGTACTAAGTAGAATTTGTATCGCATCCCCAAACATTCAGCTCAATATTTGACTTCATACAGCAGCACAAGGGAGCCCCCCATGGCACAGTGGGTTAAAGCTAATTGAAAGGTCGCAGGTTCAAATCTGGGGAGAGGCATGAGCTCCTGCTGTTAGCCCTAGCTTCTGCCAACCTAGCAGTTTGAAAACATGCAAATGTGAGTAGATCAATAGGTACCGCTTCTACAGAAAGGTAACAGCATCCCATGCCATCATGCTGGCCACATGACCTTGGAGGTGTCTATGGACAACGCTGGCTCTTTGGCTTAGAAATGGAGATGTGCACCAACCCCCAGAGTCGGACATGACTGGACTTAATGTCAGGGGAAAACCTTTACCTTTACAGCAGCACAAAATTTCGCAAGGAAAATGAGCTAGAAAACGGATGATGCTAGGCAATTTTCTCAAAAGAGTGATTATAATTCATAGGTTGTGTCTGACTATCAAATACTAAATCACAACTTCAAAAAGTACAACATGAAACCTGAAATTGCACAGAAGAAAAATTGGTGATGCTCAAAGAAATGCTGTGCTAGTTTTCCCCAAAAAAATGCTCACTTGAACAAAAACAGGCAAAACAATCCACAGATTTTAAAACACGGGATTTAAAATTTCAAACTGCATTATATGGCCATGTAGATGGGGCACAAGTTCTTTTGGACAATAGTAAAGTGAACTTTCCTTTCACTTTATATATTTGTGAAGGCAACTAGGCATGCTGGAAATTATACCAGTGGTTATGGTTGAGCCACAATCCCTTTTTTTCTGTTCTTAATATGGGGAAAGGAAGATTTCATTAGTTTCCCAGTGTCATCTTTTGTTGTTGTGTGCTTTTAGAAATAATTTGGGTAAATGTATTGTCGAGGGCTTTCATGGCCAGAATCACTGGGTTGTTATAGGTTTTTCCGGGCTGTATGGCTATGTTCTAGAGGCATTTTCTCCTGACGTTTCGCCTGTATCTATGGCAAGCATCCTCCTCACTATCTCTGAAGATGCTTGCCATAGATGCAGGCGAAACAGGAGAAAATGCCTCTAGAACATGGCCATATAGCCCAGAAAAACCTACAACAACCCAATTTGGGTAAATCTGTCATGAGTCTCCAATCCATTCTCCTCCACTTTTGCACGCTGGAGGGGGTAATTGGAAGCATTTATTTTAAAATCCTTCCTTTGGATGTCTGGTCCTAAGGAACCCTGATTTGTTCAAACTGTAGTTAATGGAGATAGTCTCAATATCTGGGAAGTGAAGTCCAAGCTGACATGACTCTTCTATCCTTTGTGGTGATGTTCTCCATTTCCACACCTTCAAGCACTTCCTGAGCTGGTGCTGATCCCACAACATACGATGCCCTCAAAGGCTGAAGCTGAAATTGATGCACTCTATGATGTTTTCCTGAATGTGCAGGAACGCTGGAATACCAAGGTATGATGTGAGGCATTGCAAAGAGCAAGGAGGTATTGTAAAAAAAAACCAAATTACTAGACATCTCCTGACTTTTCATAGAATCATAGAGTTAGAAGAGACCATAAAGGTCATCCAGTTCAGCTAATCCACAACTGGTGGGGAATAGCATCAGATATATTCTGTTAAGTGTGATAAAGTTTAGGAGTGAGGGTTATAAATTAAGACTAACAAATGACCAATAAAGATAGACAAGTTAGAATTCTTCCAGAGCCCTTGATGTTGGGCACTTCAGAATAACTGGCTTGAACAATAGTAACTGGTTGGAATTATGTATTACTTTCCCATTGTCAGTCCCACAACAAGGAAAATGAGCTTAAGGAGACTAGGCTGAGAGGAGACATGATGGCCATATATAAATCTGTGAGGGGAAGTCATGGGGGGAAGGGAGCAAGCTTGTTTTCTGCTGCCCTGGAGACTAGGATGCGGAACAATGGCTTCAAACTACAAGAAAGGAGATTCCACTTGAACATTAGGAAGAGCTTCCTGACTATGAGAGCTATTCAGCAGTGGAACTCTCTGCCACGGAGTGTGGTAGAGGCTCCTTCTTTGGAGGCTTGTAAGCAAAGGCTGGATGGCCATCTGTCAGGGGTGCTTTGAATGTTATTTTCCTGTTTCTTGGCAGGAGGTTGGGCTGGATGACCCATGAGGTCTCTTCCAACTCAATGATTCTATGACTCTAAGGCTATTAAGCAGGCCACCATTTTGCAAAGCAGGTATCCCATCATCAATGGGAGTAATAATATTTGTGCACATAGGTCCCTTTTTGGATAGAGCTCAAAGAACTATTCTCTTGCCATCTAACCAAAAAACTCCCATGCCATTGATATAGTATGTCCCACATAACTCCAGAACAATAGCACCTGTTTCGCCTACCCACACCAGTAGAAAAATTGTATCTCTAGGAATTTTCTAGGGCTTGCAGGCAATTCTATGGTATGCTTCCCCTGGAAGTTACCATAAAGTTGCCATGGAAGCCCCAGCAAATTCTTTGAGAAGATACTTCAATAGAAATTTGCTAGGTCCTCCAGAGTGACTCTATAGTATGCTGGGATTGGAAGTCAGGTAATTTAATGGTGTTTGGTCACATTTCATTTAGCCACAGCCTGACTTAGAACCTGTCCCTGATGGATTCAGAGATCTTACTGTATAATGTCTGTATATTTTGTGCTGTGGTAATCCATTGTCCTTGCTGTTCACTGTAAGACTTTTGGAGACCTAAATGACTCTCTTTCACTCCCACCACAGGACATGATTTTCTTGGGTGATTTCAATGCAGACTGTGGCTACGTGGCAAAGAAACGATGGGGGAATATCCGCTTACGCCAAAAGCCTGAGTTTCACTGGCTCATTGGTGACAAAGCTGATACTACTGTTCGAGAGAACACTCGTTGTGCCTATGACAGGTAGGATTGTGGGTGCCATCAATGTGGGATTTTGGGGAAGGTACATGTTAGGTAGATAACGCACTGTTAGATAGATTGCATTGTCTGTAACTCCATTGTGTATTACTGTTTAGAAAAATACAGTTCTAATAGACATGTGGTCACACACATCCATGGAAAGGGTTGAGCAAGTGGTGATGTGGAATTGGACAGGCAGGAAAAGAAGCTTAGTCATGAACATATGAGGGCTGTGTCATTCATTGTTGTCCCTGTGTGATGATGAGAAGCTATGGGTATAAAAGAGAGTAGCCGCCACATGCACTCTCTTTTGCCTGGATGTTCTTGCCATGATTCTCTCTGTATTCTTGCTGTATTGGTTGTGAGTATATCTTTGTATATATCGATAGGAAATCAGGGGATCCTGATGTATATATAGCTGTACATAAGCAATATGTCAAGAGTAAAGCCTCCACTGAGAGTTTGGATGAAAAAAAGTGTTTTCTAAAAAACAGTAACCTGAAACAAAGTTGGAGGCTGTGCAATAAAACTCTGCTGAATACTGGTAAAAGACTCTGCAATGTCCTAGTATTTTATTATGTTTTTAGTTGTTATTTTGTTCGTTAAGTTAAATTAGGTTGTGTTATATTGTCAAACGTGTTTATTTTGATGTAATTGTCTGTATGGCTTTCTATCCAGCAATTGAATGTTTGCCTTAGATGTTGGAAACTGCCTGAATCCCTTCATTTTATTATTATTATTTTATTATAATGTTTGGTTTGATTAATAGCTTACTCTGAGACAATCAGTCCAGTGTGAAGCATAGGGAGGATGAGATAGGTAGGTAATCACATACCTACCCTCAGTATTTTTCCAACAGTACATACATGGGTTGTTGTAGGTTTTTTCGGGCTATATGGCCATGTTCTAGAGGCATTTCTCCTGACGTTTCGCCTGCATCTATGGCAAGCATCCTCAGAGGTAGTGAGGTCTGTTGGAAGGAGGAAAAAGGGTTTATATATCTGTGGAATGACCAGGGTAAGACAAAGGACTCTTGTCTGCTGGAGCTAGGTGTTTCATCTGACCACCTTGATTAGCATTTGATTGCCTGGCAGTGCCTGGAGCAAGCATGTGGACAATTTCAACAGAAAGGAGGAAACCATGAAAATGAACAAAATCTGGCTACCAGTATTAAAAACTCTAAAATTAGAACAGCACAACAACAAAGAGGAAACAAACAAGGATATCTAATCACCTCTAACAAAAGATTGCTCCAGGCACTGCCAGGCAATCAAATGCTAATCAAGGTGGTCAGTTGAAACACCTAGCTCCAGCAGACAAGAGTCCTTTGTCGCACCCTGGTCATTCCACAGATATATAAACCCCTTTTCCTAGTTCCAACAGACCTCACTACCTCTGAGGATGCTTGCCATAGATGCAGGCGAAACGTCAGGAGAAAGGCCTCTAGAACATGGCCATATAGCCCAAAAAAACCTACAACAACCCAGTGATTCCGGCCATGAAAGCCTTCGACAATACAGTACATACATGTGTCTGTGTGTCCTTCAAGTAGCCAGTTGACTTATAGTGACACCATGAATTTCAAAGGACTTTCTTAGGCAAGGAATGCTCAAAGGTGATTTGCCAGTTTCTTCCTCTGAGGTATAGCATACAGATGATATTCAGCAGTCTCTACTCAAGTACTAACTAGGGCTGATCCTGCTGAACTTCCAAGTTTAGGCAAGATCTGATGCCTTCAAGGCATTTAAGATGCCTTTGGGGCAGATGTCCAACAGCAACAAAATTTTATTTATATACCACTCTATGTCCCCGAGGGGACTCAGAGCAGTTTCCAAGTAACATCATCAATACATACAGAGTCCAGAAACCAAGTCCCAGACCCATGACTCAGTGCCATGATGAACAAGAGTGCCCCCAAATTTTACAAGACTAACTTATAATTTGAAGAGTAGACCAAATGAAATCATTAAGTCTGTGTAAATTAGGGATTTGGGAAACCAATATCGCTAATGATAAAGGAAAATTGAAATGATAGCCTGCAACATTTGGAGGTTTTACATCCATGGTGTAGTATGTAAGCATTTGAAATGATATTACTTGTTTGAATACAGTAAATCAGATGAAAATGGACATGATCCGCTCTGTTTAAATGCATGTCTTATTCTCCCTGATTCCTAAACAGGATTGTGGTGCATGGTGAGCGCTGTCTGGATGCAATCGTGCCTGGTTCAGCTCAGCCTTTTGATTTCGCCAAGGAATTTGGACTCTCAGAGGAACAGGTACCAGGACTTCTCTTTTGGACATGAACCATTGCTTGTTATACGTGCATAATACTATTCCATTCCAGAAAAATTAAGAATATGTCCTGTTTCCAAAGAGAGAGCACTCATAACAGTTTTTTTATCATGTCAGAAGTGACTTGAGAAACTGCAAGTCATTTTTGGTGTGAGAAAATTGGCCATCTGCAAAGACATTGACCAGGGGACACCCAGATGTGTTACCATCATGTGGGAGGCTTCTTTCATGTCCCCACATGGGAAGCTGGAGCTCAACCTGTCTTGCGGATGTGAACCGCCAACCTTCAGGTCAGCAGTTCCACCGGCACAAGAGTTTAACCCATTGCGCCACCGCAGCTCATAACAGTTAGAGCTTTGTAAGTAAAAACTAAGATTGTGAATTACCTCAACCAGCAAACTAGGAACCAAAGAAGATTGTTTTTGCACAATGCTGTATTGGATCACTTGAGCAAGGAAAAAGGTATACAAAGCTGAATCCAAGGATTTCAGAGTGGTTTTCCTGTGAAAAGAGTGATAAATCTACTCCAGGTTTTAGCCTGAATGTTAAAGATGCTGTCCATGGTACTGATCCTTATTTGTTTGGTTTTTTAAATGACCCTTGGTTTCAACCCAGGAGCTCTTGTGGAAACTAAAATCTGTTAAGTACTGTTACATACAGTGGGGTAGTAAAGTGTCCAGTATATAAACTGGCAAAATCAATATTTTATTTTGGGGGTGTTTTTTTTTAATCAAACTATGAATAATTGAATCCATGGATGTAGAATTTGTGGATATAGAGAGCTGACCGTATACTCCTTTAAAATTCAGGCTAAAACCAACAATAGATATATCACACTACTGAAATAGAAATTGCCACAGCCTTGTAGGGCTGGCATGAGTTCTAGGCCTAACTTAAGCTATTGTTGTTTCATGAATAGATAGGTTAAGGTATACAAGGACCATTGGTGGTTTGTGGATCAAACCAATGCTTCCAATTGTTTTAGAAAATGGAGGGGGATCCTCCTAGTCCCTCACAGTCAGTGCTAAGGAATCATGGGAGTTGTAGTCTGGCCGAGTTAATTTGTCATTTGAGAACAAGAAACCACATTTTTTTTCGTGTCAGAAGCGACTTGAGAAACTGCAAGTCGTTTCTGGTGTGAGAGAATTGGCCATCTGCAAGGACGTTGTCCAGGGAATGTTTTGATGTTTTACCATTCTTGTGGGAGGCTTCTTTTATGTCCCCGCATGAGGAGCTGGAGCTGACAGGGGGAGCTCATCCGTGCTCTCCCCGGATTCGAACTTCCAACCTGTCGATCTTGCCAGCACAAGTTTTTAATCCATTGTGCTTCTGGGGGCTCCAACCACAAATAAGGAATAAGCAGCAACTAATGTTTGCTTCCCTTTTATAACAACCTTGCATCTGTAGATAGCCAACGCAGTAAACCTGAAGTAGGGCCAGATCCATTTACTACATAGCAGGAGAAAGAACTACAGGTAAACTCTTGCATAGCCTGGGAAAACTAGATGTTAAGATAGGTGATGTTTATCTGCTTCCAGTCCCATATTTGGTGAATGATACCAGACCTAAAGCCAAGATCTATTCAAGTATCTCCCTCCTAAAAGCTAGGAAACCTGAATAATCGAGAGAAAGTTCTTTGGAAGGGAAAGCACAAGAGATTTCAAATGTCATTGTAATATTCTTTATTAGCAGATATCCATGCAGTACAATGACAGCGGAAAGCTGTAGGCACTCTACAAGGCAACATATAGACTATTTCTGCATCAGATCCCTGGAAAACATTACCCCAAGATGCTGAGCCTGCAGCTCACTTCTTGCTTCTTTGTGTGCATCTACACTGTGGAATTGATACAGTGTGACATCATCATCATCATTATTATTATTATTATTATTATTATTATTATTATTTGAAACACAACAAGATGAGTCCACAGCAGACACTCCGCTGACTGTTGAATTGGATCACATGTCAGACACTTCCCAAGTGTCTAGGACTGTGTGATGTATTGGTGAATAATGCGTGTAGATCCCAGTAAGGTGGCCTTCTGCAGCTGGCAGATGGTAACTTTGTCAGCACCGATTGTATTTAAGTGCAGGCCAAGGTCTTTAGGCACTGCACCCAGTGTGCCGATCACTGCTAGGATCACCTTTACTGGTTTGTACCAGAGTCTTTGCAGTTCGATTGTTAAATCCTCATATTGTGTCAGCTTTTCCAGTTGTTTCTCTGCAATCCTGCTGTCACCTGGGATTGCGACATCAACGATCCATACTTCGTTTTTTAACACAATTGTGAGGTCAGATGTATTATGCTCCAAAACTCTGTCTGTCTGAATCCGGAAGTCCCAGAGGAGTTTGGCGTGTTCATTCTCTGTAACTTTTTCCGGCTTGTGATTCTGCCAGTTCTTTGTCGCAGGCAGATGGTATTTGTGGCACAAGTTCCAATGAATCATCTGAGCAACGGTGTTGTGCCTCTGCTTGTAGTCTGTCTGCACGATCTTGTTGAAGCAGCTGAGGATGTGATCTATTGTTTCATCTACTTCCTTGCAGAGTCTACATTTGGGATCTGCTGTCGACTTTTTAATTCTGGCTTTGATTATTATTTTATTATTTTATTATTATTATCATTATTATTATTTATACTCTGCTTTATCTCTCCCAAAGGAGACTCAAGGCAGCTTAACATAAAAGCATTAGCATACAATTCAAATATATATATATATACAAATATGCAAACAATGAAACAGAATTAAGTATAAACAGTGTTTAAAAATTCACATTTAAAATCCATTAAGACATATTCAGAGTTAAAAACCACAGCACCCCTGACTAGATTTTTAAAACCTTCATCTTTAAAAGCCTGTCTAAATAAAAAGTTTTTATTTACCCTGGCTCAATGCAGAGTAATAGTTTGACAAGATCTTTAGCCTTTTCTGTTGAAGGGCATTCGTGCTCTCCAGACTACAACTCCCATGATTCCAAGGTACTGAAAGTGGTGTCAAGTCCTGGGAGTTGTAGTTTGATGAGGCTAAAGACCTTGTCAAACTATAACTCCCATGGAGTGCTAACTGTATTTCTGTTATTTATTGTTATTTATTCATAGTTTAAATACCAGAACATCCTGATGTTCTCTTTCTCTTTTTACTATTTCAGGCTTTGGAGATAAGCGATCATTATCCTGTTGAGGTGGAGCTGTATTCAGCCTGTTGGGGACTCCAGCCAATCCGACCATTTGGTCTTCTCTTGTTGGCCATAGCCATGCTGTCTGGTACAGGGCATGGCATTTGAAAATTTTTCCAAATCTTCTGGGATTGTTACATCTGTCCAAGTTTTGTATCAATTGCCAAGTGCTGCCAAGTTGACTCTAGCTCATGGAGACCCTATAAATGAGAGATCTTTGAGAGCCATAATCATGAAGAGTTCTACTCAGGTATTGCAAACTCAGGGCAGCCTTACTCCCTTGATTCAGCCAATCTGCCTGGGATGTGATCTTCTCCTTTTCTTACTGCTTTCTGCTTGACAAAGCATTATCATCTTTTCAGATGAGTCTTGTCATCTCATGATCTGTCCAGAGAACAACAGCCTCAAAGGAGGTGGGTCCATTTCATTGGTGCAACCTGTGTTTTGAAGATGTTGAGTGCTTCCAAAGGGACAAAAATGCTTCTGTGAAAGAGTAAAGAAACATGTCGATGGCTACGCACAAAGACATTATTGTCTGGTCCTCCCTTACAATTTTTTTTCGTGTCAGGAGCAACTTGAGAAACTGCAAGTCACTTCTGGTGTGAGAGAATTAGCCATCTGCAAGAATGTTGCCTGGATGTTTTTGATGTTTTACCATCCTTGTGGGAAGCTTCTCTCATGTCCCTGCATGGGGAGCTGGAGCTGAAAGAGGGAGCTCATCTTCACTCTCCTCAGATTTGAATCTTCAACCTATCATCTTCAGTCCTACCAGCACAAGGGTTTAACCCACTGTGCCACTGAGGGCTCCTCTTCCCTTACAATTACTCAACTGGGACAATGTGATTGTATAGTGAACGTCTCATCTGCAAGTGCCTGTTATGCAACTTTCTAGGAATCAGGATGGAACTGCCAGATTTGCATACTTCGCTATGTGTCAGACCACTGAACAGCTGAGTGAATTACTTTTATGTCATGGATGGACTCCACTCATCCAGGTTGTCCTTTGGATCTTCTAAACCAGCGGTTCCCAACCTGTGGTCTGTGAACCTCCAGTGGTCTGCAGTAACAAAAATATGGTCTGCGGCCTCACCATTACTACACCATTGCCTTGATGCCATGCAGCAATGAGAGTGACTTGTCTCATGAAACCCTCTTATCGTGCCGAGGCAACAAGAATGTCAGGAGGGGAAAGGCTGGCTACCCATGAAAGATTACTACTGCCACATCAACTCTAGATTATTAAATATGGTTTTCTGTAGGCAAGCAGACGGCAACTACTGGATGGTATATGTTTTGTATTAGAAACTAGAACTGATGTGATCTGCTATGGCGGACTTCTCTGGTTGAAGTAGTCTGCAGTGCCAAGACCCTATGTAGTCTTGTCCACAGCTGCATGGTATACGGTAGACTCCTGCAGAAGTGACAGGATCCCTCTTGTCCTTTGCTGAATGTAGCATTTGTTGAATTTTCTTGGTGGGTCTGTAGATAGTTTGTATGCCAAAAGAATCTGCGAACCCCACCTCCTCCAAGATGAACTGAACCACGCAAATTGGGCTCTACAGGCCAATGGATACTCCACCTCAGACATCAGAAGAGCTGCAAAACCGAGAACAAGCCACGAGAGTCAAGACAAAGACCCACCCAGAGGAAAAGTGTTCTTGCCGTACATCAAGGGAACCACTGACCGCATAGGGAAGCTGATGAGGAAACACAACATACAAACTATCTACAGACCCACCAAGAAAATCCAACAAATGCTATGTTCAGCAAAGGACAAGAGGGATCCTCTCACTTCTGCAGGAGTCTACCGTGTACCATGCAGCTGTGGACAAGTCTACATACCACCAAGCGCAGCATTGCCCAAACACGAATCAAGGAACATGAAAGGCACTGCAGACTACTTCAACCAGAGAAGTCAGCCATAGCAGAGCACCTGATGAACCAACCTGGACACAGCATATTATTTGAGAACACAGAAATGCTGGACCACTCCAAAAACCACCATGTCAGACTACACAGAGAAGCCACTGAAATCCACAAGCATGTGGACAATTTCAACAGAAAGGAGGAAACCATGAAAATGAACAAAATCTGGCTACCACTATTAAAAAACTCTAAAATTACAACAGCAAAACAGCAGAGAGGAAACAACCAGACACATCTTAACACCTCTCAACAGGGGATTTTCCCAGGCTCAGCCAGGCCTTCAAATGCTAATGAAGGTGATCAGTTGCAACATTTACACCTAGCTCCAGCAGGGAAGAGCTCCTTGCCCCACCCCAGCCATTCCACAGATATATAAACCCATTGTCCTAATTCCAATTAAAACAGCAAAACAGCAGAGGGAAAACAATCAGGGACATCTAACCACCTCTCAACAAAAGATTGCTCCAGGCATCAAGGTGGTCAGTTGAAACATTCACACCTGGCTCCAGCAGACAAGAGTTCTTTGCCCCACCCTGGTCTTTCCACAGATAAATAAACCCATTTTGCTAGTTCCAACGGACCTCATTACCTCTGAGGATGCTTGTCATAAATGCAGGCAAAACGTCAGGAGAGAATGCCTCTAGAACATGGCCATATAGCCCGAAAAGACCCACAACAACCCACTCATGAATGTTGTTATCTGAGAAGGATGCTTAGAAGCCAATACAAAGGGAGCCACTGTATAATTGGCTATATATCACTTCCAAATGTTTCAGTTTGAAAGGAAAATCATCTTTCTGACCTCTCTCTAATCCACTCAGTGTTGAAGCGCTCTTCAAGAGTAATTACTTGTAATGTTTGTCCTCGATCTACCTCTCTGTAGTTTAAATCAGAGGTGCAAACAGGGCAGCTTCCAGCTGTTGGCAGACTACAACTCCCAGCACTCCTCACTCTTCTCTGTATTCCTTAGGACTGCCCGTCATTGCACTCCAACAACACCTTGAAGGATACAGAAAGGGTCTGGCTTCTGATTTAAAACTACTAATTTACCTCTCATCCTCAGTGGACAAGGTGAAAAATTTACTTGCCTTGCAAGTGTATCTAGATTGCAGAGAAACTTTCTGTAGTGGATCTTTTGAAACAAAAACCTCTGTAGGATGTATTTCATTCTTTTTTTTTAATTAAATTTTTAATTCAGAAAAAAAAAATTACAATGCAGATAAAACAGTAGAGGGGTTAGGGGAAGGGATTGTCTAGGGTGGAAAGGGGAGGGGGGAGAGGTCAGGGAAACGTGAAAGGTGTGGGGGGTAGGCGGAGGGGGGGGAGGTATGGGTAGGTATAAAGCACAGGGGGGGAGGAGATTAAAATATTGACTTCCCAAGCTCCTTCCGATCCCTGGGTTTTCCTTCTTCAGTTTCTTCTGTTTCTCCGAAGTCTCTTCTTGATTGGTCATTGTTTATACGTTGGCCAAATCTATCATCAATGGGATGTTCTTTTCTTTAAAGCAATCCTTAAGTCCTGACCAATTCGTCTTGTTTTTGGTGTTCTCTAGTCTCTGGGATAGCGAGTCCATTTGAACTATCTCTAGCACCTTGGTCATCCAATTGTCTATTTCAGGAATTTCCTCTGATTTCCAGGTTTTTGCCAGTAGAATTCTCGCGGCTGTACTTAGCAGGAATAGTACTCTCGCTTGGTTTTTATTGAAATCTGAATTTATTATGCCTAATAAGTAGATGTCAGGGGATCTGGGGAATTTTTTCTTTAATATTTTTTAGTAATATTATGAATCTCCTTCCAATATTTTTTAACTTTTTTACATTCCCACCAGACATGAATGAAAGTTCCTTTTTCTTTCCTACATTTCCAGCAGGTATTTGAAATTCCTTTATTAAATTTTGCCAATTTTTCGGGCGTGTAATACCATCGGTAGTACATCTTGTACCAATTTTCCTTTATATCACTTGCTACCATAGATTTTATTTTATTGTTCCATATGTTTTCCCATTGGCTTATTAGTATACTATGGCCTAGATCTTTTGCCCATTGGATTTGGCAATTTTTCACTTGTTCATCTTCCGTCGACCATTTTAACAGTTGTTGGTAAAGTATTTTTATTAATTTTTTCTCCTTTTCTAATATTAATTCCCATATTCCCTTCTCTTGGTTAAAGCCAATTTTCTCATCTTCTTTGAATCCTTGTTTTATTTGGAAATATTGGAACCATGTGATTTTTTCGTTTATTACTTTGAGTTCTTCTAGGGATTTTAGATTGGGTTGTTGTCCTCTTGTATCTTTTAATATTTGGTGGTAGGTTAGCCAGTGTTTGCTGCCCAGTTCTCTCTTATGTCTCGCCTCAATCGGTGATATCCATTTTGGGGTTTTACTATGCCATCTAATTTTGTACTTCTCCCAGGTCTTAATCAGTGCGGCCCTAATAAAATGGTTATTAAAATTCTTTTCAATTTTTCTTTTATTATACCATAAATAGCCATGCCAACCTGTTCTCAGGTCATGGCCTTCGATCGTTAATAGGCCCTCATTTCTTAAGGTTGCCCATTCTTTTACCGCAACAAGGTTGCAAGCCTCATAATACAACTTTAGGTTAGGGAGCCCTAGACCTCCTCTTTTCTTTTCGTCTGTTAGGATTTTGAAACTAATTCTGGGTTTTTTGTTTTTCCATATGAACTTTAAAATTTCTGTATTCCATTTTTTAAATAGATGGTCGTTCCTTAGAATCGGAAGTGTTTGAAAGAGGAATAAAAGGCGGGGTAGAATTGACATTTTGATTATAGCTATTCTCCCCAGAAGTGAGAAATTTTGATATTTCCATTTGTCTAAATCCTGCTGTATTTTTTTCCATAATGGAATATAATTGTGCTTTATTAAGTTAATGTTGCTTTGTGATAAATATATCCCTAAGTATTTTATCTTGTTTTCAATTTTTATTCCTGACATTTCTTGAAGGATTTCTTTTGATTTTTTGTCTATGTTTTTTACTAATATTTTTGTTTTTTGTTTATTCAATTTAAAACCTGCTAGTCTCCCGTAGATTTCAATTTTTTGTAACCAATCATTTATAGTCTTTATGGGGTCCTCCACTATGCAGACCACATCGTCCACATATGCTCTTAGTTTGTAGTGTTGCTTTAGCACCTGCATGCCCTTTAGTTTCTGATCCGCATTTATGTCTCTAATTAGTGTATCTATCACCAAAATAAAAAGAAGGGGGGAAAGTGGGCATCCCTGCCTTGTTCCTTGTGTAATATTAATTTGGGGGTCTGTCTCTTGGCCATTTATTATTAATTTTGCACTTTGTGTGCTATATATGGCGTTTACTGCGTTTTGAAATTTATAGCCGATATCAATTTCTTGTAGTAATAGTTTGAGATATCCCCAATTAACTTTATCAAACGCTTTTTCTGCGTCAATAAATAATAAGGCTACCTGCTTTTCGTTGTGTTTTTCGTAATACTCTAATGTATTTATTAGGATTCTCGTATTGTCCTTAATTTGCCTTTGTGGCAAAAAGCCTGCTTGCTCTTCGGCTGCCCAGTCCTTCAGAAATTTTTTTCACCTGTCCGCCATTATTAGTGCAAATATTTTATAGTCGGTGTTTAATAACGATATCGGGCGATAATTTTTTATGTCCTCTGGGTCGGTGCCCTCTTTTTGTATCAGAGTTATGTTCGCCTTTTGCCATGTATTGGGAAATGTTTTGTGGTCTAGTATATTATTTATTACTTTTTGGAGTAAAGGGCTTAATTCATTCCTAAACACTTTGTAAAACGTTGCGGTGAACCCGTCTGGTCCTGGGGCTTTATTTTTCTTTAGCTTAGAGATTGCTGTGTCTATTTCTGACATTGTTACCGGGTCGTTTAATAGTGCTCTTTGTTCTTCTGTAAGTTTTGTTAGTTTTAAATTTCCTAAATACTTTGTAATTTGTTCTTCCTTCGTGCTCGTCTTTTGGTATAAGTTATTATAAAAATTAGCGAATTGCCCTATGATGCTCTTTTCTTCTGTGTATATTTTCTCACCAACCTTAATCTTAGAGATAGTTTGCCTATGTTTTTTCTTTTTGAGTTTGTTTGCAAGCCATTTCCCGGCTTTATTAGCATTTTGAAAGAAATTGGCTTTTGCATATTTCATTTGTTTTTCTATTTTATCTAATTGTAATATCTCTAATTGCTTTCTCAGGATTTCTATTCGTGATTTAGCCGTCTTCTTTTTTGGATTTCTTTTTAGAGAATTTTCCTTTTCTTGTAGTGCCTCTGTTATTTTTTTAAAATCTCTATTCCAATTCTTCTTGTTTATGGCCTCCTGCTGGATAAAATAACCCCTCATAACAGCCTTCATGGCATCCCATTGAATCTCTTTTGATGTTTCTACTTCACTATTTATATTTAGATATTCCTGTAATAGTTTTCTGTTTTTTTCAATGTCTACTTCTCTTCTTAGCAAATTGTCCTTTAGGCACCACCTGTATTTAGAATTGCTTCCTCTTATTATTAATTCTATCGCGCAATGGTCTGAGAATATTCTAGTTATAACCTTTATTTTACTTATTCTTAATAATATTAATTTAGTGGCCCAGACCATGTCTATTCTAGACCATGACTTGTGCCTTCCCGAAAAGTAAGTGTAGTCTCTGAGATTTCCCTTATGATGCCGCCACGTGTCTTCTAAATGAAGTTTTTCCAGTTGTGCTGTAAAACTCTTTGGTAAGACACTAGATTTATATTTATTCTTATTTGGGGGTTCATTTTTATCCTTCGGTGATTTATCTAATTTAGGGTCTATAACCCCATTAAAGTCTCCCATTAATACTAGATCGTCAAACTCTTGATTATCTATGTTTCTTTTAAGTTCCTTCATGAATTTTTGCTTCGGACCATTTGGACAGTAAATATTGCAAATTAAAATCTTTTGTTTCTTTATTTCAATTTTTACACCAATAAATCTACCTTCTTCATCTTTAAAACTCTGTGTAAGTAGCAGCCAAGGCTTGATATATAGCACGACCCCTTTCTTCTTATTTTCTGCAGATGCGTAGAAGCATTTTCCCAATTTTTCGTTTTCCAAGTGCTTTACATGCTTGTTTTTTATATGGGGTTCTTGTACAAGAAATACATAGGAAGTATTTCATTCTTGCTGAACCACAAAGTGATTTAGATCAAGGAAAAAACAATAAAAACGTAAAAACAGGAACGCATCCCAAGGATGAAATATATTGTTAGATTTCCTATGTTTGGCTCAGGGCAATATTGTGTGTGCGAAGGTGCTCCCATAGCCATACTGTTTTACACTTCATCTGAGGTTCAACTTCTACAAAGAAAAGTGTAAATATGGATTGTATCTCTTAGAATTATTCTGGCAATGGTTTGTAGGAATTTCTAATTCAGTGATATTCATGTTTGGCTTTTCCTGGAACTGTATCATGTTTTTCTGCAATTCTATATTTCTGTGTGCCAGTTTTCAGTACTGCCTGCAGATACAATTCAACCTTACGTCTTGTTTAAATTTCAATGGGAAAAGTTTTGTCATTGTTAACATATTGTATCCTTGAAGTGACTTGACTCTGAAGGAGCTGGGGGTGGTGACGGCCAACAGGGAGCTCTGGCGTGGGCTGGTCCATGAGGTTACGAAGAGTCGGAAGCAACTGAACGAATAAACAACAACAACATATTGCAGTGCTGTCCAAACTGCCCTCAGCAAAGTTCTAGGGTCTCATGAAGGAAACAGGATCATTTCCTAAAATTCTTGATTTACATTCTCTCTTCTTCGCTATCATTCCATGTCAATTGTGGGTTTACAGCTGTTCTGTCGCGCGCTGGGCCTGTAAAGAATTTCCCTTAGAACAAGATGTGCAACCTTTGCACGTCCTGTTCTGAAGCCAGGGGGCCCAAGGAGAAGTTCTCAGAGGTTTTCCACCACAAATGACCTTTAGATGGCTTGTGAAGTACAACAAAGTCTTTTATTAATGAACAATCAAACAGAAACTTCTCTTGTCTTCAATAAAACTAAACAAATGCTTCCAAGCTTTATGCAACTAGTGACTTCCTAATCTTGCCCACAAAGGACAGGCAACTATTTTCAATAACATCTTCTTTACTTTAAATGGAAAATCCCCTTTTTAACTTCTCCCAGGCTGACTAATCTAACCCTTACTGATGTGGGCTCCGCTACCGGGTCGAACTGCATCTCGAAGCACCAAGTGGACCTACCAGTAAAGGCTTAGATATTCTCCAGCTGGAGTTCTTTGGTCTTTAGGGCTGTTTTCCTGGAAATCTTTGGAGACTCTTAAGACTCTTCTCCCCCGGAAGGTCTTGGATGCTCTTAAGACTGTTTTCCCCTGGAAAGTCATAAGGGTTGAAGCTTTTGTACAGGGGAAGCTTGCACACATCCTGTACATTAGTTTTCCTTGCTGAGACTAACTAAAAAATAGCTCCCTTCCCTTCCCAATTGCCCTGAGCAAGGGGCAGGACCAAAACTTAACGATGATGGACAGGTGACTTGCCCTATGACTGCAACCAAAGGAAGCCACCTTTCTGCAGAGTCCCTGAAACCTTGGACAGCAAGCAAACATTTAATACAAAGCAAATAAAATTGGAGCTCCTGGTACAGCCGTACCAGAACAACAGCACTAACTGACATGGCTTGTTGTTGTTGTTGTTGTTGTTGTATGCCTCCGAGTTGTTTCCAAGTCATAGCAACCCTATCACAGAGTTTTCTTAACAAGATTTGTTTTCCTCCAAGGCCGAGAGAGTGTGACTCTCCCAGGGTCACCCAGTGTGCATCTACAGAGTAGAATTAATGTGGTAGTTTGGCAGGGCACCAGCACTCTTTGGCAGAGAAGGCTGTCAAACTACAGTTCCCATGATTCCATGGTGTTAAACCATTGTAGTTAAAGTGGGATCAAGCTGCATTAATTCTACAGTATAGATGCACCCCCCCCACACACACACACACTTTCTGTCTCTCTGATTTAGCCTCAGTTGTGATGTGCTCTTGCTCTTCAGTGAACTCAACCGCAAATTTGAAAAGATCAATAAAGTGAGAAATTCATAAAGGACTTGTGTGTTTTCATTATACTTCTGGCACACTGGGTTCTTTCTGATTGCTTGATGGTTCAAGATAGGAATAAACCTAGAGTAGGTTGTTGCAGGTTTTTTCGGGCTATATGGCCATGTTCTAGAGGCATTCTCGCCTGATGTTTCGCCTGCATCTATGGCAAGCATCCTCAGAGGTTTTGAGGAGAGAAGGCCTCTAGAACATGGTCAAATAGCCCGAAAAAACCTACAACAACCCAGTGATTCCGGCCATGAAAGCCTTCGACAATAAACTCAGAGTAAAGAGGAGAAAAGCAGGGTTCCATTCTCCCTGAGTCAGTGACCCTTCTGCAGGGAACTCATTCAGTTCTCTGGTTGTCAGATGCCACGCTCCGCAGGCAGGACAAAAGGCCCCATGTTCCCTTGCCTGGCTGCTGACACAGCAACCGAGTCCTCTGGACCCGCATGCTACCCTTGTTCAGTCAGAAGTATACCTTCATCCAGGAATCACAGGATGGGCCGGGGTCATGGCAAACCCATTCACCCTTCTGCTCACCTTGCTGGGTGTGCATCTTGTGGCCACAACTTTCAAAATCTGTGCTTTCAACATACGCAGTTTTGGGAGAGCCAAGGCGACCAACCAGAAAGTCATGGGAGCTCTTGTCCAGGTAAGTCTGTGTGCACACTGTGGAATAAATGCAGTTTAACACCACTTGAACTGCTATGGCTTAGTGCTATGGAATCTTGGGATTTGTAGTTTGGTGAGGCACTAGCAATCTTTGACAAAGAAGACTTTGTAAAACTACAGTTCCCATTATTCCATAACATTGGACCAGGGCAGTGCATTAATTCTACAGTCTAGGTGCTGCTGAATGAGATGTTCTGATTCTTCTAGGATGAGTGCTAGCTAGCTAACTCCTTGGAAATTAGGTATATAGAGGGAGAAATGTGGTATAATGGCTACAGTTTCAGCATTCCCCTTCTTGTCTCCAAGTATCACAAAGTTTGGCAGCGACAAGTTGCAAGTAACACAATACATAGGAACAACATTATGGTGGAGAATGTTTAAATTAGTTATGATGACTTTTTAAAGAATCATAGAATCAAAGAGTTGGAAGAGACCTCATGGGCCATCCAGTCCAACCCCCTGCCAAGAAGCAGGAATATTGCATTCAAATCAATCCTGACAGATGGCCATCCAGCCTCTGTTTAAAAGCTTCCAAAGAAGGAGCCTCCACCACACTCCGGGGCAGAGAGTTCCACTGCTGAACGGCTCTCTGGAAGTTCTTCCTCATGTTAATGAGATGTTCTGATTCTTCTAGGATGAGTGCTAGCTAGCAACATTCCTTGGAAATTAGGGTATGTAGAGGGAGAAATGTGGTATAATGGCTACAGTTTCAGCATTCCCCTTTTTGTCTCAAAGTATCACAAAGTTTGGCAGCGACAAGTTGCAAGTAACACAATACATAGGAACAATGTTATGGTGGGGAATGTTTAAATTAGTTATGATGACTTTTTAAAGAGCATCATTAGGCACTCTAAAAGTGTTTTGAAATGCTTCAAGTCAATCCCATTTCCTTCAAAATAGTAATGCAACTGAAATCCCAATTTTCAAATGTTTACTGTACACCAGGAGCCCCCAGTGGCGCAGTGGATTAAAGCGCTGAGCTGCTGAGCTTTTTGACCGAAAGGTCGCAAGTTCGATTCCGGGGAGCAGCGTGAGCTTCCGCTGTCAGCCCTAGCTTCTGCCAACCTAGCATTTCGAAAACATGCAAATGTGAGTAGATCAATAGGTACCGCTCCGGCAGGAAGGTAATGGCACTCCATGCAGTCATGCTGGCCACATGAACTTGGAGGTGTCTATGGACGATGCTGGCTCTTCAGCTTAGAAATGGAGATGAGCACCACACCCCAGAGTCAGACATGACTGGACTTAAGGTCAGGGGACAACCTTTACCTTTACTGTAGCATATAGGGGTTGTGTGCATGTGTGTGTGTGTGAGGAGCAACTTGAGAAACTGCAAGTTGCTTCTGGTGTGAGAGAATTGGCCGTCTGCAAGAATGTTGCCTAGGGGATGCCCGGATGTTTGACGTTTTACCATCCTTGTGGGAGTCTTCTCTCATGTCCTGCATGGGGAGCTGGAGCTGACAGAGGGAGCTCAACCTGTTCTCCCCAGATTCAAACAGATGATCTGTTAGTCAGCAGTCCAGCAGTCACAAGGGTTTAACCCATTGTGCCATCTGGGGCTCCATAGGTTTGGTGAGCTTTTTTCTGCTTCTGGGATCCTTGAGGAGCTAGGAAGGAAGGAAGGAAGGAAGGAAGGAAGGAAGGAAGGAAGGAAGGAAGGAAGGAAGGAAGGAAGAGGGGAAGGAAGGGGGGAAGGGTGACAGGAAGGGTGGGAGGTAAAAAGAGAGAGAGAGAGAGAGAGAGAAGGCCACTCCAAGTGCCCAGGGTTATAATTGAAATTGGAGGGGGGCGGAATTAGGACATTGCCTCCTCAATATAAATTCTTTCCCCCACTTTAATGTTTCCTTCAGTCATCAAATTTCTATCATTGTAGTAACTTAGGACATTAATGGAGCATTTAGAAGCAGAGTTTAGGCATACAAAGACAAGGGGCAGCCAAAGTTACCCAGGGAATGTGAACACAACTAACATAGTGATATAACATCCCTTATATAAAATGGCAAAATCAAGGTTTACATTTTGTTTTTGTTTTTTGTTTTTGTTTGTTTACTTTTTGGGTGGGAGGGAAAGAATCTGTTTAAGCTCTTGATGGTTGAATCCATGAATACAGAATCTGTGGGTGCAGAAGATTGACTATACTTTGACAAACTTACAAAAAGTATCTCCAAGTTCATTGGAGATTTGGAGATCCAAGTTCATTGGATGTTTTCTTTTGAGATTTCAAGCAGCCTAATTTTGGAGGGAATGATAGCTGGAGCATCTCAGCAGGAAAAAGACTCATCAATTAAAAAGGTGTCTTTCTACAACCTTTACCTGCTTACTACTCTTCCTCTCCCAGATCCTTTCTCGGTGTGATATCAGTGCCATTCAAGAAGTGCGCGACTCCAGAGGTATAGCTATTCAGATGCTGCTGAGGGAGCTGAACAGGTGATAATTCTGATCATAGCTCCCATTTACATCCATTCAAGTGATACACACACACACACACACACACACACACACACATATACACTCTTTTAAGCTTCACTTCGGAAATCTCAGGCCACGAAAAGGACTGAAGTAGGCTTCTAATCCCTGATTATGCCTGATAAATCTTACCTTAATCCAGTGCCCAGAGATATTTTGGACTCTAATTCCTGTAATGTATTACCGCTGACAGGGGTTGCAGAGCATATTATCTGAAAGGCCATAGTTAAGGGAACGTTGTGCTATCTTGTTATTAGTCACAGGAAGTTTTTATGATGAGGAGGATGCAGACACATACACAAATATCCACTCATCCACAAACACAGCACCTGCCACTACAGTCCATTTGGTTTTTGATCATGTCCATTCCCAAAATGGAGCCAAGTGAGTTTGCGGTGTTTGACAGACAAATGTGTGAATAATGAAAGAAAATCATTGTTGGATATTTATGATTGTATATGTACTGCTCAGGAGAATCACTAGGTGGATTTTCTATCGCAGGTTCAAAAATAATTTGGCCTGTTTTGGAAGGGAGGGAGGCATCTGCTCATTGTCAAGAAAGACAATGAGCCAACTTTGCAGTCATCTTCTGTAAGTGTATATAAGCTTCAATCCAAGTTTCAAAGGAGCTATCTGGGGTGCTGAATCCTATTATAAAATAGATCATGCTCCACAAGACTCCTTTAAACCTAGCCCGGACTCAAAGTGGATTCACCATAGCACTGAAATGGGAGCTACCAGGAGGCAGGTACAATATAAGGCACAAAAGTGGCATCATGGGCCTTTTCTTGTGTGCAGGTATGATCGTTCTCATCGCTATAGCCGCCTGGAGAGCAAGAGGCTTGGCCGAGGCAGCTACAAGGAACAGAACGTCTTTGTGTATCGGTAATGTCCTAAAACTCTATTACCAGATCCAAGTCTGGCCAAATGCATTATATAATGAAAACTAGAAGGCAAACTATGGGTTACCAAATCCAAGTCCTTCCCTTACTCCCTTCAATGCAAGAGCTCCAGCTATCTTTAGAATGGTATTTTAGCCACACATTCCATAATACTTACTCAGATTTCCACTATAGTTTATACATGTTAATATAGGTGACTGTTTCCTTCCAGACTTTTGAACTTACCCTGTTAAAGTAAGTTTACCCTGTTAAAGACAGATCTTACTCTCACCAGAATCATATACAGGCAGTCCCCAAGTTACAAACAAGATCGATTCTGTAGGCTTGTTCTTAAGTTGAATTTGTATGTATGCCAGAAAGGGAACATTTTTAAGTGTAACTTCAGCCATAGATATAGAAATAGATATTTATTTATTTGTTTATTTTGAACACTTTTACCCCGCCCTTCTCAACCCCTAGGAGGACTCAGGGTGGCTTCCAATTGGCAACAATTCGATGCCGCATAATAAAATACAAAACAGCAATAATTATAACAGTTAAAAACATAAAACATTAAGAAATAAAACATTAAAATAATATACTTACAGTCCACTGAGCTATTACCAGTCTAGTGGTCATTTATCTAGCCGTATGCTATGATTGAGTACTCTGCTTAACTTATCCATAATCCTTTTCCAAGCCATTGTCAACATTTTCAATTTTCCTTTCTGCCTAATTGCCCGAAGGCCTGGTCCCACATCCACATTTTTACCTTCTTTCTAAAAGTGAGGAGGGATGATGATGACCTAATTTCCCTGGGAAGTGAATTCCACAGGTGGGGGGCCACCACTGAGAAGGCCCTGTCTCTCATCCCCGCCAAACATGTTTGAGAAAGAGGTGGGGTCAAGAGCAGGGCCTCCCCAGAAGATCTTAAACTCCAAGGTGGGATGTGGAAGGAGACATGTTCGGACAGGTACATATAGATTAGATATAAGCTTTGGATAGCATAGGGAAGGATTGACATCCCTGTGGTGTTTTGTTTTGCTGTCCATGCCCCTGTTCAGAAGATTTCACCTCCCTTTCTGTCCCTGTAACAGCAGCAGCAGTAGCAACAACAACAACAACAACTTTATTTTTGTACTCCGCCCCCATTTCCCTGAAGGAACTGAGGGCGGATTACATGTATACGAGCTGGAACAACATGGTTAAAATATAGAACATTAAAATATATAAACAACAACATAAAATAACAACATTATAACAAAATATAAAAGCAAAACATCAAACTAATAACCAATAAACTCTGCGATAATAATAAGTTTCTGAGCATGGGTGGGTAGACTGGTGCAAATACAATTGTGAGTATAGGGACGATAGATAAAGTGCATAGGTCATATGGCAGGAGGAGAGATAGAGGGCAGTATAAGATAGAGCATTATAACTTTGGGTACAGAACAATAGTAAAGTGGGAGGACAAGATTTTGGGTACTAGCTGGGGCAAAGCTACCTGAGGAATTGTCTAGTCAAAAGTACAGCGGAACATCCACATCTTTATAATTGGATTTTGAAAGAAAATTGGCTTATTGTGGAAACAAGGATTGGTGAGAAAGCTTCAATGGAGACTCCCTTTCCCATGATAACTTTCAGGAGTGAATTTCCCTTCTGAGGGGGAGATTCCTCTCACTTTCTGTTGTCTCACCCTTGTTCTTAACTATGAATGGTTTGTAAGTCAGATGTTTGTAATTCGGGAACTGCCTGTAGTTATGTTTGGAATGAATTACTGAAACTATTGAGTGGGTCTTACTCTGATATGATTATTATTATAATTTTTTTGTCGTGTCAGGAGTGACTTGAGAAACTGCAAGTCGCTTCTGGTGTGAGAGAATTGGCCGTCTGCAAGGACGTTGCCCAGGGGACGCTCGGATGTTTTGATGTTTTTATCAACCTTGTGGGAGGCTTCTCTCATGTCCCTGCATGACAAGCTGGAGCTGACAGAGGGAGCTCATCCGCGCTCTCCCCGGATTCAAACCTGTGACCTGTTGGTCTTCAGTCCTGCCGACACAGGGGTTTAACCCACTGTGCCACCGGGGGCTCCTTATTATTATAATAAATCAATCCCTTTCCATGGAAACTAGAATTTTAGTTTGGTTGTTTGTGTGCAGAATGGTCATTTGTCCTATAAAGGCGCATTCAGGAATAGAAGCTTACACACCTGTCTCTGAAGATGCAGGAATAAGTTTGCCTATCTTAGGAAGAACTAGAATATGAGTTGTGATGGGAATGTAGTGGTATTCTGTGGGAACTGGTGGTAAGAAGACTTAAAGTCCAAATCCTTACTCATCAGAGTGGCTTTGGATCGATCACTGCCTCATTGGGTTGTTGTGAGGATAAAAAGGCAGAGAGTTCCTCTGTATGCTGCCTTGATCTGCTTGGTATTAAAGAGGGATAGAAACATCAACTAACAAAGCTACATTGTGCTTCCGTGCGTCCTCAATGCCCAGGACTAAATTCACTTTCTCATAGATTGGATCAAGGTAAAATGTAAAGTAAAGTAAAGTTTATTATGGTTGATGACCAGATCATAACATGGGGACCCAGTCTCATCCATTCACATCAAACCCAAGGGGTAATACACTTCAAACATCAACAAATTTTAAAATCTAAGCTAAAAACCAATACAAGTAGTTATTAAAACCTAACTCAACCCACAACGCAGTCTAAAGAGAGATAGTGGGGATGGCACCAGGGAGCAGGGGAATATCCAACCCTATAAATATCAGTCCATATCTGATTTCCCTTCTATATTCCAGAGGAGAAGCTTAGGTCTTTTTACCCTAAATCATCATCTGCCGAATTTTAATCACAGCCATGCAGAACTTAGCAACGTTGTACGTCACAGCTAAGTTTGTAAAATGAAGATCTGATCTTTGAAGCTAAGTTAGTACTTGGAGGGGAGACCACTAACAAGTACCATTAGCTGTAGGCTATATTTCAAAGGAAGGAACTGGCAAAACCATCTCTGAGTATGTATTGCCTAAGGAAACACTACAAAATTGATGGGGTCACCATAAGATGATAGAGGCACCTAAAATAATTGTCTCAAAATGTCCTGAAATATAATAATAATAATAATAATAATAATAATAATAATAATTAATAATAATAGCAATAATTTATTTATACCCTGCTACCATCTCCCCATGGGATTCGATGCGGCTTACATGAGGCTGAGCCCACAATACAACAATACAAGCAATCCAAGCAATCTATATATATATATAAATGCTCAGGTCATAATGAGTTCCTTAAAAACAAAAGAACCAATGAACGAAATCACACCAAATTTAGCAACAAAACGTCTCACAACACAAGGAGTGACCATCACTCAAAAAATTATGATTTTGTTATTTGGGAGTTGTAGTTGCTGGGATTTATAGTTCACCTACAATCAAAGAACATTCTGAACTCCATCAACGATGGAATTGAACCAAACTTGGCACACAGAATTCCCAATACCAACAGAAAATATTGGAAGGGTTTGGTGGGCATTGACCTTGAGTTTGGGAGTTGTAGTCCACCTACAACCAGAGAGCTCTGTGGACTCAAACAGTGATGGATCTGGACCAAACTTGGCACAAGCACTCAATACGCCCAAATATGAACACAGGTAGAGTTTGGGGAAAATAGACCTTGACATTTGGGAGTTGTAGTAACTGGGATTCACAGTTCACCTACAATCAAAGAGCATCCTGAACCCCACAAACGACAGAATCAGGGCAAACTTCCCACACAGAACCCCCATGACCAACAGAAAATACTTAAGGCCATCCAATCCAACTCCCTTCATCAGGGCAAGAAAACGTAATCAAAGCCCTCCTGACAAAGAGCCATCCAGTCATAGATATAGATAGATAGATATGATTCACACAGAGAGAGATAAAGTATCATAGATTTGGAAGGGACCCCTAAAGATGGACAATTATATGTTGCATGTTGCAGAGTAGGCAAACCAGACAATCTCTACATCAACACTGTCAAAGAAACATCAAGAAATGTTGTTTACCCACAAGCAGAAAGACATTACATATATTAGAAACCAGCACTTTCTAATTACTTTATTTTCCAGATCACCAGACTGGGCCACAGCAACGCGTGGCAGGGGACTGCTAGTAACAGATACAATACAAAGCAATTAAAATAAATCTCATACACAAAAAGCATAATATTTGCTATATTTTGGGCCTCCTTTGATCCTTTCAGCCCAAAATGGCCCCGGGGAGGCAAAAACATCACTACTAGAGATGATTTGGGGAACGGGAGCAATTTTTAATGGATTTCCCAGAGGCCACACTTTGCTGCCAACATTAAGACTTCCAGAGGGAGGGATCCTAGTGTAAGCTTTTGAACCATGAAACCTCTTGGATGCTGTGTCTTTTTGTCTCTCCTTCTCCCCAACTGCCAGGATGGATGTTGTATCTGTTACTGACTGGCGGCAATTTGAGGATGGGAAGATGGGAAACTCTGATGCCTTTGTTAGGGGGCCATTTGCAGCTCGCTTCCACTCTTCATTGACAGGTAATGCCTAGTTTCTCTATGAGAAAGTTCTAATATGGATCCATAGATTATGGATACCAACATCATTATATGCTCAAGTCCTATGATATACACTGGTGTAGTAAAATGGTGTCACTTATACAAAATGATCAAATCAAACTATTGCTCTTGGGGTTTTTCCTCCAAATATTTTCAAGCCATGGATCACTGAAGAATACAGAATGCATACAACACAGAAATGCTGGACCATTCTCACAACCACCATGTCAGACTACACAGAGAAGCCATTGAAATCCACAAGCATGTGGACAATTTCAACAGAAAGGAGGAAACCATGAAACTGAACAAAATCTGGTATTAAAGAACTCTAAAATTGCAACAGCACAACAACAGAGAGGAAGCAGGCAGAGACATCTAATTACCTCTCAACAAAAGTTTGCCCCAGGCACAGTCAGGCCATTGTATGCTAATCAAGGTGGCCAGTTGAAACATTCACACCTAGCTCCAGCAGACAAGAGTCCTTTGTCTCACCCTGGTCATTCCACAGATATATAAACCCTTTTTCCTAGTTCCAACAGACCTCACTACCTCTGAGGATGCTTGCCATAGATGCAGGCGAAACGTCAGGAGAGAATGCCTCTAGACCATGGCCATATAGCCCGAAAAAACCTACAACAACCCAGTGATTCCGGCCATTAAAGCCTTCGACAATACATTGTCCTTTCAGCTGCCAATATAAATTACACAAGATGATAGAATCCAAGTGATTTGTTTAGCTAATTTTACTATTTCACCAAATTAGTTCTCATATTGTAGCTTCTTACTAAATTGATGTAAAGTACCATTGCTCCAAATATGTCTTTTTACATTTAAAATATACACACTCTTTCTGGAATTTGATCAGTCCATTCCCACTTTCATCATTTTCTCATCCATCAGGACTAAAAACTTGTATGTTTGTGTGAGTTTAAGGAACACTATATTCACTGTTCCTTTTGTGCATTCTGCAGAACAGGCATTCTCAAACTGTGGCCTTCCAGCTGTTTGGGCCTCCAAATCCCAGAATTCCTGACCATTGAACAAGTTAGCTAGGGCTTCTGGGAGTTGGAGGCCCAAACTGCTGGAGGGATGCAGTTTGTGGAGGGCTGCTGCAGAGCTCCTCCAGATGTTTTGGATTTCCGCTGTCACAATTCCTAACAGCTGGTAAGTTGGCTGGGATTTCTGGGAGCTGAAGTCCAAAACACAGGTTGGAGCAGTTTGAGAAAGACTGCTCTAGAACCTTTGAGACTAACAGGGAAAAAGAAATTTCTAGTATAAACTCTTATAATCATAGAATCATAGATTTGGATGAGACCTTGTGGGCCATCCAGTCCAACCCACTGCCAAGAAGCAGGAAAATTGCATTCAAAACACCCCATCAGATGGCCATCCAGCCTGTTTAAAAGCCTCCAAAGAAGGAGCCTCCACCACCCTCCAGGGCAGAGAGTTCCACTGCTGAACAGCTCTCACAGGAAGTTCTTCCTCATGTTCAGATGGAATCTCCTTTCTTGTAGTTTGAAGCCATTGTTCCACGTCCTAGTCTCCAGGACAGCAAAAAACAAGCTTACTCCCTCCTCCCTATGACTTCCTCTCACATATTTATTATTTATTTATTATTTATTTACGACATTTATATGCCGCTCTTCTCACCCCGAAGGGGACTCAGAGCGGCTTACAAGGTATATATACATACAATATATTATTAACATAGTACAATATCAGTATTAAATATTGCTATATTGCACTATATCAATTATACATGGCCCTCATCATGTCTCCTCTCAGCCGTTTTCTTATTCAGGCTAAACATGACCACTGATGAAAATAATGGACTGTAGAGTATAAGTTGGGGTTGATTCAATTTGTTAATGCAGAACTCATGCAGAGGTGGCTCAACCCATTATACAAAGTAAGCATTTGCAATATAGTTGATTTTGCCCAGGGGCGCTCTTGAGGCGCTCTTGGGGGAAAATAGACCTTGACATATGCGAGTTGTAGTTACTGGGATGTATAGTTCACCTACAATCAAAGAGCATTCTGAACTCCACCAATGATGGAATTGAACCAAATATGGCACACAGAACTCCCATGACGAACAGAAAATATATATCAGTGATTGGTTGGGGGAGGGGGTGCCAAAATACTGTTTGCTTACCATTGAAAATTACCTAGGGCCACCTCTGATCCCAGAAACAACCATTAGCCGGGGGGGGGGGGGGGGGGGCTTGAGGGGCTTCATCCCCCCCCCCCCAAATTCTCATGGTGGTTCGCAAAAAGGCCTTACTGGTGCATTATTTAAACTGTTATGTTTATTCATATCATGATCTGATCACCATGCTCAATATATCCCATATGCATGGGGGTATTGGGGTAACGATACAAAAGGTTTGCTAGGCTAGACCCTCTTTCACTCAGACTCAGCCCCCCCCGAAACTCAGCCCCCCCCCCCAAAAACGAAATCCTGGCTACGGGCCTGCAGAGAGCTGATTGTACTTTTACACCGAAAACAGAATTACACGACTATCCCTTTTAGTAATACATATACAATTCTTTTCCTACATCTGAACCACCATTGTGCAACTAAAGCCATCCTGGATTTTGTGCTCATAGTACATCATGCTAGTCCTCGTGAAGCTGCCCGTGAGCTGAACCTGCTGTTTGATATGTGCGAGGAATTGATGGAGCAGTGGAAAACTGAGGTACATTTTGGAGGTGGGGATGGAGACGGCTGCTAACTGAATAAATACTAACCATACTTTCTCAATTGGCTCCTGACACGACAAAAAAAAAATCACTTTCCCCACTTGCGCCTGGGCAGAATGTGATGGTGCTGGGAGACCTAAATGCTGCTGGTGCCTACATCCCAGCAAATGCTTGGGCCGGGATCCGCCTGCGGCATGACCTTGGCTTTCACTGGCTCATCAGCGACATGGAGGACACCACAGTGAGCCACCGGACCTGCTGTGCCTATGACAGGTACTGAACCTAAGCACTCAGATCAGGCTAACCTTTTTCTCCAAAGTCGGTGTTCTCACTAGTCACAAAAGCAGTTCTAGGTTCTTGTGGGTTTTTTCGGGCTATAGGGCCATGTTCTAGAGGCATTTCTCCTGACGTTTCGCCTGCATCTATGGCAAACATCCTCACTACCTCTAAGGATGCTTGCCATAGATGCAGGCGAAACGTCAGGAGAAATGCCTCTAGAACATGGCCCTATAGCCCGAAAAAACCCACAAGAACCTAGTGATTCCAGCCATGAAAGCCTTCAACAATACAAAAGCAGTTCTGTCGTGACCATTCCTGCAGAAAAAATGGGAAACCTGTGCCCCTCCAAATGGCAGTAAACAACTACTTTTGCTCAACCTGGGAGAATCTGGTTTCAGCTTGTGGTATCACTCAGCGAATGCAAACTGCATCAGGTGACACCGTTGGGAAAGGTGACACCAAGATTACTATCTGTAGATTTTTGTGTAGTGTTTCAGCAGAATTTTTTCCATTTGTGTCAAAATATCCCCGTAGTTAGATATAATCACAAAAACATTTTTGTAAACCCACCTTCCAAGTACCGTAAACATCTATGCAAATTTACTTGCTGAAACTCCTTTAATTCTTATGCACTTTAATACTTTATTTATATTCTGCTTTATCTCCCCAGAAGGACTCAGAGCAGATTACAGTTTTACATATATAAGTAAAGGCCTTCGTGTCCATCTCTGGCATTTGGAGACGATGCTCAACTCTGGCCATAGGGAGGTGCTCTTGTTCTATTTTTCCATGCCAAGGAGCCTGTTGCCCATAGACTTCTCCAATTGTGTTGTTGCCGGTATGTCTGCACGGGGCACCTTTTTTAAAAAATAAATATTTTTATTAGTTTTTATTTTACAAGTTTACATTAAAAACATGGGGTAAATACAATAGGGTGTTGTGAGGGAAAGGTGAGTAGAGAGAGGGGAATGGGGGAGGGAGATGGGAGGGGGAGGAAAGATACAGAAAGGGGAAGCGGGAGGGCAGGAAGACAGTGCGGGTGTTGGGGTTGGGTAAGTCGGGTACTTCCAGGTTCGCCCAGGGAGGCTCCTACAATTGATGTTTACGTACATCTACAGGTATGTATACCAGGTGTACTCTTCTATTTGTTTATCCTTATACATAGATTTGTTCTGACATGCTTTTTTGTCTCCTTACTTGGTTTGCTTTACCGGTTTTCTCGTTTGATTAGTCCTTGGATTTCATCTATAAGTCCTTTATATACATCTCTTTATTTTCCCCCTTTATAAATTCTAACACTACTTTCCAGTCAGTTTTTTGGGGTTTTGTGTAGTTCTGAGAGATTCTGTGTCAATATATCCATGTTTATTATATCCATTATTTTGGTAACCCATTGGTTCTTGGTTGGAATATCTTTGTTTTTCCACATTTTTGCTAAAGTCATCCTCGCGGCTGGTATTAGGTAAAAAAAATCCTATCTTCGTTCTTTTCTAATTTGAAGTCTAGTAGCCCTAACAATAGTGTTTCTGGTTCCAGTTCAAATTTTATGTTCAGTATTTTTCTATCATCCTATGTATTTGTGACCAGAAATTTTTAACTTTTCTACAGTTCCACCACATATGGATGAATATACCTTTCTCTTTTCCACATTTCCAACACCAATCTTTTTTTTAATCTTTGGTGATTTTTGCGAGTATCTCTGGTGTTAGGTACCATCTGTAGAAGATCTTGTACCAGTTCTCTTTAAGGTTCGTAGCGTATGTGTATTTGATTTTTTTTTGGCCAAATTTCCTCCCAATCTGCTAGGGGTATAGAACGACCTATGTCTCTTGACCAGTTTATCATGTTATTTTTTTTTATTTGCTCGGTTTCTGTGGCCCATATTAGAAGTTGATTATAGATTTTTCTTATAATTTTTGTGTCAGTGGTTAGTATTCTGTCCCAGAAGGTTTTGCATGGGGCACCCTTTTTACCTCCCCTCTGAGGTGGTACCTATTGATCTACTCGTATTACATGCTTTCAAACTGCTAGGTAGTCAGAAGCTAGAGCTGACAGAAGGGAGCTCACCCTGACTGGCGCCTTTGAACTGCTAACCCTCCAATCAGCAGATTTCCTGCAGCTAGTGGTTTAACACACTGTACTATCGTGGCCCAGAGCTATCATTATTATCTAATTACAATTATGATTCAAATCATATTTTTATCCTGCAAGCATTGCAAGTATTCTGTTATTTTGGTTACAGCTGTTTATATATATATATGTATATGTATGTGTGTGTGTGTGTGTGTGTGTGTGTGTATGTATATATATATATATATATATATATATATATATATATATATGCCAATTTTGCCAAAATTTCTGGTATTTTGATTACAATAGTGTGGTATGAAGTAAGTCCATTGAGGAAACACTACGAGATACTGAATTAGGTGACCCCAACCCTAGTGATCTCACTGGCCAGAACTGGTAGAAACTGAAGTATAACAAACATTTGGAGAGCTACAGGTGTCCCTCCCCTACTTTTGGATAAGACAACTACAAATGAAATCTGAAAAACAGGACAGCGCTAGTTGATTGTCCAGTTTGACTTGCAGTCTTTCTCAACCCTTGCTCTTCTCTCTGTATCAAGCTGGAGAGCAGAGAGCAATGCAACATTAGAGCAGAAGGAAACACTGTTGTATCTGTCACAGGCCGGTCCATCAAAACCCTGTTCAGCTATTGACCTGCTTTCTGTGATAAGACATTAGCCACCTTCATATTATACACTTGTTAGATGTAGAGCAAGGTATTTCCAACCTGATGTAGTTTTTTCTTTTCTTGCTAGGATCATAGTCCATGGAGAAGAGCTGCTTGGTGCTGTTGTGCCCAGATCAGCCAAAGCTTTCAATTTTACACAAGCACTTGGACTATCCGAAGAAGAGGTAGGTGAAATGATGGGCTCCCTTGAAAGCAAATGCAAAGAAACATTCAATGGCTGCTGTGCAAACTGTTATACTGAATTTGATGGGAGGAGACCTAAATGATCTAAACTATCTCATTTCTACAGGCTCTAGGAATCAGTGACCATTATCCTGTGGAGGTGAACCTGCGGCTTGCACCTAAAGCCCAGCGAGAGCTCTGAATATTCAGCTTCCCACCTGTTCCTCAAGATCTCACAGGCAAAACAAAGGGACTGGGGCATTACCCAAGGTTATCCCCGTTTTTCCAAATGTCATGGAGAGTGAACAACTTTGGGACAGATTTCTTGCTTGGCCCCTAAACGTAAAAGGTAAAGATGTATTGTCGAAGGCTTTCATGGCCGGAATCACTGGGTTGTTGTAGGTTTTTTCGGGCTATATGGCCATGGTCTATAGGCATTCTCTCCTGACGTTTCGCCTGCATCTATGGCAAGCATCCTCAGAGGTAGTGAGGTCTGTTGGAACTAGGAAAAAGGGTTTATATATCTGTGGAATGACCAGGGTGAGACAAAGGACTCTTGTCTGTTGGAGCTAGGTGTGAATGTTTCAACTGACCACCTTGATTAGCATACAATGGGCTGACTGTGCCTGGAACAAACTTTTCCTAGTTCCAACATACCTCACTACCTCTGAGGATGCTTGCCATAGATGCAGGCGAAACGTCAGGAGAGAATGCCTCTAGACCATGGCCATACAGCCCGAAAAAACCTACAACAACCCATAAAAGGTAAAGGATTTCCCCGATATTAAGTCTAGTCGTGTCCGACTCTGAGGGGTGGTGGTCATCTAAATTCCTAAACCAAAGAGTCGGACAGTCCACATGACTACAGAGGGCTGTTACCGTTCCACAGAAAGCAGTACCTATTGATCTACTCACATTTGCAATTTTGGAACTGCTAGGTTGGCAGAAGCTGGGGCCAACAACAGGAGCTCATCCCGCTCCCTGGATTCAAACTGCCAACTTTTCAGTCAGCAAGTTCAGAAGCACAGCTGGTTAACCCACTTATCTTATTTGTAGTGCAGAAAAACACTTTAAAACAATGCAATAATTATAATGAAGAACAATTTTAACAAATATAAACTTATTAGTATTTCAATTGGAAGTGTGGGCCTGCTTTTGGCTGATGAGATAGGATTGTTGTTGTTGTGTGCTTTCAAGTCGTTTCAGACTTAGGTTGACCCTGAGTAAGTAAATGACCTTGGAGGGCCGTATCCGGATCCTGGGCCTTAATTTGAGGACCCCTGCCCTACACCACCAGCACCCCCCCCCCCCCAAAACATAGAACAGTCCAAATCTAACCACCATCTGGATGTATACAAAATTATTCCAAGGCTCGTCTTTTTCTTGCTTTTAAAACTAATGGATTAAAAGCGTTCATTTCTCAGAAAAGTTTTTACACTCCCATTTTTCCTTACATTTTCATGAAGCATAATGATTCTTTAATATCCATGAAGAGTCTGGTATCAAAGCTCTCAAAACGTTATGTGAAAGCATGTACCGGTTCTCCACGCTCCTAAATATTAAGTAGGAAAGCCTCAGCCTAAAGGATAGATTTGATGTAAACCAGGAGTGTCAAACTCATTTTCATTGAGGGCCACAAAGGACTGTTGACTCCAAAGATGGAGGATCCATGGATACAGTGACCCAACTATGATTTCTTTACATAGTAGTCAATGCTTTTTCGTCTTCAGTTTGGCTCCCCAGATGTTATTTAATGACAGCTCTCATCACTTTCGATTATCTGCCATGTAGATTGGGGAAAATGGGAATTGCAACCCAACAGCACTTGTGTTTCTGAGGTTGGGGAAAGATTAAGGGACATTTTAAAGTCAGACATCATATCCATAAGGTATTGGAACAAGTGCCAACTTTGCAATAGGGCAGGGGTCCTCAAACCTAAGCGGAGGGCCAGTTTGTGGTCCCTCAAGACTATGGGGGGGGGGGGGGGGGGGGGGGGGGTGGACCATAATTTTAAATATATATTAACCAATTCCTATGCACACATCTTATTTGTAGTGCAACTATACATGAAAGAATACAATATTCAGAATGAAGAACCATTTTAACCAACATACATGTATCAGTATTTCAATGAGAAGTGTGGGCCTACTTTTGGCTGATGACAGACAAGTTAATGGGGATGTTTTTTGTTGTGTGCTTTCAAAGTTGTTTTAAGACTTAGGGTGACCCTCAGTTTAAAGCAGTAGTTTATAAATTGTGGTCCACGGACCACCAGTGATCCACAAGAACTAAAATACGGGCAGTAGTTTCATCGGGTTGTTATAGGGTTTTCCGGGCTATATGGCCATGTTCTAGAGGCATTTTCTCCTGACGTTTCACCTGCATCTATGGCAAGCATCCTCAGAGGTAGTGAGGTCTGTTGGAACTAGGAAAATGGGTTTATATATCTGTGGAATGACTAGGGTGGGACAAAGGACTTTTGTCTGCTGCAGCTAGGTGTGAATGTTTCAGCTGACCACCTTGATTAGCATTTAATGGCTTGGAAGTGCCTGGGGGGAATCTTTTGTTGAGAGTGATTTGATGTGCCTGATTGTTTACTCTCTGTTGTTTTGCTGTTGTAATTTTTGAGTTTTTTAATAAGGGTAGCCAGATTTTGTTCATTTTCATGGTTTCCTCCTTTCTTGTGGATTTCAATGGCTTCTCTGTGTAGTCTGGCATGGTGGTTGTTGGAGTGGTCCAGCATTTCCATGTTCTCAAATAATATGCTGTGTCCAGGTTGGTTCATCAGGTGTTCTGCTATGGCTGACTTCTCTGGTTGAAATAGTTTGCAGTGCCTTTCCTGTTCCTTGATTCGTGTTTGGGCAATACTGCATGTGGTGGTCCCTATGTAGACTTGTCCATAGCTGCATGGTATACGGTAGACTCCTGCAGAAGTGAGAGGATCCCTCTTGTCCCTTGCTGAACATAGCATTTGTTCGATTTTCTTGGTGGGTCTGTAGGTGGTTTGTATGTTGTGTTTCCTCATCAGCTTCCCTATGCGGTTAGTGGTTCCCTTGATGTATGGCAAGAACACTTTTTCTCTGGGTGGATCTTTGTCTTGACTCTCGTGGCTTGTTCTTGGTCTTGCAGCTCTTCTGATGTCCGAGGTGGAGTATCCTGTAGCCTGTAGAGCCCAGTTTAGGTGGTTCAGTTCGTTACTGCACTGTTGCTTCATCATTACTACACTGTTGCAATGAGAGTAACTGATCTCGCAAAACCCTTACAGTGCCAAGGCTTATTAAATATGGTTTTCTGTGGGCGAACAGATGGTGACTACTAGATGGCCTATGTTCTGTATCAGAAACTACAGATGATGTGGTCTATCCAATGCAATTTTCTGAATCAGCACCTCAAATAACCAAAACAAATCTAGTTGATTAAAAACTGATTTGTAACCCTTTTGGTACTAATGTTGGGAGAGTGGTCCCTGGTCAAAAAAAAGGTTGGGAACCACTGTTCTAAAGTTTAGGGCAGGAGCCGGGTAAATGACCCTGGAGGGCTGCATCCAGCCTCCAGGCCTTAGGTTGGGGACCCCTGCAACCTTCCACCAGCTGATCAAGTTCCAGTCATCCCATCCTTGCCCAAAACATGAACCACACAGGAACTAGAGAGCACTCTTTATTCTTATGAATTTTCCTTCAAGAATAAATCAATGGGGCATCTGATTGATAGGCCCTCACGCTGCATGTAAGGCACGCCACTTGTCCAAAGGGCCCCTGTTGGGGATGTATTTCACTCCGCAACCATCAGGGATGAGGCGCTTTTCAGTCACCATTCCCTCAAACTCGTCAGCATTGAATTTGGTGAAGCCCCATTTCTTGGAAATGTGGATCTGTGGAACAACACAAAGAGCTATCAGACAACTGAGCCACACCTCCCAATTTTTATTTTTTGCACATGACTTAACACAAGCATCACTATGAACATTTACTACTGCGTATCAGAAATTGCACAAGTACTCCCATAATCCAGTCTTCCCTACTAGCCTACAAAGCAAGTCAGTAATGAGATTAAGAACCTTGGGTCCATGATGATGATGATGATTATTTATTTACTTTTATCCCATGGATGGGACTCAAAGCAGCATACAAAAAAAATTGAAAAAGAAAACTACATAATGCACAAAACCATCTACCCACCCAACATATAAACAATAAATCCACACATTGTATAAAACAAGAGTTACACACACACACTAGCCGTCCCCTGCTACGCGTTGCTGTGACCCAGTCTGGGTATGTGTATCTATGTGTGTTTGCATGTGTGTGTGTGTGTGTGGGGGGGGGGGGGGTGTTGTGCATGTGTAATGTATTTTTTTTTTTTTTAAAGTCTCTTCTGCTGTGTTTTTCAGGGTTTTATGAGTGATGGTCACTCGTTGGCCTGATAGTGTCTTGTGTCCAAATTTGTTGTCAATTCATCCAGTGGTTTTTGAGTTACGTTAATCTCACAAATGAACATTACATTTTATATATCTATACTAGCCGCCCCTGCCCGCGTTGCTGTGGCCCACTCTGGTGATCATGGGGGTTCTGTGTGGGAGGTTTGGCCCAATTCTATCGTTGGTGGGGTTCAGAATGCTCTGTGATTGTAGGTGAACTATAAATCCCAGCAACTACAACTCCCAAATGTCAAGATTCTATTTTTCCCAAACTCCACCAGTGTTCACATTTGGGCATATGGAGTATTCTTCAGATCCATCATTGTTTGAGTCCACAGTGATCTCTGGATGTAGGTGAACACCAAAACCAAAGGACACTGCCCACCAAACACATCCAGTATTTTCTGTCAGTCGTGGGAGTTCTGTGTGCCAAGTTTGGTTCAATTCCATCGTTGGAGGGGTTCAGAATGATCTTTGATTGTAGGTGAACTATAAATCCCAGCAACTACAACTCCCAAATGACAAAATCAATTTTTTTGAGTGAAGGATATACATTGGGTTGTTAGGTGTATTGTGTCCAAATTTGGTGTCAATTCCCCCAGTGATTTTTTGAGTTCTGTTAATCCCACAAACGAACATTACATTTTTATTTATATAAGATATATAAGTAACAAAATAATCACATATATCATTAAAAGCTCTACGACTCAGGCCACTGAGGTTATCCTAACAAGTTAAAAACATTAAACTATTAATTTATTATAACAATAAAGCAAGCATATAATTTCAATTAGTGTTTTGGAGGCCGACGTCTGGGAAAAAAGGACTGATTGTCACACATTACCTTCTGACGTCCAGGGAACTTGAACTTGGCTCTGCGCAGGGCTTCGATAACATGTTCCTTGTTCTGCACCTTGGTACGGATGGACATGATGACCTGGCCAATGTGGACACGAGCTACTGTCCCCTGAGGCTTGCCAAAGGCTCCACGCATCCCAGTCTGGAGCCTACAATATAAACCACAGCATAATATCTTAGTCTATTAATTCCAATGTATGAACAACGCTGTAAGGGCACCAGCCAAACCCTCTTGGGGAAAATGCAAGCAAAGAGAGCCCATCACCAAAGGTACTACTTCACCCAAAGTCAAAGGTGTTCCCAAGGTCCCTTAAGGTACTCTGTACAAGGAACGGAGCACGTACACAACCAAGGGAGTTTGCTATACGCAGCCATTGCACACCATCCACTGATAGCAACAGGGGCTGGTCGGCTTAATTGACTGCGGAGTCTAATGTCAGCTACAATCAGAGCCAAGTCTGTAACCCGTTTCTTACCTATCAGCTCCAGCACAGGACAACATCTTGTTGATGCGGATGACATGGAAGGGATGGAGGCGCACTCGGATGTGGAAGCCATCCTTGCCACAGCTCTTCACCATGTACTTGTTGGCACAGATCCTGGCAGCCTCTAGAGCTGTGGGAGCAGAGCAAGAGAGTGAGGCAGACAGACGGAGGCAGAGTGCAACATCACTGCCCACAGCACAGTGTGACATCTTAGGACTCCTTACCTTCTGATGACAATTGTTCATACTCATCGGACACCATGTGCCCACAGAGAGGGAACTCATCAACCTTTGCCTTCTTCCTGCCCAAGTCAAAAATCCTGATTTTGGGATCTGCAGGAAAAAGTAATTACATCAGCTCTTTGTGCAGAGTAGCACAAACACCTAAACCAGGAGTCCTCAAACATTTTAAACAGAGGGCCAGGTCGCAGTCCCTCAAACTGTTGGAGGGCCGGATTATAATTTGGGGAAAAAAAACATTAATGAATTCCTATGCACACTGCACATCTTATTTGGAGTTCAAAAAAACCCACTTAAAAACAATATAATGATTAAATTAAGAACTATTTAAACAAATATAAATTAATTAGTATTTGAATGGGAAGTGTTTTTGGTGATGAGCTAGGATTGTTGTTGTTGTTGTGTCCTTCCAAGTCGTTTCAGACTTAGGTTGACCCTGAGCGAGGGCCGGGTAAATGACCTTGGAGGGCCGTATCTGGCCCCCGGGCCATAGTTTGGGGACCCCTGATCTAAACCCTTTGACATTCAAAGGTGGGGAAGCTACTGGCCAAATTAATACAGGCTGAGTATCCATGATCCAAAATGCTTGGAAGCATACTTGAATATACATAATGAAACATTTTGCAGATGGGACTAAAGTCTAAACATGGAATTTGAATATACTTCATATATATCCACACATATACCTTGAATATAGTGTTATAAACAATATTTTAATACTGTGTATGAAAGAACGTTTATGTCTATCCAACCATCAGAAAACCAAAGCTGTCACTATCTCAGCAATCCACGTGGACAATTTTGGAAGCATTTTGGATTTTCGAATCCCCGATAAGGGATACTCAGCCTGCACCACTTTGATGATGCATCTCAACAGGAAATCTTATATTTCTTAAAACTTATATTGCTTCCTGAAATCGGAGAACTCTCATTTATAATTTATCTTATGCCCCTGCCACACATAAAATTTCCTAAGTTTGGACCACACTACTCTACTTACCAGGAACACCCCTGCAGAAGCGGGACTTGGGATAAGGCTTATTCTTGCAATACCGATAGCTAGACAAAAAGACAGTGTAAGGTAAAATATTTAGAAAAAACTGCCACGACCATCACTGAATAATTTAAATAGATTCTGATATTCTAGCTAGATGTGTTTCGGAAGTAGCCATCAATACTGGCCCTGAATGCCTCCTAAATACAAAATTATTGTCTCTTATCCTTTGTCCCTTAATATCTGTCAGCACGGAGAAGTGGAAATTTCAGAAACTGGCCTGAGAGCTAGATCAACCCTTCACATCAACCTTGAAAATATTATGTAATTTCTTTCTGCTTGTGGGTAAATATTTCTTGCTGTTTCTTTGTCAGTGTTAATGTAGACATTGTCTGGTTTGCCTACTCTGTAACAGGCGACATATCATTCTCCTTCTTTAGGGGTCCCTTTCAAATCTAGAATACTATATCTCCCTGTGTGTGTGTGAATCAAATATATCTATCTATATCTATGACTGGATGGGTGTTTGTCAGGAAGCAGCTTTGATTACGTTTTCTTGCCCTGGTGAAGGGAGTTGGACTGGATAGCCTTAAGTATTTTCTGTTGGTCATGGGGGTTCTGTATGGGAAGTTTGCCCCAATTCTGTCATTGGTGGGGTTCAACATGCTCTTTAATTGTAGGTGAGCTATAAATCCCAATAACTAAAACTCCCAAATCTCAAGGTCTATTTCCCCCAAACTCCCCCTGTGTTCATATTTGGGCATATGGAATACTCGTGCCAAGTTTGGTCCAGATCCATCATTGTTTGAGTCCACAGTGCTCTCTGGATGTAGGTGAACTACAATTCCCAAACTCACGGTCAATGCCCACCAAACCATTCTAGTGTTTTCTGTTGGTTATGGGAGTCCTTTGTGCCACGTTTGGTTCAATTAAATTGTTGCTAGAGTTCAGAATAATCTTTGATTGCCTGTTAACTATAAATCCCAGCAACTACAATTCCCAAGTGACAAAATAAATTTTTGAGCGATGGTCACTCCTTGGGTTAGTAGGTGTCTTGTGTCCAAATTTGGTGTCAATTCCCCCTGTGGTTTTTGAGTTATGTTAATCCCACAAACGAACATTACATTTTTATTTATAGATAGATTAACCCAGGTTTGCTTTTCAGAATTATTTTCAGTATTTTCAAGCCATGGATGTGTCTAAATGGGTGGATGCGGAAGGGTGAGTTTCTCCTCATAACCCATTCCAGCATAGATTCTTATGCCAAGCTTTTAGAGGGCACAAACTGGCAGCCAAGTATTTGTATATTTCAATGTTTGAGCCCATGCAAGTATGTATCAACGCTTTGACTGCCATGGCTCAATACTATGGGATGCTGGGATGTGTCATTTGGTTTGTTGTTTTTTTGTCGCGTCAGGAGCGACTTGAGAAACTGCAAGTCGCTTCTGGTGTGAGAGAATTGGCCGTCTGCAAGGACGCTGCCCAGGGGATGCCTGGATGATTTGATTTTTGTTTTTATCATCCATGTGGGAGGTTTCTCTCATCTCCCCGCATGCGGGGTGTAGTTTGGTGAGGCCCCAGCCTTCTTGGGCTGAGAAGGCCTTGAGAAACGACAAATCCCAGGATTCCACAGCATTGGATCCAGGGCAGACTCAATAGTGGTGTCCAGACAGGCCCTATATCCCAGGATCTGATCCCAGGTTTCTGCTTTAAACCGGATTATATGAGTCCCCACTGGCAGAAAATCTGGGATAAACAGAAAACCTGGGATCAGATCCCCAAAGTACAGTATGGATGCACCATGAGTCAGCATTTTTGCTTCAGATCAAGGGGCCATTCGAATATGGCGAAAACAGAAGGCCCTGCCTCTGTCAAGGAGTGGGTCGTGTTCAATAAAACAGGGGAAGAGGCAAACTCACCAACGGGCGGGTCGGCGGCCCATGGCTGCGGGTCTGGAAGGAGAGAAAAGTGGAGAAAGTCAATTACAGGCCTTCAAAGCTACCGAAGACAGGCCTGAGGCCTACACTCCCCACGCAGCGCCCGCCTGGCCCTCCGCGCACTCACCTCGCCGAGCGGAAAAGAGAGCGGGGACGCGCCTGCGCGGGGCTTATCAACCACTACCGCTCTAGGACGGCTAGGGGCATAGATGCCGGGCTGTGCCTCGTGGAGGGCGGGGCCTCACGAGACTGCACTCTGGCAACCTCTCGCGTGAGTTCGTCCCAAGTCTCGCGTTGTTTGGATAAGTTTCTTCCATTCCACGCCTCCCCCTTTCCCACCTTCAAGGAGACTTAAAGATGGCAGTATCGGTCGCTTTGAGCACCTCAAGGAACCTCTGGAGGCCGGCTTTGCTGGCATCTCGCTCGGTGAGAAGCCTGACTTCGGTTCGCAGAGGGAATTCGTGTTCACGTTTGGTTTCGTCTCAAGGGAAGCTGAGGGGGAGGGAAAGAAGGTCGGATAAGAAGCTTTCTGATTGGTTGGTAGGCGGGCCAAAAGGGAGAAGACGATTTTTCAATTGGTTCAAAACCCCAAATGGTTGGTAGGGAGGAGTTTCTATCCTGGCAACGGATGGGCGGGATTAACTGCGCCAGGGTTCGTTCTGATTGGGCGGTAGAAATAGAGTGGCAGAGGATTGAAGGGTGGTTTGAAAAGGGGTGAAGACAGGGCCATTTCACCTGAGGATTGTCATGGAGCGAGGAGGGTCTTCCTAGGCTGAAGTAATAATAAAAGAAAGTGCCTGCTTTTCCCCAATAGCCACCCCCTGCCACATAGAATCATAGAATCAAAGAGTTGGAAGAGACCTCATGGGCCATCCAGTCCAACCCCTGCCAAGAAGCAGGAATATTGCATTCAAATCACCCCTGACAGATGGCCATCCAGCCTCTGTTTAAAAGCTTCCAAAGAAGGAGCCTCCACCACACTCCCTCCGGGGCAGAGAGTTCCACTGCTGAACGGCTCTCACAGTCAGGAAGTTCTTCCTCATGTACAGATGGAAAATAAAGTAATGAGAAAATGTTGGTTTCTAATATATGTAATTTCTTGATGCTTGTGGCCAAACAGTATTTCTTGCTGTTTCTTTGTCAGTGTTGATGTGGAGATTGTCTGGTTTGCCTATAATAATAATAATAATAATAATAATAATAATAAACTTTTATTTATACCCCGCTACCATCTCCCGAAGGACTCGGTGTGGCTTACAAGAGGCCAAGCCCAAATACATCAGTAAAACACAACAACAGTACAGTAATAAAAAAACTCATAAACAAGGCAAAAAAAAAAAAAACAATCACACCTCGGCGTCTACTCTGGAACATGCAACATATAATTGTCCTTCTTTAGGGGTCCCTTTCAAATCTATGATGCTATATCTCTGTGTGTGAATAATATCTATCTATCTATCTATATCTATGGCTGGATGGCTCTTTGTCAGGAGGGCTTTGATTACGTTTTCTTGCCCTGGTGAAGGGAGTTGGCCTGAATGGTCCTAAGTATTTTCTGTTGGTCATGGGGGTTCTGTATGGGAAGTTTGCCCCAATTCCGTTGTTAGTGGGGTTCAAAATACTCTTTGATCGTAGGTAAACTATAAATCCCAGTAACTAAAACTCCCAAATGTCAAGGTCTATTTTCCCCAAACTCCATCTCTGTTCATATTTGGGCATATGGAATATTCATGGCAAGTTTGGTCCAGATCCATCATTGTTTGAGTCTACAGTGCTCTCTGGATGTAGGTGAACTACAACTCCCAAACTCAGGTCAATGCCCACCAAACACTTCTAGTGTTTTCTGTTGGTTATGGGAGTCCTGTGTGCCACGTTTGGTTCAATTCCATCGTTGGAATTCAGAATGATCTTTGATTGTATGTTAACTATAAATCTCAGCAACTACAACTCCCAAGTGACAAAATCAATTTTTTGATTGGTGGTCACTCATTGGGTTAGTAGGTGTCTTGTGGCTGAATTTGGCAGCAAATCATCCAGTGGTTTTGGAGTTCTCTTATTCCCACAAACGAACATTACATTTTTATTTATATAGATGTTATTTATATAGATAAAGCTCCACCTAGTTAATATCTCTGACACAAAGATTGCCCTGGATTTCAATTAGTCCAGTTTCAATAAATATTGAAATCCCAGCAGATAAGGGGAATGCCATTGTAATCATGAAAACAGAACAATACAAAGAAAAAATCTGACAATTCCTAGATCCCACTACATGCAAAAAAACTAAAACAGGGCCCAACCTACAAAATCACCAGAAAAACCAACACTTTGATTAAGAACTCAGCAATTAATCTTAACATACACCAACAATTATGCATGACCCATCATGAGCAACGTTGAATCCCCCACATGATTTGGCAAAATTTCTGACCAAACAACTACAAACCCATATTGGGTTCACTATACACTACATTAAGGACTCAGCCGGTGGATATTAAGGACATGGATGAATTGACATTTTGGTTGAGACAAAATAATGGAAAAGGAATGAAAAAGACAGACTGGAAGCCCCTTGAGGACTATATGAAAAATTAACAGTAAACAAAAAGAATGATGATAAGAGGAATGGAAGTTGGAAGGACAATCTTTGTTCCTATTTCTTTTCTTTTTCTTTTGGAGAAAAATTATGGAAATATAATATAAATTAATGAATGGCAAAAGAAGGTAGAACAGAAATCAAAATTTTATTATTTTATCCTTTTTCCCCTTTCTTTTTGTTTTTCTTTTTTCCGCTTCCTTTGTTTGGTATAGGTCTATGATAATGGTTGTGTTTAATAGTATGATGTTGTGAAATGTTATTTTATATTGTCCTATGTAAGTCATTAATAAAAAGTATTAAAAAAAAGGACTCAGCCCACTTCATAGAAAAAATCAGCAATCTCAAACTCCACACCAATGACAAACTGATTGAAGGATCAAAGTAGATTGGCTGCAGCTAAGTGAGGGATTGACTGTTGCTAGGTGAAGTGGCGAACTGAAATGGACTGGAATGGGCCACTTCACATCAGATGGCCACCAGATCTACTACTGCGGACAAGAGGAACATCGAAGAAATGGAGTAGCCTTCATAATTAATAAGAAATTCGCTAAAGCGGTGCTTGGATACAACCCAAAAATGACAGAATATCTCAATTCGAGTGCAAGGAAAACCTTTTAACATTACAGTGATCCAAATATACGCCACAACCACAGCTGCTGAAGAAGCAGAAGTAGGTCAGTTCTATGAGGATCTGCAGGACCTACTGGATAATACACCAAAAAGAGACATTATTTTCATTACAGGAGACTGGAATGCCAAGGTGGGAAGTCAAATGACAACAGGGATCACAGGCAAGCATGGTATGGGAGAACAAAATGAAGCGGGACGCAGGCTGATAGAATTTTGCCAGGAAAACTCGCTGTGTATAACGAATACTCTCTTCCAACAACCTAAAAGACGGCTTTACACATGGACCTCACCAGACGGTCAAACACCGAAATCAGATTGACTACATCCTTTGCAGCCAAAGGTGGCGGACATCCATCCAGTCGGTGAAAACAAGACCTGGGGCTGACTGTAGCTCAGATCACGAACTTCTTATTGCCCAATTTAGAATAAAACTAAAGAGATCAGGGAAAATACACAGACCAGTTAGATATGATCTCACTAACATTCCTAGCGAATATACAGTGGAAGTGAAGAACAGATTTGAAGTACTAGATTTAGTAAACAGAGTCCCAGAAGAACTATGGACAGAAGTCCGCGACATTGTTCAGGAGGCGGCAACAAAGTACGTCCCAAAGAAAAAGAAAACCAAGAAGGCAAAATGGTTGTCTGCTGAGACACTGGAAGTAGCACAAGAAAGGAGGAAAGCAAAAGGAAACAGGGATAAGGGGAGATATGCCCAGTTAAATGCGCAATTCCAGAGGTTAGCCAGAAGAGATAAGGAACTATTTTTAAATAAGCAATGCATGGAAGTGGAAGAAGACAACAGAATAGGAAGGACAAGAGACCTCTTCCAGAAAATTAGAAACATTGGAGGTAAATTTCAGGCAAAAATTGGTATGATAAGAAACAAAGATGGCAGGGACCTAACAAGCTGAAGAGATCAAGAGAAGGTGGCGAGACTATACAGAAGATCTGTATAGGAAGGATAATAATATTGAGGATAGTTTTGACGGTGTGGTGAATGAATTAGAACCAGACATCCTGAGGAGTGAGGTTGAATGGGCCTTAAGAAGCATTGCTAACAACAAGGCAGCAGGAGACGACGGGATCCCAGCTGGACTGTTTAAAATCTTGAAAGATGATGCTGTCAAGGTGATGCATGCCATATGCCAGCAAATATGGAAAACACAAGAATGGCCATCAGACTGGAAAAAATCAACTTATATCCCCATACCAAAAAAGGGAAATGCGAAAGACTGCTCAAACTTCCGTACAGTGGCCCTTATTTCTCATGCCAGTCAGGTAATGCTCAAGATCCTGCAAGGAAGACTCCAGCAATACATGGAGCGAGAGTTGCCAGATGTTCAAGCTGGGTTTAGAAAAGGCAGAGGAACGAGAGACCAGATTGCCAATATCCGCTGGATAATGGAGAAAGGCAGGGCGTTTCAGAAAAACATCTACTTCTGCTTCATTGACTATTCTAAAGCCTTTGACTGTGTGGATCATAATAAACGGTGGCAAGTTCTTGGTGGGATGGGCATCCCAAGCCACCTTGTCTCTCTCCTGAGGAATCTGTACCAGGACCAAGTAGCAACAGTCAGAACTGACCATGGAACAACAGACTGGTTCAAGATTGGGAAAGGCGCACGGCAAGGCTGCATCCTCTCACCCAACCTTTTTAACTTGTATGCAGAACACATCATGGCGATGTGCGGGGCTTGATGAATGCAAGGCTGGGGTGAAAATTGCTGGAAGAAACATTAACAACCTCAGATATGCAGATGACACCACCCTGATGGCCGAAAGCGAGGAGGAGCTGAGGAGCCTTCTAATCAAGGTGAAAGAAGAAAGCGCAAAAGCCGGGTTGCAGCTAAACGTCAAAAAAACCAAGATTATGGCAACAAGAATGATTGACAACTGGAAAATAGAAGGAGAAACTGTGGAGGCCGTGACAGACTTTGTATTTCTAGGTGCAAAGATTACTGCAGATGCAGACTGTAGCCAGGAAATCAGAAGACGCTTACTTCGTGGGAGGAGAGCAATGTCCAGTCTCGATAAAATAGTGAAGAGTAGAGACATCAGACTGGCAACAAAGATCCGCCTAGTCAAAGCCATGGTATTCCCTGTAGTCACCTACGGATGTGAGAGCTGGACCTTAGGGAAGGCTGAGCGAAGGAAGATCGATGCTTTTGAGCTGTGGTGTTGGAGGAAAGTGCTGAGAGTGCCTTGGACTGCGAGAAGATCCAACCAGTCCATCCTCCAGGAAATAAAGCCCGACTGCTCATTGGAGGGAAAGATACTAGAGACAAAGTTGAAGTACTTTGGCCACATCATGAGGAGACAGGGAAGCCTAGAGAAGACAATTATGCTGGGGAAAGTGGAAGGCAAAAGGAAGAGGGGCCGACCAAGGGCAAGATGGATGGATGGCATCCTTGAAGTGACTGGACTGACCTTGAAGGAGCTGGGGGTGGCGGCTGACAGGGAGTTCTGGCGTGGGCTGGTCCATGAGGTCACGAAGAGTCGGAGACGACTGAACGAATGAACAACAACAACAACAAGGTGAAGTGGCCCTCTTTTGATGTCATTGGGAAAGAAAGAAGTGAAGGTGTTTGGTTGCTGCTAGGTGATGTGTATGAGGGGAAATGAGGAAGGAAGGGAAGGAAAGGGAGAAAGAAGGAAGGAAGAGAAAAGCTAGAGGGAAAGGTATGAAGAAAAGGAAGGAGGTGAAGAAGGGAATGAAGAAAGGGATGGAAGAGTGGGAAAAAGGAAAGAGAATGGAAATAATGAAGAGGGGGGAAGAAAGAACCACAAAGAGCTTGCCCAAAGAGAGTTGATGTAGTGATACCAGGGAAACATTGTGAGGTAGGCTTTCTCAGACCTAGAGAAGGTTGGTGGGCAGTGGTCCCAATAATACCTGGGCAGCACTAGGTATATACGCTAGTAATTCATATATAATGGTCTCATTGATTGAAGCATTATTTACTAGGTCAAATATCCAATTCTGGATTCTGCCAAAGGGAGATAGCAAAGCCTTTTGTGAAACTAGAATTCTGTGGAGCCAGGCAGAATGCAGAGCATAGTGAGGAGGAACATGAGGTTCTCCAGAAGTTGCTGCTCTACAATTCTACTCATTCCTCACCATTGGCTTGGCCAGCTGGCACTGATTATTTCCCAGTCCCAGTTTAGTGCATCTCTTATCTCAAATAGTGCTTTTCTACACTTGTAAACACAGATGACTTCCTGATTCCCCAAATGCCCTTTTCAGATTTAATCTGATTTTTCCTGTCCTTCACAGGTCCAGGCTCTAACAGACAGCAACCGCAGGAATGTGGCCTCGGTTTGTATAGCTCATATTTATTTTTCATATTAGAATTATTCTCGAAGGGAGAGCGGTCCTAGAAAGATGGATCAAGGAGACAGTCATGGCCTATTGCATATTTCCACAACCTCCTGCATATTATCACCTGTCCCACCTCCCAAGAAAATACAAAGGATGTGATAGTGCCTTTCCCTATTCCATGTACAGAAGTCATGTCACTTGTCTTACTTCAATACTAATGATAGGAGAATGTTGTCCACTGCTGCTAAGACAGCAATCTCCTTTTGGAGATGAAAGTTGGTTAATAATAATGATTCATAATAATGGAAGGTGGGCAAATAGATGGTATATTGGGGGGGGGGGATTAGTTGGGAGGGGGAATAATCCCTGCAAATGCAATGGGGCATCAGGAAGCTCTGAGGGAGGGAGATGCAGCCTGCAAAACAGACCGTTATGAGGTTGTGAGCCAAATATAGGGAGTCCTCGAGTTATAACCTTTCATCTTACATACGATTCCTAGTTACAACGTAAGGCAAGGCAACAGGAAGTGAAAGAAAATTGAGAGAAACAGCCAAACTGCTCAAAAGTAACAACCAGGAAGTTGCCTGTCCTCATCTGCTGCCTGAGGCAATTGTCTCACTGTACATAAGACCTCCCACTTTTCACCAGCATAATAACAGTCTTAGATGACTGTGTTGCTCTGTGAAGTGAAGCAATTATATTTAAAAAATAGATATTACAAATATTGTGACGAATATTGACTGATGGTGATAATATAAGACTGACAAAATGCTATCTGAATAATCTGTGCAAGCATTACTTTCTTTAAAGTTGCATCTTCTACATGCTGTCTAAAACATCTTCTTCTTTTTTTTGTCTTTTGTCCCCCAATACCTGGTCTTCAGCAACAGACAATTGTAAGTAATTTTCTCAGTGTTGGCAATGTTAAAGTAAAACTTCTAGCTAATTGTTAGAACCCCTCTGTCCAGAACCAAATATTTAAAAGTCCCAAATTTAGATAGCAATGGACAAGGGGAGAAAGGTATAAGACATTTATTTATTTATTTATTTTAATTTCTACCTCGCCTTTTTCACCCGAAGGGACTCAAGACGGCTTACAATTCCGGCAAAAATTCAATGCCGGTAAAAACCAGTACCAACAATAAAAATTATACAGTTAAAACGATTAACATTAAGCAATAATAAAATACATCCCTATACAAATTTTAAAAGCATATAAAGTGCATAGTTCAATTTGTCCATAATCCTGCTCATAATCCTTAATCCAGACCATGTTGAAAGCATAGAAACTTATTCTTGGAATGCTTATGCGCAGAGCCAAGTCTTCAGCTTTTTCGTAAAACCCAGAAGGGATGGGACCTGCCTGATGTCGCTGGGAAGGGAGTTCCACAACCAAGGGGTCACCATGGAAAAGGCCCTGTCTCTTGTTCCCACCAGTCATGCTTGCGAAGACGGTGGGACCAATATCAGGGCCTCCCCAGAAGATCTTAAAGTTCTAATAAAGAAATGTCCCCACTCAAAGTTGCACTGGGGGATAGAATAATGTAAAGGCTCTGGGAATGATGTATTCGTTTTAATGCCAAGTATATATAAAGATTTTATTATATTGTGAAGAATATGCAGTTTTTGAAGCATCACATTGGATGTTACATGGTTAGGAGTACACTTTTAAGGTTTTAGTCATAGTTGTTTTAAAAGAGGTTCTGAGAGTCTGTTGATTTCCTGCAACCTCTTTAGAGGGAAGAGTGAGTAGAGATTTCTTTCTCCACTTCCAACCCATTTTTCCATGGAACTGGACAGCCTTATAGACAACTGTGCTCCCCAGTTAGCATGCAATTAGGGGCTGGAGTTATCCCTGACTTGCTGGAGGAAAGAAAAAGGCTGAATTGGATTTTGTTCTAATTTGCTTATGTTCTTTTGCCTTGCCTTATAGCCACCTCCTGCCAAATATGGGGGGCGGCACACCGTGACCATGATCCCTGGAGATGGCATTGGGCCGGAACTTATGCTTCATGTCAAGGAAGTATTCAGGTACAAAAGCCTACACTTCTTTATATCCGGAGCTTAATACCTACATGTGGTTTGTTGTCTGCCTTCTACTCATTTGCAAATTGTGGTGACCCTAAAGGGGATCCATCATGAGATTTTCTTTGCAAGATTTGTTCGAAAGAGGTTTGGCATTGCCTTCCTCTAATAATGATGATGATGATGATGATGATGATGATGATGATGATGATGATGTTTTGGAACACAATACACCAGACATCACAATTGTGAAAAGAAAATAGTCTGGATTATTGACAGTCGCATTGAGGAAAAACAACAGGAAAAACTCAGCCGCTATCAAGACCTCAAAATCAAACTGCAAAGGCTCTGGCATAAACCAGTACAGGTGGTGCCATTGGTCATTGGCGCACTGGGTGCCATGCCAAAAGATCTCAGCCGGCATTTGGAAACAATAAACATCGACAAAATCACGATCTGTCAACTGCAAAAGGCCACCTTACTAGGATCTATTCGAAAATACATCACACAGTCCTAGACACTTGGGAAGTGTTTGACTTGTGGTTTTGTGATACTAAATCCAGCATATAGATCTCGTTTGCTGTGACATACTGTGCTTTTGTGTCAATAATAATAATAATAATAATAGATTTATATCCTGCCATGATCTCCCCAATGGGGACTTGGGGAGGCTAACTGAGGCCAAGCCCAACAGTTAAAACAAATCAAAATGAAATACATACAGCAAATAATAACATCAAATGAAATACATATAAAGCTAATTAATACATAATCAAATATAGAAAATGAAATAAAATAATTAAAAATATATTCACAGCGGGCTGAGACAGTGTAACTTGTGCGTTTCCATGGCTGAGCAGGGATTCAAAGCCTAGTCCTCGGAGTTATGATCCAGCCCGAACTATTATTATACTTCTTCTTTAATACTGTTTATTTGCTCTATATCCTGCCTTTCTTCTGGTGTCTCAAGGGCTCTTCCCTTGCACATTTTTATCTGCATTTCAACCGCACAAAGTAGGCAAGGCTGAGAGCCAGAGAAATGGGCACAGGGCTGCAAATGAATCTCTTGGCTCAGTGGAGACTCAGAACAGGACCTCCCACGCCCCAGCCTGATTCTGTAGCTTTTTTTCTGTGCTACCTCAGAGCCAGGCATAAATCACAGGCGGCCTATTTTAGAGAATGCATAAATATCTACCTAGGATCTCATGCCTTTTCCAAAACTTAATTGGGATTGGCAATCACTGACCAGAACTGTCCTTTTCTCCTTTCTCCCAGGCATGCTTGCGTACCTGTGGACTTTGAAGAGGTTATTGTGAGCTCAGCGGCATCTGAAGAGGACATGAAGAATGCCTTGATGGCCATTCGGCGTAACCGTGTGGCCCTCAAAGGTAAAAAGTTTGACTGTTTATATAGTTGCTGAACAAAGGATGGGTCACTTCACCTTCACAAATTAGGCTGAAGTGATATAGTGGAGATGGTGTTTGTGTGATGTGGCAATTTGTGTTAAGTGGAAGGTAGATCTGGACCTACTGTTGTATTCTAGGTGATTTTCAGTAGATCAGCAGTGAAATGACTCCCACCCTAAGTAATATTTCTGAAGGATGCCTGTCACAACCAGGATTGCAAGGATTGTGAGATTATTGCAGTTAGGCTATTTTAAACAAATTCCTGAGTTTAGTATTTCTTTAATTCTGAATATGTATTTCTGTTCATGTGGAATATGTGTATTGGGTTTGATACGGAATATGTATTTTGGTTCTCTTTGGTGTATCTTGGAGTTTTAGTAAAAATTGTAGTGGATCTCTTTGAGTCTATAGACTGCTCCTCCATGCTGTGGTTGTGGCAGAGGAGCACAGGGTAAAGGTATGATAGATATAGCTAGGATGTACAGCAGTGGTTCCCAACCTTTTTTTGACCAGGGACCACTTTTTTTGGCCAAGGACCACTGTCCAACATTAGTACCAAAAGTGTTATGAATCAGTTTTTGTTCAACTTTAGATTCGGTTTGGTTATTGGTGGGGACAAGGGAGAGGGCCTTCTCGGTGGTGGCCCCTCAACTCTGGAACTCACTTCCCAAGGACATGCCCCAACTCTGCCAATTTTTAGGAGGAGCCTGAAAACGTGGTTGTTCCAGTGTGCCTTTCCAGAATAATGAATTTCTCAGCAATATGCCCTCAAAATACACTTTATTGTTGATTTAGGATTGATTGATTTGCACGCCCTATCCTCTCCAAAAAAATTCCATCCCAGTTATATCCTACCTTGCTCATGCCCAGCATTATTTTTTAAATTTTAAATTTTACATGTGGCCCAGCCTTAGGTTTTTAAATGCTTGTTGTGTTACTGTATTGCTTTATTTTATTTTATTTTTGTTTATGAGATGTATTTTAATTGTTGTTATTGTTTGTTGTTATTGTTTTATTATTGATGTGTTGTGGGCTCGGCCTCATGTAAGCCGCACTGAGTCCCTTGGGGAGATGGTAGCGGGGTATAAAGATTATTATTATTATTATTATTATTATTATTATTATTATTATTATTTGGGGTGCTGATTCAGAAAATTGCATTGGATAAACCACATCAGCTCTAGTTTCTGATACAGAACATATGCCATCCAGTATTTGCCATCTGCTCACAAACAGAAATCCATATTTAATAAGGCTCAGCACTATAAGAGAGTTTTGCGAGACCAGTCTCTCTCGTTGCAGTGGTGTAGTAACAGTGAGGCCATGGACCATATTTTAGTAATTGCAGACCACTGGTGGTCCACAAACCACAGGTTGGGAACTACTGATGTACAGAATGAGCTGGGTAGTGACAGAGGATATGTTCCTGTGAAAACAGGAAACTGGATGATAGTGAACTTTATGGAAATGACTTCTAGAAAAGAGATGCTCAGTCTTTATCGGCACTGTTACGAGGCTGCCCCATCTCATCATCTCATGCTTGGGAGATCCAAAAATGAGACTCCTGATTGACTGGTTCTCTGTTTTCTGGTTTTATAGGAAATATTGAGACGAACCATAACCTCCCACCTTCCCACAAGTCTCGGAACAACATCCTGCGGTGAGATGAAAGAGGCCTGAACAAGCCTAGGAATTGGCTAAATAAATCTCATTCAACTTGTAACCTTCCATAGAAAGTCCACCATGAGCTTAATAACCTCCATCATTGGGGGAGCCTCTCTGGGACTGTTAAAAACAAGGGGTTGGGTTTGTACTTCTATTCTGTTGAATGGAGGATTAGCAGACTGTAAGATAGCCCTGCACATGCAAGCACAAGCCAAGGGCTCCCCGACCTTAGTTAGGTCTATTTATTTATTTTTATTTATTTACGACATTTATATGCCGCCCTTCTCACCCCGAAGGGGACTCAGAGCAGCTTACAAGTAAAAAGTAAATACAATATATTATTATTATCATAGCACAATATTAATATTATATATTACATTGTACTGTAACAGTATACTGTAATGTTATTAGTAATAGTACATTTAATATAAAATATATAATTATAATATCATTTTTATCATCAGTAGTATATTGTATTACATTATAATATTATCAATATTATATGTATATACAATATATTATATTATATTATATTCACTGTGCAGGAGACAAGATGGAAATGCCTTCCTGTCCCCTCTCTTTATTCTGATCTCAGAGCTACTAGCTAGTCACTTCCTTCCTAGGTCTGGGAAGTCTCTAATATTTATAATAGGAGTCTTAGTTAGCTGGGCCTCGTGACAGGATGGGGAAGAAACTGAGGGCTGGGACAACAGAAGTGGGAAAAATGCTTTCTGGAGTTTATTCTGTGTGACCTTCCCTTCTGCTTCTATAGTACCAACCTGGATCTCTTTGCTAATGTTATTCATTGCAAGAGCCTTCCGGGAGTGGCAACAAGGCACCACGATATTGACATCTTCATCATCCGGGAGAACACAGAGGGGGAGTACAGCAGCCTGGAGCATGAGGTACTGATTGGTCAAGGGAGCTAGCTTTTAATGAGATCAATACTCTTTCTGATCTAGGTGGACTTGTTTGTTTTCTATACTGTCTGTTTGTTTCAGGTCCAAGTAGAGTGTTGGGGAATTGGAGAACCTTTTTTAGCTTCAGGGTAGAATTCCAATTTGGCAAGTGGTTGGCGAACAGGTGTAGCTAAGGGTACAGGGGTTGGACCAACCCAAAGTGACCTCCAGTGGCCAGCAGAGTGTGAACTACTTGTGTTTTTTAGTTCACTGTCTGAGCTGGATCCTGTGTAATACCTGAAATTGTAATTCCAGGATTTCCACCTAATTGTCAACATACCCCCTTATCTCAAAGATCTCTTTTCTGATTGAGGTTACCACCCAGTGCTTTCTCCTAGGTTAATTACGAGGTTGCTGTGAGTGTTTTATGTTCCAATAGCATTCTCTCCTGATGTTTCACCTGCATTTATGGAAGGCATCCTCAGAGGTTTGTAAAGTCTGTTAGAAATGAGGCAGTAAGGTTTATATATTAATTGAATGTCCAGGGTGGGAGAAAGAACTCTTGCCTGTTTGAGGCAAGTGTGAATGTTGTAATTAGCTAGCTTGATTAGCATTGAATAGCCTTGCAGCTTCAAAGCCTGGCTGTTGCTGCCTAGGGCGATCGTTTGTTTGGGAGGTGTTAGCTGGCACTTGATTGTTGGCTGTCTGGAATTCCCCTGTTTTTTTAAAAATATATTTTATTAAGTTTTTCAATACAATAAAAGAGGAGAAACATTTAGTTTGTATAGAAAAGTAGGAAAATATAAAGATACGGCCAGTAGAAGAAAAAGGAAAGAGAGAGAGAGAGAAGAACCCACACCCGAAACTTGGGGTTGGGGTTTGGGTAGGGGGTTTAGTTCAACTTCCAATCTTCTTCGCCTTGGATTTAATCTTCTTTAGTCATTAGATCGCTCTTGATTGTTTGGCAAGCTTCATTACATAGTCTCGCCTAAGAGCATTTCTTATTAAAATTTATCTTATCTCTATCGTCCATTTCAGGTTTTCTTGTATCATAAAATTCTTTATTGGTGTCCAGTCTGTCCTGGGTATTTTAATATTCTGCTTTATATTCATCCATTGGGTTAATTTGCCCATAATCTCTAGGATTTTTATTAGCCAATGTTCTTGATTGATTGATTGATTGAGGGATTTCTTTCGTTCTCCATAGTCTAGCATAGTTTATTCTGGCAGCCGTCACTAGATAATTAAAGAGTTTGTCCTTATTTAAGTCCACTTCGAAATCTATTATTCCTAAGAGAAAATATTCTGGTTTGAATTCTAGCTTTATGTCTAAAATCTTTTCTATTTTTCGTGGATATTCTTCCAATATGATTTGGCAATTTTACAGGTCCACCACATATGGAAGAAGGAGCCCTTTTGTTCTTTGCGCTTCCAACATTTGTCATTTGTTTTGGGGTAACATTGGCCAATTTCTGATGTGTGATGTACCATCTGTACATCATTTTTAACCAGTTTTCTTTTAAGTCAAATGCATATGTATATTTGATTTTTTTTATTCCAGATTTTCTCCCAATCTTCTAATTGTATTGCATGTCCAATATTTGCTGCCCACTTAACCGTACGATCTTTAATTAACTCTGTTTAAGTAGACCATTCTAATGGCTTCTTATATATTTTTGTTATTGTCTTGTTTTCTGATATTAGTGTCGTGTCCCAAAAAGTTTCTTTATCCATAAATCCTATTTTGTTTGTCTTTCATGTAATATTCTCTAATTTGTCTGTATTGGAACCTGTTTTTGAGTGGTGTTCTTTATTTGCTGTCTTGATTATGGTGTTTTTAAAATACTAGTAATCAGATTTTGTTCATTTCCATAGTTTCCTCCTTTCTGTTGAAATTGTCCACATGCTTGTGGATTTCAGTGGCTTCTCTGTGTAGTCTGACATGGTGGTTGTCAAGAGTGGTCCAGTATTTATGTGTTCTCAAATAATATTCTATGTCCAGGTTGGTTCATCAAGTGCTCTGCAATGGTTGACTTAAAAACCTGAAAAATTCACAGCAACTCAGTGAACAGAGAGCTCCTTCTCTCCTCTTCTCCTTGGTTCAAATAGCCAGAGACTTTGTAGATTATTCTTTCACCACTTCTTAGCTGCACAGCCATGTGCTAAATAATAATAATAATAATAATAATAATAATAATAATAATAATAATAATAAGACAAATGAGAGTTTATATGACAACATGCAGCTGGTTTTTACTTTGTTTCACAAAGAATTAGACAGGCAGGTGAACCCAACTTGTTTAGTGAATGATGCAGCTCCTGTAAAAAGTAGCTTCTGAGATATGTCAGATGGAGAGGCAGGAGGAGAAAGTTTGGCTTCCTAGGGTTTGTAGTCCTCTGAATCAGAGTTGGCAGCTTCCTTGCACGATAGCCCTCCTTTTCTTCCCAGCTCTCATTTCTTCCTTGGCACCATCTTAGAAATATCGAACCAACCCTGGGGATCTTTCTTCCCTCAGAGTGTCTCTGGTGTCGTGGAGAGCCTGAAGATCATCACTAAGGTCAAGTCCCTGCGCATTGCTGAATATGCCTTCAAGTTGACACATGAATTGGGACGCAAGAAGGTGACAGCTGTCCACAAAGCCAATATCATGTGAGTTGTGCAATGGGCATTTATGTGGTACTAGCCGCCCCCTGCCACGCTTTGCTGTGGCCCAGTCTGTGTATATGTGTTTTGTGTGTGTATATATTTGTGTATATGTGTGTTTGTGTATATATATATATGCACATTCATTGTAATGTTGTTGTTTTTGTTTTTTGGCTTTTTAAGTCTCCTCTGCTGTGTTTTTCAGTGTTTTTATGAGTGATGGTCACTCATTGGGATGTTTGCCCCAATTCTTTCATTGGTGGGGTTGAGAATGCTCTTTGATTGTAGGTGAACTATAAATTCAGGTAACTATAACTCCCAAATGTCAAGGTCTGTTTCCCCCAAACACCATCTGTATTGATATTTGGGCATATTGAGTATTCATGCCAAGTTTGGTCCAGATCCATCATTGTTTTGAGTCCACAGTGCTCTCTGGATTAGGTGAACTACAACTCCCAAACTCAAGGTCAATGCCCCCCAAACCCTTTTGAGTGTTTTATGTTGGTCATGGGAGTCTTATGTGCCACATTGGGTTCAATTCCATCATTGATGGAGTTTGGAATGCTCTCTGATTGTAGGCTAATTATAAATCCCAGCAGCTACAACTCCCAAATGACAAATTTATTTGTGTGTGTGTGTGATGGTCACGCCTTGGGTTAGTAGGTGTCTTGTGGCCAAATTTGGTGGCAATTCGTCAAGTGGTTTTTGAGTTATGTTAATCCCACAAACGAACATTACATTTTTATTTATATAGATAGAGGATCAGCTTAGAATAGTTGTAGAATAGCGTAAGCGTTTCCTGGCTCATCAATACCTAGTGTAGTATGGTTTTCCCCAGTAGGAAATGATGCCAGTCTTAAGTACACTCCAGGAATGGCTACTGTGCCTTGGAGCAGCTTTCCTTAGTATAGTGAGGAGAAGCAAGGCTGACCTGGTATCCAGTCCAGCTCCATAGACTCTATTTTCCTTACCTATGATTCATACTAGTTCTGCTGCCTGTGTTACAATCAATGCTGATCTGGGGCCTTTCTCTCTTCTCTTAAAGGAAGCTGGGCGATGGTCTCTTCCTGCAGTGTTGCAAAGAGGTGGCAGCAGGGTACCCAAACATCACCTTTGAAAGCATGATTGTTGACAACACTACAATGCAGGTATTTATTCTTTATTTATTTGCAGTATTTATATTCCGCCCTTCTCACCCCTCAGGGGACTCAGGGTGGATTACAATGCACATATACATGGCAAATATTCAATGCCAGTTAAACATACAACACACACACACACACACACACACACATATAATCTTTCATTAAATATATATTTCTTTTCTTTCCAACTGACACTACTCTGGGTTTTTTTCCCCTCTCTTTTTTTTTCTTCTCTTGAGGGGGGAAGGCTCTCCTCCTTTCCTTTCCCACTACTTTCCTATCGACTACAACAATGTTCTATCACTTTAGATGTGCAAAACCTTACTTTTCTAACCTTATAAAACTCATCAATAAAAATATTACAAAAAAAGACATACAACATATATAGACAGACACAGAGGCAATTTAACATTCTAGCTGTGGCCAAGCTTTTTCGGGTTCATGAGGGGATGTTTGATTCTGGCTCAATCCAGCCACAGGGGAAGCTGCCACTTCACCATCCGTTGTGACACCTTTGATGGAGTCCTTCCTCGTTCTTCTGCACGCTGCTGGAAGGTTTCTTTTTATGGCATAAGTTAGTTAAATTAGCCTCCCTGCATAAAATGGTACCTAAATTTCGTACTTGATAGATGTAAGTGTCTTTCAGGCTACACAGGTCAACGGCAAGCTAGACTAATGGCCGGAAGCTCACTCCGACCCAGACTGGCTTTGAACTTATGTCCTCTTGGTCAGTAGTAATTTAATGCAGCTGTCTCCCAGCTAGCTCCGCCACAGCCCGGTCCTACACTGATGCTACTTTGGTTTCGTGTCTGGGTGCGCTTTCAAATGCACAACTCTTGGAGTCTGTGAAGAAAATCCAAACCTTGGTTTTCTGCATTCCCTTGGCAGTGAGGCTCAGAAATTCATACTATTTAAAGTATACATTTATTTTATATTCTTTACATTCCCTAAGTCAATTTTGCGTGTTTCCTTTAATTTTCCTAAAGCACTTCCCCTTTCTAAATTATTGCCTATAGCCTTCCTGTGAATAAATTATTACTGAAAACTTTTCTTCCTCACAAAACAATGTGGAATTCTGTGCTGATACTGAAGAACTACTGGTTTGTTAGTAGACTCTTTGTGCCTGATATAAGACAGGCCCCAAACCCATCCTGATTGTGTTGTGGCTTCTGTTAATGGCTGTTGACTCTTTCCCACTCACTGCTTTCTCTCAATTCCCAGCTGGTGTCCCGTCCACAGCAGTTTGATGTCATGGTTATGCCGAACCTCTATGGCAACATCGTCAACAATGTCTGTGCTGGATTGGTCGGGGGCCCAGGTCTGGTGCCAGGGGCCAATTATGGGCACAACTATGCGGTGTTTGAAACGGTGAGAGTGAGAACGAGAAGTGAGATGTCAACGTTTTGGTAAAACTGGAGGGGTAGGGGGTGGGATGTGTGTGTTAGGTGACTGCAGCTGTGGACAGCAATATATACTTCTTGTTAGGTAATTTCAAAAAAGGAAAAAATACTGTATATATTCGAGTATAAGCCTAGTTTTTCACAATAAGACCACACGATTAAAAACTATGGGAAGGTCAAATGTAAAATTAAAATTGAAAATAATGCTGGAACATGGGCGAAAAAGTGATAAAACCAAAACATAAACAACAAGCAACATCATCAAAATTACATTAAACATCAATAACAAAATAGCATTACAATAAACAAAAAACACAGACCTAGTAAACAGTGGGCGGGCCACATGTACAGGATAAAATGTTAAAAACTGTAATGAGATAAAAAATAGGAGCAAGTTATTTGCCGGGAGCTCATAAAGATACACAGGGTTGTGAAACTAAACTTCCCCTTTTGGGGGGCGGGGGGGGGATGTATTCCAGTGATAGAAGCATTGAGGGGAGCAATAGTTTCGTATTGTGTACCTTCCTCGCCAAAGGCGCAGCGGAAGAGCCAGGTTTTAAGGTTCTTTTTAAACGTTTCTAGTGTAGGGGCTTTCCTGATCTCACCAGGTAATGAGTTCCAGAGTCAGGGAGCTACAGAGGAGAAGGCTCTTTCCCTTGTGCCCACAAGACGAGCCTGTGAGATTGGCAGGGGCGAAAGGAGGGCCTCCCCAGAAGATCGTAGGGCCCGGGTTGGTTCATAGAGAGAGATATAAGCAGTTCGAACCTAGCAGTTCGAAAACATGCAAATGTGAGTAAATCACTTCGGCAGGAAGGTAACGGCACTCCATACAGTCATGCTGGCCACATAACCTTGGAGGCACCTACGGACAACACTGGCTGTTTGGCTTAGAAATGGAGATGAGCACCACCTCCCAGAGTCAGACACGACTAGACTTAATGTCAGGGGAAACCTTCAGCTTTACTAAGGGAGTGGATATGCCTTGCAAAGGCAGGGAGGCATCAGGAAGCTCTGGGGGATGGAGATGCAGGCCACAAAACAATCTGGTGTGCGGTCGTGAGCCAGATATTGCTAACCCTTGCTTAGAGAAGAGATTTATTTTTATACTTCCTGCCCTAGGGAGCTTGCAAGGCATGGGTTTGGACATGAGGAGGGAATAGAGGGAAGGAAGACCAAGGGAAGGAAGACAGCTTCAAAAATGCAGGAGGAATTGAATGGTGTTATAAAAACCAAGATGTGCATAATTACTTTTTAAACTGATGCCTTAAAGGCAGTGAAAAGCCAGGTAGTGGCTGGCTGCTGTGGGCATTGGTTCTTGCTGCAACCGTTGCTTTATTCCATCCCTCTGTGTGCAGTCAGCCCCTGGAGGAAGAGTCCCCAGTGTAACCAGTGACTTCTAGCTATGCTTTAGCTCAAACACTTTTCAAACAAAGAATTGTTTTGGGAGGGGAAAAAAACCAAAAAGCTTGATCGGATAATACCAGAAGACTGTCAGAACCAGGATCTCTACTAGATCATGAAAATAGAATGCTCCCTGTTTCTGGCAGATAATAATAATAATAATAATAATAATAATAATAATAATAATACTTTATTTATACCCCGCCGCCATCTCCCCAAGGGGACTCGGAGAGGCTTACATGAGGCCAAGCCCAACAACACAGTTGCTTGGAAGGGATGCATTGGTTATAATTCCCAATGTTTTTATGTCACACATTTAAAGTCCCCCCCCCCCTTTTTTTTCCCCCCTCTCTTGTCTTTTCAGGCCACACGCAATACTGGCAAGAGCATTGCCGGCAAGAACATTGCCAACCCTACTGCTACACTGTTGGCTGGCTGCATGATGCTGGACCATCTCAAGTAAGCGCTCTGGCCCTTTCCCTCCTCTCCTGATCCCCAGAAACAGCTGTAACACTGCTGCTCAAATTTAGTTAATTGTAGTTCATAACTGAGAGGGATTGAGAGGTAAGGGATTTTCCTATAAGGAGGCCTGGGTTCTAATAGTGGCTTTGCCATAAATTATAGGTGTCAGTAGCCTGGGAAGTGGCTCAACATAGCATTTCAAGGATAACATGAGGGAGTAGCACATGGTGCCTCAAGCTACGTGCAGGAAGGATGAGATAAATATGAACTGAATCAGTATCTCACTCAGTGGAATTGGAATGGGGTGGCTAGAGGTGGCATTTAGACTGGCATTCATCCTTTGGATCTGTTTTCCATTTCAGACTGCACAACTACGCATCTGTTATCCGCAAGGCAGTCCTAGCCTCTATGGATGATCCACTTGTGAGTAGTCCTTTTCCTCCTCTTGAACCAATTGTGAATCAAGACATTTGGGAACCTGCTAAAAAGGGATTCTCTGAGTCAGAATGTGTGTGTGTGTGTTTTTTTTAATGTGTGCCAAATATTTCCAGTTGGTTTCATGTTCACCCTGGAATGAATACACAGCAGGTCTTGGCATTCCAAGATATAGGTCCGTATTCAGGATGGAATAATTGATGAAGAAATTATGATGAATGTTCCCGTTGGTGAATCAAAGATGGCAGAGTGGGAGGTTGTCTAATGTTAACAAGCAGCCTGCAAATGCGCCAGGGAAATCCTGAGACAAGGAGGCTTCTGTATTGTGGAGAGCTTGTATTGTTGAAGGCTTTCATGGCCGGAGTCACTGGGTTGTTGTAGGTTTTTTGGGCTGGATGGCCATGTTCTAGAAGCATTCTCTCCTGACGTTTCGCCAGCATTTGTGGCAGGCTTCCTCAGAGATTGTGAGGTCTGTTGGAAACTTGGTAAATTGGGTTTATATATCTGCGGAAAGTGCAGGGTGGGAGAAAGAACTCATGTCTGTTGGAGTTAGGTGTGAATGTTTCAATTGGCCACCTTGATTAGCATTTGATGGCCTGGCAGTTTTTATGGGTGGCTTTTTACTGCCTGGGGGAATCCTTTGTTGAGAGGTGATTAGCTGTTCCTGATTGTTTCTTGTCTGGAGTTCCCCTGTGTTTGAGTTTTGTTCTTTATTTTCTGTTATAATTTTAGAGTTTTTTAAATACAATTTTTTCAAATCCCTTTTTGTTATTTTCTTTGTACCGTATATTCCGGGGTATAAAACTACTGGGGCTATAAGACGACCCCCCAATTTTAGAAGGCAAATTAGAGACTTGGGGATATACTTGCCGTTTAAGACAAGTCCCCAAATCAGGCCTTCTGCTTAGGCTGCTCTCGGGAAGCCCTTCTGCTTAGGCCACTCTCGGGAAGCCCTTCTGCTTAGTCCGCTCTCCTTCCTAGCGAGGCCTTGCGAGAATCGCATCTTCTCCCGCGAAACCACGAGGCCTGGCTAGGAAGGAACACTGCTTAGGCCGCACGGGAAGCAGCCCAGGGGCCCGGCTGCCAAGAAAAGGAGACCGCCATGAGCGGAGGAGGAGGGGAGCCCGAGGCCAAGGCAGCCAAGTGCAGTAATTTTTTTGTTATTTTAATTTTATACCCGGGGTACTAGACGACCCCCAAAATTTTATAAAGTTTTAGATACCTAAAAAGTCGTCTAGTACCCCGGAATATATGGTAATTCTCTTTTCTTTGCCAGTATTGGAGCCAGGTAATTTTTGTCTCTATTGCTTTTGTCTCTATTGCTTTGAGCACAATTCAAAGTGCTGGTTTTGACCTACAAAACCCTATACGGTTCCGGCCCAGTGTATCTGTCCGAACGGATCTCCCTCTACGTCCCACCCCAGAGCCTAAGATCCTCTGGGGAGGCCCTGCTCTCGACCCCGCCTCTATCACAAGTGAGATTGGCGGGGACAAGGAGCAGGGCCTTCTCGGTGGTGACCCCCCGCCTGTGGAATTCACTCCCCGGGGAAATTAGATCTGCAACATCGCTCCTTTCCTTCAGGAGAAAACTAAAAACATGGATTTGGGACCAGGCATTCGGACAATCAGGCAGATAAAGGAAGAACCTTGATGATGACTAGGAAATGATTAATGGATTGGATCTACGGAACTCTGGAAAACGAAACGCTGGATATGAGAATGGTTTTATATGATGTTTTATATGATGTTTTATATGATGTATATGTTTTATATGATGTACTGGTTGTTTGATTGTTTTAATTGTGATAACTGTTTTTAACTACGTTTTTGTATATTATGTGTAAATTGTACAGGCATCGAATTGTGCCTTTTTTTGTAAGGCGCCCTGAGTCCCCCTTCGGGGGTTGAGAAGGGCGGGGTAAAAGTACCAGAAATAAATAAAGAAATAAATAAAATCTCCTCCAATGTTTTTAGTTCTATACTTAGGTTATTAATTTTAACAGTTGTTTATATGTTAACCACTTATCACTGGGCATCTCTGTCCTTTGATTGGTCTCATTTGGTGAGTACCACATTGGGATTTTAGTATACCATTTTTCCCTATACTTGTCCCATATCTTAATCAATGCGGTCCTTATAAAGTGGTTGTTAAAGTTTTTTTTTCTATTTTTACTTTATCTTTCCAGAGGTAGCTGTGCCAGCCTCTGCGTAGATCTTCTCCCTCCAGTGTCAGAATTCTCTTCTTTTCCAACATAGTCCAATCTCTTATCCATGTCAGTGCAGCAGCGTCGTAATAAAGTTGAATGTCTGGGAGGCCTAAGCCTCCTCTTTTCTTAGAATCATAGAATCATAGAATCAAAGAGTTGGAAGAGACCTCATGGGGCATCCAGTCCAACCCCCTGCCAAGAAGCAGGAATATTGCATTCAAATCACCCCTGACAGATGGCCATCCAGCCTCTGTTTGAAAGCTTCCAAAGAAGGAGCCTCCACCACACTGCTGAATGGATCTCACAGTCAGGAAGTTCTTCCTCATGTTCAGATGGAATCTCCTCTCTTGTAGTTTGAAGCCATTGTTCCGCATCCTAGTCTCAAAACAAGCTTGCTCCCTCCTCCCTGTGGCTTCCTCTCACATATTTATACATGGCTATCATATCCCCTCTCAGCCTTCTCTTCTTCTGGCTAAACTTGCCCAGCTCCTTAAGCCGCTCCTCATAGGGCTTGTTCTCCAGACCCTTTATCATTTTAGTCGCTCTCCTCAGGACACATTCCAGCTTGTCAATATCTCTCTTGAATTGTGGTGCCCAGAATTGGACACTATTCCAGGTGTGGTCTAACCAAGGCGGAATAGAGGGGTAGCATTACTTCCCTGGACCTAGACACTATGCTCCTATTGATGCAGGCCAAAATCCCATTGGCTTTTTTTGCCGCCACATCACATTGTTGGAACAAAATCTGAACAAAATCTGGCTACCAGTATTTAAAAAATTCTAAAATTCCTCCATTCCCAATCCACCTCTAGAGTGCTGATGGGGAAACTATGCCAGTTCAGCAGTTGGTGTTATTTCTTTCTACACCATTGAGTTCAGTGGCAGAAGAGAAGTACCTTGACTCTACCCTTATCTCCTAGCTAGCCGGCATGAGTTGACTGAGCATGGGGAAAGCATCTCATTTCTTTCACTTTTTCTCCCTCCACATCTAGGTATTCTCTCCTGATGACCTGCAGAGAAACAGAATTTCATAAATAATTGCTTCTATTTCTGGCAGTTGCTTTGGAGAGATCTGTTGTCAAGAGATACAAAGACTGTCATGTTTGTGGGGTTGCAGGTCAAGAGGTGTAAGCCTCACTTAGCAACCAAGTCTTAACTGTCTCTTTCACTTGGTGAAAGTCATACCTTAGTTTTTTTTTAATTTGGTAACATCCCTACCGAATCCCAGACTACAGTTCTGTAGGATAGGGGAAGTGCCATAGTACAGAAACAACCCAATTGTTCAACTGGAGACTTGATTATGTGACTATTAATCTCTAATTGGTAGGTGAGGGTCCATTACATGGCCTGATCTACTGAAGTGGATCACTCTAGAGCACTTTTTTCATGTTAGGAGCAGCTTGAGAAACTGCAAGTTGCTTTTGGTGTGAGAGAATTGGCCATCTGCAGGGCTGTTGCCCAGGGGACACCTGGATGTTTTATCATCCTGTGGGAGGCTTCTCTCATGTCCCTGCATGGGAAGCTGGAGCTGACAAGTGGGAGCTCACCCCATCTCACGATTCAAACCGCTGACCTTCAAGTGAGCAGTTCAGCCGGCACAAGGGTTTAACCCATTGCGCCACCTCGGCTCCTATCTCTCCAGCACTAAGATTGTAGAAATACATAGCAAAAATACTTAAGAATTTGCTTCTAAACTGTGTATTTGAATTAAATGGACTCCCACTTCTGAAAAGCTTTTAACTTAGAGAAGGCTATACAGTACATTTCCGATCCTGCTTTAGCTACACTGCACTCTTATCAGTATTAACTGTGAATGGGGTTGGGTGAATGTACCGTAATTCTTTTATTTCCCCTCTCCAGACCCATACCCCAGATATTGGTGGTCAAGGAACCACCTCAGAAGCTGTTCAATCAATTCTGAAACAGATCAAGAAGACAGACCATAGCTTGATGCAGGTAAGGTAGGCAGAATGGCTACATGCATTAGGCTTTTTTGTGCCTCCTGGTATTCTCAAAATGTTTAGATTTTGTTTTGTTATAGAGTAGACCCCTGGTGGCACAGCAGGTTAAACTGCTGAGCTGGCTGACCAAAAGGTTGGCGGTTCAAATCTAGGAAGCGGGGTGAGCTCCTGCTGTTAGCCCCAGCTTCTGCCAACCTAGCAGATCGAAAACATGGAAGTGTGAGTATATCAATAGGTACCGCTTCCTCAAAAAGGTAACAGCACTTCAGTCATGCTGGCCACGTGACCTTGGAGGAGTCTACGGACAACACAGTCTCTTTGGCTTAGAAATGGAGATGAGCACCACCCCCCTGAGTTGGTCACAACTTAATATCAGGGGAAACCTTTACCTTTTACCTTTAAACCCACATATTGCATGAGGAGCCAGTTTCATGTTCACCCTTGAATGAGGGTCTGTTCCAGAACCCATGTAATACGATTTTTGTGTATAAAGTGGAACCCTATTTTTCTTACCTGAAATGAATTATTCCCTTGGCTCCCAGCAAAAAATATACAGTAGGATCATGCAGGAGGGGTTAGCAATGCCTAAAGAAGTCTATGCTCTATATCTCCAGCACAATTCCATAGTCAACATCTGGTAGAGGCTGACCATAGAATCAGACCGGGGGCCTAGAGAAAGCATTTATCTAGACATCATTAGGTCTTTGTGCATTATTCTATGGAAGTGGTTCCCAAACTAAGGGCTGGGTGCGACCCTCCAAGGCCATTAACTCAGCCCCTATCCTAAACATTAGACTTAGGGTCGCCCTGTATCTGAAATGCCTTGAAGGCACACAACAACAACAATCCTAATTAACTTGACTATCTCATCAGCCAAACGCAGGCCCACACTTCCCATTAAAAGACTGTTAAGTTTATATTGGTGAAAGTGGTTCTTCATTTTAAATATTGTATTATTATTTCAATTTATGGTACTACAAATAAGATATGTGCAGTGTGCATACGAATGTATTTTTTTCCAAACTGTAGTCCAACCCTCCAACTATCTGACTCTGTGCTTTAAAAGTTTGAGGATCTCTGTACTGTGTTATTCAACAGTATTTATTTTTATTTATTTATTTAGTTTTTATATTCCGCCCTTCTCACCCCGCAGGGGACTCAGGGCAGATTACAGTGTACCCATATATGGCAAACATTCAATGCCAATTTTTGACATACAAACATATACAGACATACACAGAAGCTATTTAACTTTTTCCATCTGCGGTGCTGATGAAGCACTTCCGCATTCCCCGCATGCTTCCCCGCTGGAATGCTTTGCTGGAGTCTTTTTTATGGCCTCATAAATCAGTTAATTTAGCCTCCCCACACTTTAAGGTGGTACCTTATTTTCCTACTTGACAGATGCAACTGTCTTTTGGGTTGCAAAGGTCGACAACAGGCTACACACAATTGGTTGGAAACCCACTCCAACCCGGGCTGGCTTCGAACTCATGACCTTTTGGTCAGAGCGATCTTAATGCAGCTGACACTCAGCCACCTGCGCCACAATCCCGGTGCAGTATATCTTTGGATATACTGTAACTTAAACTATTCAGTAAGCTCATATAATAAGCAGACGTACTGTATTGAATGTTTATTTCATATATATACAACCAGAAACCTTTTAAGATGAGGGCATGGGTGTGTGCAAGATGGGATCCTCAGAAACCTGATGTAGACATTTCTAGCAGAAGTTGAAAATAATGTGTTGCTGCTGCTGATGTATTGCTTGCAGTCTTTGATAAAGTTTATTGTTATTTCAATTTTTGGTACTACAAATAAGATATGTGCAGTGTGCATAGGAATGTATTTTTTTTTTCAAACTATAGTCCAACCCTCCAACTGTTTCTTTCACCCTCCATTCGTGCCTCTTCAAATTCTGCAGCACTGCTGGTCATAGCTGACCTCCAGCTTTTTAAAGTTATTAGAAAATCCTATAATGACAAACCATGCTTATATCTCTGTCTCCTGGCAGTTTATGCTATCTTTAGGAATGAAATGTAATGCAGGAAATAGGGAGGTTGATGTAAGCCTAGTTCTTGACTTCCCTTGAGGTGAAAAGTCAGTGGGGCTCCTTGAAACATCCAGAAGCAGAGACCGGTTGAAAATCAGGCCCCTTCTACACTGTCATATAAAATCCACATTTGAACTGGATTACTGTATATACTCGAGTATAAGCTCCCTTTTTAGGCTGAAAAAGCTCCCCTCGGCTTATACTCGAGTCAAGGTTATTTATTATTTTATTCTGTTAGTATTATTTTTATTTCATGTATTATTTTACTTTCTTTATTATTATTACATTTACAGTATTTTACCCTATTATTATTATTACATTTGTTATACATTATTGCATTTATTATTTTATTCTATTATTATATTTATTAGTTTGCTCTATTATTACCGTTATTATTGCATTTACATTATTTTACTTTATTGTTATTATTACATTTATTATTTTATTCTCTTTATTATTGTTGGAAGGATGTGTAAGTATATTTACATCGAAGAAGGTTAAAATAATGATTTAATCAGAGTTGGCCAGTCTTATCTCAAATTACAGTTATATATATAAATATTCAAAAACATTTCACCTCCTGGCACCTCAATTAATGTTAATTTTATTGGTATCTGTTTTTATTTTGAAATTTACCTGTAGCAGCTGCATTTCTCACCCTCGGCTTACACTTGAGTCAATGTTTTCCCAGTTTTTTGTGGTAAAATTAGGTGCTTCGGCTTATATTCAGGTCGGCATATACGTATATGGCAGTGTAGACTAAGATTATCCAGTTCAAATCAGATGAGAATTTTCTGCTTTTGATAACCTGGATTATCTGGCACTGTAGAAGGGACCTTACTTGCTAATCTTGAGGGTATTTCCCTTTTTCAAAAAAAGTTTGTTTAGAAATATACTGGAATGTAACTGGGCGAAATGCACTTGGTCAAAACCTGTAAATTAACTCTTCTACTCTCAATTTTTTTCCAGTGACATGATGAAGCTGAAGCGGTGTTCTCCCTCTACTGCTAAAAATAATCTGTTGTCTGTAAATGGAACAGATCCTTCCACTCCAAACTGTCCAAGCACAACATTCACCTTCTGTACATAGTGTTTGAGTTGGCGTTTCCTCCGCAAATTAAATTAATACAATTGTGAGCTCTTGTTATGTCTTTTAATTGGTTTAGTAGGAAAGTATAAATAAATGGATTGTATGCGAATCATACAATAATAGAGCAGGTGGTGAGCTGTGCTTTGGGAAAACCTTAACTTTTGGACTGTGCTTGAGATCGGAGTGTTTGTTTCTTGTTTGTTTAAAGGCTGGGTGCGTCTTTGTAATGTGTGTTTGTTTTTAAGGCTCTGAGGTTGTTTTAGTGGCTAGTGTGCATTCACCTTTGAATAAAGGAAAGGAGGAGTTAACTGAGATAATTTAAAGAGAGGGATGGGAGTTCTGGGTAAAGTTCCTGCATTTAACCTAAATCCGGGGAGAGTGCGGGTGAGCTCCCTCTGTCAGCTCCAGCTTCCCGTGCGACTAAACTGTAGCCCAGATCCTGCATCAAGGAGCTATGCTTCAAGATGAATAAATAGGATAAGAATATTTTGCTGTGACATTTGTGTTTATGCTACTGACCAGGAGTTGCATGCCCTTCAAGGTATACAGCCTATCTTAGTAAGCAAGGAGAGAAAGCTGAACACAACAGTAGTTTTTGTGCCCAAGGATGCATTGTGATCCTCATGTGGGTCTTGCTAATCCACCAGCAGACACTTTGTAACCCTTGACTGGTTCCTTCAAATGATATTGCCAGGCTCCAGAATTACATTACCATATATTCCGGCATATAGGACGATTGGGCGTATAAGACGACCCCCAACTTTTCCAGTTAAAATATAGAGTTTGGGATATAATCGCTGTATGACTACCCCTCTTCCAACACACATCAAATAAGAATTTAAAAGGCATCAGATTTGATTTCAATATGGTAATTTTCCTATTACTCTACCTCCTTCTCTGCCTCTCAGATCTCGCACATGCACACCTGCACTGCTTCACTGAAGTCTTCAGGAGCGAGATCTGAAAGGGAAAGGAGGAAGTACGGTAATAGGATACAAGGGCGGGCCAGACAGGTAAAAGAGGTTTTTCTGGGCCCAGAGCCACTCTATCTCTTTTTTCCATACCCCAGGTGCCCCGGACGCCTGCAGCTTGCTCTGCCCTTCACTTACACCTTCCCGGTGAGGCGCCACTTCACCTCACCATTCGGGACCACATTAAGTCCACGAATCCTGATTAATGGATTTTCTTCTACAGTACTTGTACAGTGTCGCCCTTAATGCTTTCATACAATCGCTGCATATGGCAGGACGCGACCACTGCCATTGTGAGCTCCCCCCACAATACGCAGCAACCACAGATTCTCCAATCCGGATTGGAAGTTTCAGCACCCCCTCTATAAGACGATTCTCGGCGTATAAGACGACTCCCATGCATAAGACGACCCCTGAATTTTGAGAAGATTTTCTTGGGTTAAAAAGTAGTCTTATACACCAGAATATACGGTACTTTTTGGAAACTTCAGTTTTCCACAGCTCTTATCTTGTTCCATAGCATTGTGTGGCAAGGAGCAAAACACACGAATTGCAAAAATTCTTCATAAGGGCATAATCCTCTTCCTTTGTCAAGATTAAGAAGCAGCAGTGGGTCAGTTTTCCTCATTCATTACCATGATTTTCTAAATTGTGCTCTGAGAGAAGAGGAGACCAAGGCTATTGCAAATCTTTTAATGAAAAGTCTTAAATTCAGTCCCTGCAACAGCACAGGGGGGATTCAGAACAACTGCACACACACGCACGCACACACATGCTCCCCCAACACTGGCACACGTGGACCACATCTGCAGCAAACACCATGGCTTTTTTCCCCCTCAAGAGACGGAAGTGCAAAGAAATGTCTCACTTTTGTCCTTCCAGACAGGATCTGATCCCAGGTTTTCTGTTTATTCCAGATTATCTGGCAGTGGTGACTCATATAATCCAGTTTAAAACAGAAAACCTGGGACTGGATCCTGGGATATAGAGCCTGTCTGGAAGGGCCTCAAGTTGTCCTGAACCCAACTGTGGCTTAAAGGAGGTCCCCAAGGGTAATAACGCACCCTACAGCAAGCTAAGACTTCGGCCTGCAAGAAGGGGAGTGGGTAACAGCTAGGTGCCAGCACTGTTGACACGGGTGGGTTGAATGTAGTTTCTTATGAAATAAGTGGCTTAACTTATTGTATAGAGTGAGGCAGCATAACTTCCTTTTTAAAAATGCACGCCAGTCGGTTGAAGACGTAGCGGAGTGCTAGTGGTCTCGTTCGAGAGGCGGGAGTATAAAGTTTTGTCCTGGCACAGTTCAGTCGCCATCATGCGTTGGAACAGTGAGGAGCGTGCTTTTGCCGTTGAAGCCTACTTTTCAAGCGGATTTGGAGTGGCCGGCCCGCTCTCCAGATTTGGCCCCTTGTGATTTTTTTCTATGGGGTTTTTTGAAATCCCGTGTTTATGTGACCCGTCCAAGGACCCTACAAGATTTGAAGACCAACAACCAGGAAGAAATTGCCAACATAACGCCTGCTATGCTGGCAAGAGTCATGACAAACGCCAGAAATCGGTTTACTCAGTGTATGGAGAATGGGGGAACGTCACCTACCTAATTTGATCTTCAAAACTACGTAAAACAAAACTTTAGGTATGCGCCTACATTATAAAAAAAATATAAAAAATTCTGATTCATACAAAGGGTTTTTTTAAGTTTTGAAAAAGAAGTTATGCTTCCTCACCCTGTAGTACACATGCTATTTTGGGAATCAAGTGAGCAATGTTGGGGGAGAGGTGTGTGTTAAAACATCCAGGGATCTTTTTACAATGATCCCCATGTCTTTTCTTTAGCTTAACCTTGGGGGGGGGGGGGGGCTATAACATAGTGCAGGACTAGGCAACTATAGGAGGCTAGAGGGTTGCGTTACGAGACTGTGCAAGGGGAATGCCCCCAATGGCCTCTGGAGCTGTGGAGGAGCAGTTTCCTCATGCTCTAAGCCAGTGGTTCTCAACCTGGACTCCCCAGATGTTTTTGGCCTTCAACTCCCAGAAATCCTAACAGCTGGTAAACTGGCTGGGATTTCTGGGAGTTGTAGGCCAAAACACCTGGGGACCCACAGGTTGAGAAACACTGCATAAGCTCTGGATAGATGCCTTTCTGGTTTAAAAAAGACAATTTCTGGACCTAAAATTGCTCTAGCAATCTAAAACTTGGTAAAAATGTCAGCTAAACACCCCGGAGGGTTATCTTGGGGGTCAGGGTGGGGAAGTTATACCTTTAGTGGCCTGAGTCACGAGAATGACTGCAGACTACACTTGCTTAACCCAGGGTGGCTTTCCTATCCTGCCATAGGACGTGATGTCCCCAAAAACCTAGCAAACTATGGCCAGCAAGTATTCCAACGAGCAAGACTAGGAACTACTGGGAGTCTCCTTTTAGCTCCAGTCTCTTCTGTCCTTCATCACACACAGCAGATCGGCTTCTTCTGAAAAGGCACGAAGTCGCTGTTTTCTCAGCATCCAAGAAAACGAGAAACTCATCACAGGTAGTAAAAGAGTCAAACATAAACGTAGCAACAGCTTCAGACAGTAACAATGTTAGCGAGTGGCGGGACACGCACAGGAGATGTACTGATAGGTAGTCACCCAAACTCAAACATACACAGCTAATTTTTTTCAGACTATCAAATTAGGAGGAGATATTTGTAACGGAGTCCCTGGCAAGTGTGAAACATGCGTGTTAGAGACACAGCATAATCTATGGCCTATACATCCAAGCAGTGGGGACAAGGACTTGCAAATGCTTGCGGGGTGGAGGAGTCCTACTGAATTCATCACAATTTGAAATAATCCTCAGTCAGCGCCTGAATGCACAGCTATATGAGATGCTAGAAGGTAGACCGCCCTCTAGAAACAACTCCTTCCCCTTTGCCACTTATACAACTTACCACTACTTTCTTTTTGGGCACACCTACCTTCTCCTGTTTTCCCAAGTAGCCCTATCATTGACCAACCAGGCCAAGGCTACATCAGATCCATCTGTTTGCATATGATTTGCTCAAGAAAGGCCACATTTCCTTGGTTTGGACCTTTGGACAAAGGTCCACTCTAGGATCAAAAGGCAAGGCGATTCCACCACTTCCATCTTCCCACTCAAACATCCAGGTACCTCTTCCAGATCACCCTCATGCATGTTTCCTGTACCACACTCACACATGCTGAGAACGTTTCCTCTTGCACGGCTTCACAGCCACTCTGGTGCCCATGAAGGATGCGGGAAGTAAACTGCAAGGACTCCCAAGAGTAATGAAACAAAACTAAAGAGTCAAACAACATCAGTCAAGAGCAGTCCCAAAAAAAAGGATGGCTATTGATCACTCCAAGAAGGCAATGTCTCCAGAGGAAAGGAGACAAGATAAGAGATTATGGGTGCTTTGGAACTGGAGGCAAAACGATCCCCTCGCTTCTGGGGCTCCAGTCCGCCATGTAAACTGCTGACGCGAGCAGCCGTCTCGAATCACGGAGTGGGGAGAGGGAGAAGCCAAGGAGACAACGCTTCGCTTCTCTGAGGGGACAAGGATCCCCCTGCCAGGGAAATCCTCATGAGCAAGGGATCCCTTTCTATGAGCAACAAGTCCATTCAGGATTAGGAGTTAAGCCAAGGGTGCTCCAGACATTGGGCGGCTGTGCTGCGCTCTTCTGGGAGGAATTCCATCATGGGCAAGAGGAAGTCTGTGAACTGGGCCGCTTGCTCAAGGGGCCACTCGTATTTCTCCACCAGGACTTCATACAGGCCCCAGTGTTTCAGGTTCTTAATGTGCCGCAGTTCCCCTGGAGAAAACAGGCAAGGTGTGTTAGTTTAAACAAAAAACATGAGTTACACGCCATATTTTAAACACTACCATGGTGGTTATGGTATTTGTGCATGAAAGCATGCTAGAACCTCACTTTCAATAGTTCACACAGTTCACACACAGTTACAAAATACAATACCGCCTGAGCTCTGCAAGTGCAGCATTTTTCCGAATGAAGCAGAGAGTGTTTGCGGACCAGGACATCCGTAGGGATACCATGGTGCTTGTTTATAAAGCTACTAGCTGTACCTGCCACGCGTTGCTGTGGCCAACCTTCCCTCTTTCTCTCCTTCCTTCACTCCCTCTTTTCTTCCTGCTTTCCCGTCTTTCCTTCTCTTCTTCCTTTCTTCTCTATCTCTTTCCTTCCTCCCCCCTTTTCCTTTCTTTTCTACTGTCTCTTTCCTTCGCTCCCTCTTTCTCTACATCTTCCCCCTTCCTTCACTCCCTCTTTCCTTCCTTTTCTTTTTTTCTTTCCTTCTCTCTCTCCTTCCTTCCTCTCTAACTTTCCTTCCTTCCTTCCTTCCTCCCCCCTTTTTCTTTATTTTCTGCTGTCTCTCTTTCCTTCGCTCCCTCTGTCTCTACATCTTCCCCCTTCCTTCGCTCCCTCTTTCCTTCCTTCTTTTCCTTTTTTCTTTCCTTCTCTCCTTCCTTCCTTCCTCTCTAACTTTCCTTCCTTCCTTCCTTCCTCCCCCCTTTTTCTTTATTTTCTGCTGTCTCTCTTTCCTTCGCTCCCTCTTTCTCTACATCTTCCCCTTCCTTCGCTCCCTCTTTCCTTCCTTCTTTTCCTTTTTTCTTTTCTTCTCTCCTTCCTTCCTTCTCTAACTTTCCTTCCCCCTTTTTCTTTCCCTCCCTCTTTCTCTCCTTTCTTCCTTCTCTCTTTGCTTCCATGCTTCCTTCTCCCTTTCCTTCTTTCTTTCCCTCCCTCTTTCTTTTCTTTCTTTCTTTTCTCCCCTCCCTCTTTCTTCCCTTTTTTTCTGTATTGTCATTTAGCTTTCTGTCATTCAGATTTTTGGGGCTTTTAAGTCTCTTCTGCTGCGTTTTGCTATGTTTTTATGAGTGAAGGACATACATTGGGTTGTTAGGTGTATTGTGTCCAAATTTGGTGTCAATTCCCCCAGTGGTTTTTGAGTTCTGTTAATCCCACAAACGAACATTGCATTTTTATTTATATAGATTGTCCTCCCAACCCTGCTATACGCCTGCGAGACATGGACTGTCTTACAGACGTCACATGCAACTCCTGGAACGATTCCATCACTTCCAATAAATAGGGTCATCTTAGCCTTTACAACAAATCAGGAGAAGCAGAGCTCTTAGGAGCCTCCACACTTTCTGACTGTATCCCACCCAATCCCTGATTTTATTCATTTTATTGTCGAAGGCTTTCATGGCCGGAATCACTGGGTTGTTGTAGATTTTTTCGGGCTATATGGCCATGGTGTAGAGGCATTTTCTCCTGACGTTTCGCCTGCATCTATGGCAAGCATCCTCAGAGGTAGTGAGGTATGTTGGAACTAGGAAAAAGGGGTTTATATATATCTGTGGAATGACCAGGGTGGGACAAAGGACTCTTGTCTGTTGGAGCTAGGTGTGAATGTTTCAACTAACTACCTTGATTAGCATTTGATTGACTGGCAGTCCCTGGAGCAATCTTTTGTTGAGAGGTGATTAGATGTCCTTGTTTGTTTCCTCTCTGTTGTGCTGTTACAATTTTAGAGTTTTTAATACTGGTAGCCAGATTTTGTTCATTTTCATGGTTTCCTCCTTTCTGTTGAAATTGTCCACATGCTTGTGGATTTATTCATTTTATCTACGTTCCCCAAACCCACATGCATCAGAGATGATTATGTTGATGATACCACAGTAAAAACAATACAATATTGGCCCTTCCAAAGCACATCCTCCAACTTACCTCTCCGGTTGAAGTACTCACGCGAATAGCGCCCCGAAAGAGCAAAGTGTGGAGGTATGTCACCCAACAATTCAACAATGTGAGCGATATGATCTGAAAAACAAAAAGCAGCCGAACTACAGGACTTGCAATGGGAGGAATCTTCCCTGTGGAGCCAGTAACACAGCCATGTCACAGCCAGCAACAAGCGATGTTCCTGCAGCTGGGAGACTATGCTCCAGATCTTAGCATTTTGCAAATATGGGATTTGGGCAAGGAGCGCAATAAGTTGGGTTTCCGTCCAATAAAAAGAGGGCATGTGGAGACAATTAAGTTGGTGATCTTGGCATAACACAGCCCCACAAATGTTGATTGATGTACCTTCTTAAATCATCATTGGCAATGTGGTGTAATAGTTTAAGTGCTGAGCTAGGACTCTGGAAGAAAAGGGTTCAAATGGTTAATTAGTCATTAAAGCCCACTGCGTGATCTTGGGAAAGTCAAACTTGTATCAAACACAGAGGAAGACAAGAGCACAAACCTCTTTATAATAAATCATGCAAAGAAAACCCTGTGAGAGGGAGGGTACACTGGAGTAAGTTTGAAGGCACATAATAATAATAATAATAATAATAATAATAATAATAATATAATAATAATAATAATAATAATAATAAATACAAATTCCAGGATATAGCTCTCGTTTGCTGTGACATACTGTTCTTTTGTGTCAATAATAATAATAATAATAATAATAATAATAATAATAACAACAACAACAACAACAACAACAACAACGCCTAAAGTCTTTGGCCTGCACTTAAACACAATCGGCGCTGACAAAACTACTATCTGTCAGCTGCAAAAGCCCACCCTACTGGGATCTGTACGCATTATTCGCCGATACATCACACAGTCCTAGACATTTGGGAAGGGTCCGACGTGTGATCCAACACAACAGCCAGCAGAGTGATATTGTTTGCTGTGGACTCATCTTGTTGTGTTTCAAGTAATAATAATAATAATAATGGGTTGTTGTAGGTTTTTTCGGGCTATATGGCCATGTTCTAGAGGCATTCTCTCCTGACGTTTCGCCTGCATCTATGGCAAGCATCCTCAGAGGTAGTGAGGTCCTTTACTACTCTGCTTCCTTTTAAAATCAGATCTGCAATGATTAAGAAGAAAAGGCCAACTTGAGCAGAAGGCAAACCCTTCAATGTGTCTTAGTGTGTTCCTTGGGAAATTACCGCATCCCCGGTGCCCATCATTTGAAACAAACAATCCCCAGTAAAATCGACTTCCCAGCATTATATACCCCAGTCTCACAGATCCAAACAACTAGAGCACTCTACCTTCATCCCTGGTATAATCCTCGCCTGAGTGAGGTTCAAAGAGGTAATCACCAGTAGCCAGCTCAAATGCCTGTCAAAGAAAAGGAAGGATGTATCAGGTATATCATACCAATTCATGGGGTTAACCACCCTCTATAGCAGTGGTTCTCAACCTGTGGGTCCCCAGGGGTTTTGGCCTACAACTCCCAGAAATCCCAGCCAGTTTACCAGGATTTCTGGGAGTTGAAGGCCAAAAACATCTGGGGACCCCAGGTTGAGAACCACTGCTCTATAGAGTTAAGAAAATTATCCTCTGTTCGTGGCCCAGATTGAGATCACAACAGATGCTAGCGGGTGGGATGAGGCTGCAAGTTGCCATAAGATAGATATGTATCACATATTTCATGCTGTGCATCCTCTGGGTTATCCTCCTGCCAATGGAAGACACTAAGCTCTTGCCACTGTGAAACCAAGTTTTCAAGCTCAAAATTAAGTGTCATATGAACCTGGTGCATATCCAGTACTGAGATCCATCTTGCATCTCACTGCCCACCTCTCAACTCTATAAAGCAGTGGTTCCCAACCTATGGACCGTGGCTCTAGATTATTAAATATGGTTTTCTGTGGGCAAGCAGATGGCGACTACTGGGTGGGATATGTTCTCTACCAGAAACTAGGGTTGATGTGGTTTATCCAATGCAATTTTGTGAATCAGCACCCCAAAATAACAAACCAAATCTAAAGTTGACCGAAAACTGATTTGTAACCCTTTTGGTACTAATGTTGGAGAGTGGTCCCTGATCAAAGTGGTCACTGGTCAAGTGGTCCTTGGTCAAAGGGGTCTGTGTTCAAAGTGGTCCTTGGTCAAAGCGGTCCCTGATCAAAGTTGTCCCTGGTCAAAGTGGTCCCTGGTCAAAGTGGTCCTTGATCCAAGTGGTCCCTAATCAAAGTGGTCCGTGATCAATGTGGTCCCTGGTCAAAGCGGTCCCTAGTCAAAGTGGTCCTTGGTCAAGTCACCCTGGTCAAAGTGGTCCCTGGTCAAGTGATCCCTGATCAAAGTGGTCCTTGATCCAAGTGGTCCCTAATCAAAGTGGTCCGTGATCAATGCGGTCCCTGGTCAAAGCGGTCCCTAGTCAAAGTGGTCCCTGGTCAAATGGTCCCTGGTCAAAGTGGTCCTTGGTCAAGTGATCCTGGTCAAAGTGGTCCCTGGTCAAGTGATCCCTGGTCAAGTGATCCCTGGTCAAGTGGTCCCTGGTCAAAGCAGTCCCTGATCAAAGTGGTCCCTGATCAAAGCGGTCCCTGGTCAAGCGGTCCCTGGTCAAGTGGTCCCAAGTCAAGTGATCCCTAGTCAAGTGATCCCTAGTCAAGTGGTCCCTGGTCAAAGCAGTCCCTGGTCAAGTGGTTCCTGATCAAGTGGTCCCTGGTCAAAGTGGTCCCTGATCAAAGTGGTCCCTGGTCAAAGTAGTCACTGGTCAAAAAAATATTGCGAACCACTGCTATAAAGGCTGCAACACCAAGGAAACTAATGAGGACAACAAGGAACCCAAAGCAACAGGCCAAATGGTTTCTATAGCATTGCCTGAACTCTCTAAAACTTTTTCAGGCAGGCTTAGTCACTGACCTAACCCGCAAAGGGGTTCCAATATAGCACTACCCAGCTTCCCTGTTCCTTTTACAAGAAGAACTTGGAAGGAGCACCTGAATAATTTGTCCCACCATGAAGCAAAATCACATTGCCAAGATGCAGAGAGAGAGAGAGAGAGGGCTATTCTCAGAATGTGACGATCATGCTGACGTGTTTTGTGGACTTCGTTATGCACTACCCAGCTGTCTTGTAATGTTCATGTCAGTAACTGGCATAACATGTTTAAGTAAAGGCTGGGATGGGAGGGGGTTGTGAGAACATCTAACCACCACTCAGTCATTCCTTTTGAATTATTTGCTCCTTAGATGAAACTAATGGACTCTAAGCAGCTCCGTAGGCATTTTAATAATATGACAAAAGCATCACAAGGAGTCATTTCACATCTTTCATGTCGAGCAGAGCTTTCCAAACAGTGTGTCACAACACATATGTGTCAACTGCAGTGTGTTGTATGAATGTAATGAGAAACATCTGAGTTTATGTGAAATAAGCAATAAGTCATATACTTTGAAAAAATTAAATGAAATGTTTTCATGAAGATATGTTGTGTATTCACTTTATTACTACCATTTATGTATGCATTCGTATCTCTTATAAGGGGTTAGTTTAACTTCTGGTTTGCCAGTAACACTGAATTACTGTGTTGCGAAATAATCTATATAAATAAAAATGTAATGTTCGTTTGTGGGATTAACAGAACTCAAAAACCACTGGACGAATTGACACCAAATTTAGACACAAGACACCTAACAACCCAATGTATGTCCTTCACTCAAAAAAATTGATTTTGTCATTTGGGAGTTGTCATTGCTGGGGATTTATAGTTCACCTACCATCAAAGAGCATTCTGAACAGTGATGGAATTGGGACAAACTTAGCACACAGGGCTCCCATGACCAACAGAAAATTTAGGTTGCTTACCTGTAACCGTATTTCTTCGAGTGTCCATCTGCGAAATTCACACCTATGGGTTTCCTCTCGCGCATGCGCAGAAATCCGGAACATTCTAAGTTTAATGAAATAAAAATGAATATTTTGAAGCTCCGCCCCCCCCCACCCCGCCCCCTTGGTATATATATCCCGCCGCGTGCGGGCGCACTCTAGTTCCCCAGCGCTAATCGCAGCTAGGTTCAGAGGCATGACAGAGGGGAGGACGGGCGGGTTGTGTGAATTTCGCAGATGGACACTCGAAGAAATACGGTTACAGGTAAGCAACCTAAATTTATTCTTCGTGTCCTCTGCGAAATCCACACCTATGGGTGAATAGCAAGCTACTGACCTGGAGGCAGGTCATGCCACACAGGAGAAAAGGACAGCTCTACCAAATGCGGCATCCTTCTTTGCTTGTATGTCCAACTTGTAGTGAGAGGCAAACGTGGAGGGAGTAGACCACGTAGCTGCTCTGCAAATTTGGTCCAATGGGACTCCTCGAAGGAAGGCTTGGGACGTGGACACTGAGCGTGTCGAGTGCGCCACGATGTGAGAAGGAGGTTCTTTCTTTGCCAATTGGTAAGCTAATTGGATCGTTGAAACAATCCAGGAGGCCAACCCTTGTGAGGATATCGGGTGGCCCAGCATGTCTTTTCTGTATTTCAAAAACAACTTCGGGGACTTCCTATAGGCGGAGGTCCTATGGAGATAAAAGGAAAGTGCCCTCTTAACATCGAGGGAATGTAATGCTACCTCCAACGGGGAGGAAGGGTTGGGGAAAAAAGCTGGTAGGATAATATCTTGTGACATATGGAAATAAGAAACAACTTTGGGTAAAAACGTAACATCGGTTCTAAGGACCACTTTGTCATCATGGAACCTGATATACGGGGGGTCTGAGCGGAGAGCTGTTAACTCGCTCGACCGTCTAGCAGATGTAATGGCTACTAAAAATGCCGTTTTCCAAGACAAGTGGGAAACATCGGCAGAAGCCATCGGTTCAAAGGGAGGTTTTGATAATTGGGATAACACTAGTTCTAGGCTCCACTGAGGCGAAGGGAGGGATGTAGGGGGGTGAACATTTTTGTAGCCTTTGAGGAACAGCTGAATAAGGTGGTCATGAAAAAGGGACGGCAAGCCGAACTTTCTGCGGCCCGAGGAGATCGCTGCTATGTAGCATTTAACCGAAGAAAGGGAGAATTTTTTGTTGGAAAGGTGTACAAGGAAGTCTAGTACCACAGGGATAGGAGCTGAAAGGGGCGTATGGCCCACTGTTCGTGTAAATTTTTCAAAAGATGACCACTTATAATGGTATGACTTCTTAGTGGTCGGTTTATGGGCGGCCAGTATAATTCGTGAAGCTTCCTCAGACAGGTTCATTGTGGTCTGATTCTCCACGCTGTTAGAGAGAGGGAGTGGAGGTCCGGGTGGAGGACCAGGCCGTTCTCTACTGAGAGGAGGTCTGGGGTCGGAGTGAGCCGGAGGAACTCCTTGTTGGAGATTTGAAGAAGAGGAGCAAACCAGTGTTGGTGTGGCCACCAGGGGGTGATCAGGATGCAATCTGTGTTGTCCTGAATTATCTTGGCTATGACTGGGGATAGGAGAGGGAGGGGTGGAAAGAGGTAGAGGAGACCCGAAGACCATAGGAACAGGAAGGCGTCTCCTAGACAACCTGGGGATGCGTGAGGGCGGAGCCTTGCGCAGTAGAGAGGGCAGTGCGTGTTTACAGGGGACGCGAACAGGTCTATCCTGGGGGTGCCCCACTTGTGAGTGAGTGCCTTGAATTGTGTGGGATGTAATTGCCACTCGTGATTGTTTTTGGAGGACCTGCTCAAGGAGTCCGCCAGTGTGTTGTCTTGGCCTGGTAGGTGGATGGCTGTGAGGAGGATGTTCCTCTGGATGCACCATTCCCAAATTCGTGTTGATATGGACAGTAGAGTTTGAGAGCGTGTTCCTCCTTGTTTGTTGAGATAATATTTGACTGCGGTATTGTCTGTCACAATCTGGACCTTGCGGTTCAAGACAATGCGGACAAAGGCTCTGAGGGCCTTTTCTACCGCCATCATCTTGAGTGTGTTGATGTGGAACTTGCGGTCCCGAGGGGACCAATGGCCGCTTACTTTGAACCCTTTGAGATGCGCTCCCCAACCCGAGTTGGAGGCGTCTGTCGTGAGGGACATGGATGGGTGAGGTTGGGTGAAAGGCATCCCTGATTGAACATTGCACTGCTTTGTCCACCATGAGAGGGAGTGGAGGACGGAGTGAGGTGGGTATAGGATGCGGGATTGAGGTTCCCGCAGGGGGTCGAATGATTTGATGAACCATCTTTGTAGTGGCCGCATTTTTAGGCGGGCAAATGGGGTTACACTTGTGGTAGACGACATGTGTCCAAGGATAGACTGGATAGCCCAGGCCGAAGTTCTGCGGGAGTGTTGGAGGCTTAGGATTGCTCGTCGAAGATTGATGAAGTGGTCGTCCGGGAGGAAGGCCTTCTGGAGAGAGGAGTCTATGACGGC